CGCTTCATGATTGGCAATCTCGGCAGTGAATGAGTGAAACTATGAGTGGGGCTGTGCCACTTGCTATAGGTTGCTCCTTCATAGGTGCTATATATACGGAGTACAGTACATACATTACATACATACCTTACCTTACATAAGGTACCTACCCTACGGTGACTACTTAGGTACACATCAGACCAGACCTGCAAAAGTGATGGTATTTAGCGTCTGTCTGAGGAGCGAGGGACTCAGCAAGAATATAGAATCCTGTCGCAGAACAGCATGCCGTCGGTGGCTGGTTGCGAGCAAATACTATTACTGTATGAACAACTCTCGCTTTAGAAGGGGCAGCGCAGCTTTTACCACGAATCATCAGCTTGTATTAACTAATCTCGCCGACAAACTAAGCAACGGCCATGAGGCTGATATCAGAGCCAATACCGTAATGAACCTGGGAATAAAGACATGCATTGAATAGGCGAGGAAAAGATGATCACCGATACCGCCCAAACTTGGTGTCCATTCGCTGCTGGTTTCGCGCGATACTGTCCCGAGCAGTATCAGCCTTAGAACGGCACCGTTAGCAGGCTCCTCCCTTGCAGTACACGGGAAATTACTTACAAGTTCCGTCATGGATGAAACTTCCACAAGCTGTTGATCGATCACCCCGCGTTGGAGAACGGCAATTTGGTTAAGGACGCGAGCCTTTTGTTCCAACCTGGGTACTAGTGCGTCAATCTGTTCGTTCAACTCCCTCTGTTCGCCGGTGTCGTCCTCGAACTCAAAAGCGGAATGGTTCTTCTGCTTATTGGAACCAAGAAGTGGTTTTTGTCGCGTCCCTTGCTCGAGGAGCTGATTCAGTTTCTCGAGATTCTGCCTCGACTGGACTTCATCCCGATCCAATTGCTCCAACCTCTGCTCATTTTGTAGCTGCACCATCTTCTTCTTTTGTTCCCGCGCTGCAGTACGGGAGCTGCTGTTCTGTATCCAGCTCGCGGGATTCGCAATGCTCTTCTTGGCGATCTCCAGGTCGGCCATGTTAAGCTGGCTTATGCCAGCCTCGCCCTCTGTGATGTGAATTAGTTGTGGAAATAAAAGAATGTCTCTGAAGCCACGTACGTGATGCTACAAGACTCTTTTTGGTGTGCTGTAAGCTATCTCCTTGCTCCAACAGCGTCTTGGTCAAGCTGCCGAGCATAGCAATGCCGTCATCAAATTTGGCTTCAGTGCGCTCGCCAGTGTTTAAAGTGGCACGCAACTCGTCGACAATCGCATTCTTGGTCATCTGGACTTTAGCTTCCTCTCTCTCTTCCTCGGTCATTTCCTCCATGTTTGCTGGAAGTCCGGATGAGGGAACCGTAGAATTGAAGCCATCGTAATTGGCAAATGAACCCCCAGTGGAACCACTCAGCCCGCCGTATCCGCCTCCAGCGGCAGCAGGGCGTGAGGAGAACTGGCTGTTTTGCGCCTCGGTGCTGCCGTATCTCTGGCCTCCGAAGCCGTCTGCAGCTCCGAACTTGTCTCTCGGATACCCAGATCCCATCGAAGGGTTAACCGAGTTGAAACCAGGGGCAGGACTGCTGCCTCCCGTTGAATAGACGGGAGGCGAAGGGCTGTCTTCCCGATAAGGCGGAGGAGCAGTCTTGTTGCTGCCAAATGTGTCACTGCGGCTTTCGGGGCCTATCATTCTATTCGGAAGGCCACTAGGGCGGACACTGGACGGCAAGCCCACGCGGGATCCGCCCGGCGGCCCGGCATTACGCTGCGAGTTTTCGGCGTAGTACTGGTTGCCATCGTATTGAGAAGGCGATTGCTGTTGGAGATAAGGGTTTGAACTCGAGGGATCGGAGCTTTTGTCTGGTTTGTCCTTGTCGCTTGACTTTCGAAGGAACCCAAATCTCCCCATGATGCTTTGCTGCAGACAGACAGATCAGTATTGACCAAGCAGATGAAGCAGTGGTCAAGTTGTGTAGACGGGATGACCAGAAACAGAAACAAGAGAAAGGCGATGAATAGACAAGTTCAGGAACTGGGTGTTCAGATATGATGGAAGAGACAGGCGAAGCGGTGGGCGGTTTGGACCCCGAGCAACCCCTGTCTTGAATTCGTTCCAGAGTGCGGACGGATCGGTAAAATTGGGAACCTGAGGTTTGGGGTCATGGCAGTGGCGGCCTTGTTACTGACCAGTGACCACTTGCGTCGCGTGCTGACGACCCTGAAGTCTCCGCCCCAGCAGCCATGCTGGCAGTGGAGGCGCAGTCACACCCCAGCGGTGTCGTGCAATGCAAGGAGAGTGTTGCTGATTCGCCACACGATGGAAGTAACTGCCTGCCGGTCGAAACCTCGAAATAACAGGAGACGTTGCCAAAGCATTTCTCACCTTGGTCTTGCAACTTGAGCCTTGAACCACCTTTCCCTCTGTTGATAGCCTTTTCTTCCGGAACCATTGTAGCCATTTCCATGGCCCCTTGGGTCGTGGCAGCTGTGCTTGGGCTTGTGATTGGCACTGATCTCCGGTCGCGGGTGGGGACCAGGAGTAACTAGGCGGAAGCCCCACCATATTCTCCATTTTCGCTCTTGGAGGATCGACTGATTGATGTGCGCGTCGTTCACGTCGTTGTGATGCTTGTGGTAAGCAGTGCTCTGTTAAGTGTCTTTGAGCTTGTTTCTGCTGCTGCCCATTGCATCCGTCTCTGACAGGAAAGTCGACAAAGGAAAACGAGGACAGCCGGACAGATGCTTTTCTCGTATTGGTATTGACATCAGAGTCAAGGCGGTACAGGACTAAGCCGCACCTTCCCACCGTTATTTTAGGTACCTCGTCATCTCAAAGCTCACGTATGTACAGTACTATACTTGACTAATCTGTACTGTAATGTATGTAAAATACATACACTGTGATACTATGTAGTTACGTTATGTAATCTGTAACGCTAACCTTCGTCTTCGTTTCTTATTTGTATGGCCACTACCTTACCGATGGGAGTCATCAAACCTCAACTTGATGACTTCCATGTTTCTCTACCTTTTACCAACTGGCCCAGAAGTCCCGTCTCTAAGCACACCAACGCAGCAGTTTTGGCAGTGCAGTCATTCAAAATGTTTACTCTCTAGATTACTGACGGATTGTCTAGAGCATTCTGTAACTGCCCACTAGGCATCGTCCTCCAAACTCATTGTCGTCTTCCTTTTCTGTTCGCCCACTTATGATCTCCAAGATGATACCACGAATACACAACCTTCTCCTTGCCATGACTACCGACTTTGCAATATATATAGCCTGTCGAACCTGCTAACTGTGCTCTCGACACTTTGACAATCATCCTTTTCCATCGGATTGCTCTGCTCGGCATTGCACCAGACACTATTCCAACGCCAGTGTATCGGGAAGTCCGATGTCTGTTTTCACTTTTGATCCCGACCCGCCCAGGGTCGCCTCTCCATGGCTGAGATCAGGAGATTCTCGAGAAACCCACTCTTCGGATCGGCCTGCAGTGCGGCGGGGAGCTCTTGGATTCGGACTTCTATCCGACTATGGGGTGACTAAGCTGGAGCCAGAACCTCAGGATGGGCCGACTGAGTATAAGCTTCACTTGCTACTGAGGCCGCGCAGAAAATATGAAAGGATCAGCACGGCGACTCGAATCTCAGGATCGACCCAGTCACGACCTCCTGCCGACCCTAAGACGCTGAAGTCGGCTCTTATCGCCCCTGGGCCCTCCAGTTCTTCAACTCAAACCCGCCAAGATCGACTTGAGCATCTTACAACCCAACTTCTCTGGAGATTGCAGCAGTCATGCCCATACCATGCCGGCACTGCCGCTCCTGGGCTTGTAATTCCACAGCTACCTGACGACAGTGTTGCGCTGAATGCGCCTGTTAAGCTGGGCAAGTTGCTTCCCGGCTTGGAAGCATCGAGGGGAGCGCTCTATGAGATTGGTGTTGCCGACGATGGCACGCTGGCGGGCTTAACTAAGGACGAAATGGACGAGAGCCTTACCACCCTCCGAGTCATGGCCGCAAGCCTAGGATGCAATGTGGAGGTGCTCCGTATGTTGGTTGTCGGGGACTGCGCTTGGATTGAGCCAACCGGCTCTGAAGATTCCTCGGGTTCGGAACCTGAGGGCGTTTGGCAGCAGGCTAAGTTGTGGGTTGCCGAAGCACTGATTACGCCCGATTTGCGACCCCGAGATCCCAGCCAGACACCGACTACCTCCGGGTTGCCAGGAACGGTGCGGTTGGCCGAGGCCCTGCCTGACCCGAAGCAAGGACCTCTCACGATCGACCAGTTGCGCGTTACGCTTACAGGGCCAACCACGTCGGGGAAATCGACACTCCTAGGCACGCTCTCCACTGGTACTCTTGACAATGGGCGCGGAAAGGGCCGGCTTGGCCTCCTAAAACACCTCCATGAAGTTGCTTCTGGCATCACATCGTCTGTCACGCAAGAGCTCGTTGGCTACAACGACGGTGAAATTATCAACTATGCCCACAGCGGTGTTGAGTCCTGGATAGATATTCATGACTTTACAAGAGATGGCCGACTCGTCTATCTCCTGGATTCGGCTGGCCATCCGCGATACCGGCGGACCATCCTCCGCGGTATCGTAGGTTGGGCCCCTCACTGGACCTTGCTCTGTATAGCGGCGGACAGCGGTGAATTGACTTCGGCTGCTGGAGCCACATCTACCTCGCTGGAAGTGCTGGGCCCAACCGGTGCTGATGTCAACCTGGTTTCGGCTCATCTTGATCTCTGTCTCCGTCTTCGCCTTCCCCTGGTCATCGTTATCACAAAATTGGATCTGGCTAATAAGCTGAGCGTGTCTACTACGCTCAGCAAAATCCTCTCCAGTGTTAAAAGAGCTGGTCGAATACCCAAAATGGTGAAAGCGGGACCAGCGAGTAATTCTGATTTCAGCCGCGTGTCAGAGTCGGATAAGGAATCCGTCAAGGACGTACTGGACTGCATGCTCTCGAGCGATGATCCATTCTCATTGGTCCCTATCGTGCTTACCAGTGCAGTGGATGGGCGAGGCGTCGGTTCGCTTCATGCCCTGCTCCAGAGTCTTCCGCTGCCTCCTACGCCGACCTCACACGACTACATCGGTGCGGCGCTGAATCCAGAGCAGCCGGCTTGCCTGTTCCATATCGAAGACAAATTCAGCCTCCCCGCTTCCTACGCCCTAGCAACAAGTGACGCCGACCAGCAAACCGACCATGGGACTGTGGTTGCGGGCTATTTACGGTTCGGCAGCCTGTCGATCGGCGACAAGGTAGTAGTGGGTCCGTTCCCATCCGGCGACGACGACTCTCACGGGGCGACTCCTGAGGAGCGGTCATCCGGCGGAATTGTCGGTAGCTATGGCCTCTCAGTATCCCACCCATCCTCGGCAGAACTCAGCCGCGCCGCCTCGAGGAGCACCGTCTCCGCGTCAGCCATCAAGGGCGAGTGGCACACGGCATCCATCGTCAGCATCCGCAACCTCCGCCTGCCCGTGCAGACACTCACGGCGGGCCAGGTTGGGTCCATCGGGATGGTGTTCGACCAGTCCAACCAGGGGGATCTCGCCATCTCTCGCTCCGCCGGCCGTTCGCCGATGACGACAACGACTACGACGCCTAGGCTGCGCAAAGGCATGGTGCTGGCCGTGCCTAGTCAGCACATGGTCTCGTCAGGCTTGTCTCTGCAGGCTGTCAGCGGGCTGACGGCCGTGTTCGACCAGGATAATCAGGGGGCCGCCTCGCTGTCGCTTGGCTGCCTGGTCAACATATACGTGGCAAGTGTTCGCTCGGCCGCGAGGGTCCTGCGTGTCTCGAGAGTCAAGTCGGAGGATAGTGGCGGCGGGGGTCGGGTGCCTGGGGACGAGATTGATGACCTCTTTGGTCCAGCGGAGGATATGGAGGTGCAGGATGCAGATATGAGCTGCGTCGAGGTGCAGCTGGAGTTGTTGTCAACGCGCGAATGGATCGAACTGGGGTCGCGGATCCTGATTCTTGAAGGTGGGAGCAAAGACAAGTCGGGGTTGGAAGGCTTTGTGGGTAAAGTGGTTGAGATTGCCGAATGAGGATGAGCTTCTGGGGGTTGTTTTGATATTTTTGTTTCCTTTCCCCTTTTTCCTCTTGCCTACGTTTATGCCTCTCTGCCTTGCATATATCTGGCTTCTGATTTTCAATTGTTTTCCTGCTGATCTGGTTATTTCACAGTCTTTTCTGGACTATATATCCATCTGCATGGTATTGGGTAGATGGAGGTCTTTGAACTCGATATCTTGCCATATTTCTATCAATTAGAAATAGACAAACACTCAACTTATTGACAATACGACACTGACGCCTTACACCATCCCCCTCCTTCCTTTAGGCCAAAGCACATCACGCTCTCACTAACCCATAAAACAACGTCCATGTGAGAATAAACCCCGCCAGCCCGTTCATCAACCCGCCGGCCCAGAACTCGAACGGGCCGCGGAAGTACCTGCTCGTGTCCAGTGGGAGTTTGCTTTTGCTCTCTGACGATGACGGTCCGGCAGTCAACGAACTCGGCGCAACGCGCACTAGGTAGAAAAGCGCTGAGGTAAGAAGTGAAAAGGCGAGGTAGAAGAGGAAGCCATCGTATGATTCCAGGCCGAGGATCCCTGCGCTGACCCCGAAGAGGGAGGCGGTTAGGGATTGCAGGTTTTGGAGTGTCTGTTTGACAAGTTAGACGGGATCGGGTAGGTGGCTAGTCGTTGTATTGGGGTCCTATATGGGGTGTGCGGCTGCGGCCGGGGTTGTGGGCGAGAGGGGATGATAGGTTTGTTGGTAAAGGTCTGGGAGGGAAGTGGAGTTCGGAACTAGAAACGATAGAAAGCTCACCCTTGAATTGTGCACAAGCGACTCTTGCACGATGGGGGATATTTGGAGTTCGAGCTCGGAGGGCATGGTTTCGGTTTTAGTGAATGGATGGTCGCCTGGTCGTCTCGAGAGGGCGGGTTCAAGTTTCGGTCGGCGGTTTGGCCGCGCGGTCTGATGCAGTCGTGAATTAACTGCGACCCGGGTCCGGACTGGTCTGGATGCAGGGAATTTATTTGACTTTCTTTGACAATACCGTCGTCGTCGTTGGGCAACGCGGATCGGTGACTGTCGTTGTTGACGATGCGGCTGACGATTGAAGTCGCTGTGATGTGTGCTGTGGACCGTGATGCGATGCAGTGGCACGCTACCGGATGATAGGTACCCGTTTGAGTGGGTCGCTAAATGAGCCCCACATGCATGAATCCCGGTGGGGCCGAGGCCCCCGATGTACGTGTACTACCGTACGGAGGTTGGGCCAAAAGTATTCACCACCCTCCTGCTGGTGCCAAGCCTGTCTGCGTGTGAGAAGCTAGAGGGAAGAGAGACACACTGTGTTTTCTTTGAGAATAGCGTTCCCTCGCAAACCTCACTGGAGTGGGTACTGAGGTGGCCCTGTAATTGGCCCTGTAAATGGGCATACTATGGTGGGTTACAGTGCCTCATTATAGGTGGCTGGCCGCAACTGTGCCAACCATACTGTATCCGGGGCCTTGGCATTCTTGGCAAGAGGAAGGTGGTGAATACTTTTGGCCCCAACCTCCGTACTTACAGTGCATACAGCTTATAGGGTAATATAGCGTAATACCATTACGGTTCAGTCTTCCGAGATTGCTACGGAGTAGCAGGGTTTGTGGAATGTAGTGGCTATTTCAGGAGCTGCTGTATCCGTCCGTGGTCTGTTCGATTGAGCGACAGTGAAAGCAGCGGGAAGAATGGCTGGACGTACTTGGGATGACTCAACACCAAATCAGCCGTACAAGAAAGACTTCTACAACATAACATAGGCGTAACTGCTGGGAATGACGTTGACTGTGACGCAACCATTCCAAGGGACAAAGACCCTTGGTGTGGTTGGAGCATACCGTAATATTACGGAAATCCGGGGCTGTCTCTGGAAAGTTTAATGAAGAGGTCGCGCGACAAGGGTCGGACACGACCTTCCTAGTCCAACCGTTTCACCAAATTTAATGAACTGTACAATACAAGTTCCTTCGGTTGCAGAGGTATCATTCCCGGTGGATATCTACTTTCATCAGACGCCAGCACGACGTTGAGCAGCACCAGGGAGGTCGCCCGTTCCTCCACTGATTATCTCCACATTGCCCCCCGAGCTCCTTCCTCTGCCCCCCGTACACTACTATATCACTGGGCTTTGAAGCAGAACCATACACAAAGGCTACCGAACCGGCAACGCACAACGCTAGCGAGCAGCCCACAGCGTCTTGATCCATCTCCCGTCGCCGCCGCCGCCAGGGACTTCGTTCGCGACTAAGGCTGGTGCCACAAATCTCGTACTCCCGACTCCTGTAACACTCCGGGTACAGTATCATAAGTTGGGAGCAGCAACGACGGTCCCTGGGTGTGCGCTGGCAGGCAGATGGGGTGCTGGTGCCACAGCCGCTTTTACCTTCCGTAGCAGCGTCGTCCATGGAGACTGTCGTACACGACCAAACGCCTCTTGCTGAGTATCTGAAGGGTCAGTCAATACCCCGTGCCCGTTGCTTCGCAAGTCCCCGGAAACTCCTCTGGAGACAAGACCTTGGACGCGTCTGACATCCTGTTGCAATGACAGGTGAAGGCGAAGAACAGCACGACTGGCCCGCGCCGTCTGGTTCGGACCATCACGATGAATCGCCGCCGCCGAGCCCGTCTTTCGCACCGGTAGGGCGGCCGATGGTGAGGAAGCGGTTTCGGAACAAACTTCCCGCTCCCCTGGACCTCCCACGCGTGAACAGGCTGCGGTCGTTGCACAGCTATTCGGTGAGAGCGATCTTCGGAATGCGCTATGGGAAGTCCTGTGGCTGACCTTCTGCTGTTCCCTGTTGCGCAATAGAAAGCAGTCGCATCGAGGATAGACCGTGCCGATAATCACAAGTTTATTGAACAATTCCGGTACACGATTGTCGCGTCGCAGTTGTTAAGCAGCGCCTCTATCGCCGGCCAGACCAGTTCATATAGTCGACCGAAGGATTCACCCGAGCTTCCTCAAAATCCGGTAGCCCCTACATCAACAGGGCTGTTGATAACGGCTGCCTCGGCGCTGGTCGTTGCGTGGGTAGTCAGCTGGCTTTCCTCCGGGGGATATGCGCAGTTGACAAAGAAGCGCGTGGCATTCGGGGCAGCTCTCCTCGCTGCCGTCGGCTTTGTATCACACGCCTATATCCGGCAACAATGGCTTAGGCATTTGCGGAACCAGGCGCTGACCGAGGTGACAACCTTCGTTTCCAGATCGCAGGACTTTGACAGCGCATCCAGCGCTGCTTTGTCTCTTGTTCAGGAGGTCGAGCTTGTTTCCCGGGGCTACAGGATGTAAGTCAAGATGCACCCACCTTATGTCATTCAGGGAACTTACACAAGCTATAGAAGCGCACCATTGCCTCCTATCAGTCGGATAGAGGACAAGTCTCAGAACCGCCGTTGCCGCAGGCTGCGCCAGGCGCTCAGAGAGCGATTATCGGATATGATTGAGAACCACATGCAGGTGTCGTCAGTAGTCAAAGCCTTCGCCGAGCAGCTTGATCTCGAGAAGTATTATGATGTGTATGACATCAGCGACCTAGACATCTCAGACGCAATGCAAGGCTTCTCAGAACGCGAATTTGAGGATAAAGAGTCACTGAGGACTTTGAAAATTGCGGCTGCCCGTTTCCATACCATCCGGAAGATTACGCTGTGCTCACTACTCGCCTTTGAGGCGAGGGGAGACAGTACTGACTTTCTACGATGGTCGACGGCCGTTGAAGGGCTCAGAACTCTCAACGAGGTGACTCGCCAGAGCTACCAAAGACTTCATGATATTCTCAGTCAAGAAGAGAGTAAGCATACCTCTCCGCTTTCTGCACCGTCACCGCCCATGCTGACTCAGGCAGCGTTCCCGACGATCTCGGAGACAAAACTTCCGCTTTCTCCAGGCCGAGAGAAGCGACGATCTCAGTTCAGCAAACTCAATTCGCTTTCGATGGGCATACGAGGCCTCCAAGCAAAGCTGGCTCTATTACGGGAAGAGTCGGAGAAGACACTCAACGAAGCACCAGATGTGTCTGAGCTGGGCCACAGCCTCATGGCCCAGTACGAATCTATTGGCCAGGACTTAAAGATGCTAACGCAAGCATGGGAGGAGGGCAAAGCTGCCTTGGCATCAGGTATTGACCGGAACGAGAAGCGGCTGTCGTCTCTCAGCGCCGTTCTTTCGCCAGCCACATCGCTTAGTGGTCTTACTACGGTTGAAGAAGGCGGGGCTCTCGATGCACTTCGAGCTCTAACGGGCGAGTCTCCCCGAAGCTCGAGCTTCGGGAGCGCAAAAGGGGATTTGGACGAGGCCGAGGTGTTCGAAGCAGTCTCCTTACCCAGCAGGCCCCGGAGTTTCATGACGAGAGATGAACGGATCGCCAAGATGAAGGAAGACCGAGAGAGGAGAGAGATCGCCAAGGAGAAGGCCGAGGCAAGCCGAGGGATGCTGCGAGAACTCGAAATGGTCATCAACCTACGGCCGAAGCGCGCTACAATGCCCGCACCAGGGCGCCTTTCGTTATGATCGTGACGAGCAAACCAAGCAGAACGGTCGCTAATATCTCCTTTGTTACTGACATTGTGTTTCAATCTTCTTAACGGTGGTTTGGTGACTTGTATAGAGGCGTTCATCTTCTGGGTTGGATTAAGGTTTTGGAGCGCGCCTCATCATCGTCACTAATTTTCAGGGATCAACAGGACCATCCATGGCGTTTCAAACGGCTGGGCATCGCTACGAATAGAAATCCGCCTTGTAATCAGACTTTGGAAACAACATGCATAATCAACCGCGGCTGGAGGACAAATGTCCGCAACTCTCTTGTTTACTGAAGTTTTACTGTATCAAACCAGGAGTTTGGGGGTTTAGGTTCCCCTTTTAGCTGTATTGTACGATACATCTGCAACATTGACTGCGTACATGAACGAGACCAACGCGACTTTAATGTTGAGTAGTAAGAATGGAGGCTAGCTGGCGCTATAACGGCTCTACTAACTTACTAGGTACCTTGACATTGTGTGGAATTGTTTACATTACTATCGGTGCAGTCACAATTACACTTCTCCTGACAGTAAATTACAGTACTTCTAGCTTGCGCTGTAGAACCATTAGAGCAGTGCCCTGGAGCTAGCCCAAAAGGGAAATCAATTTAACTCGTAGTCGCGTCTTCCTTCCTGTCAAAGCGCGTCGCGTGTGATCTCTCTTCTCTTCCCCTCCACCATCAAAACCGCATTTTCCACCCACGAATCCTCCGCCTCAAATCTCTATATCCTGTTTAAGCTTCCTGCCAGCGTGATTCCTGTACGAGACACACAACCGAAAGCCATTTCTCCTAAAGACCACACGACAACTCATTCAGTAAGCTCAGTCCTCTATCGGCTGGATTCTTCATGTACGCCCCGGCAGGCAACAGAAGCTGACAGAAGCAGATATGTTGGAAGCGAGGCTGGAGCAGGCGAGCATCCTGAAGAAGGTACGCGCAATCCCCCGTGGCATCCTCTCTATCGTCCCGCGAGGTACACACTGCTCTAACGCTTCTCTCCACCCAGGTTGTCGATGCGATCAAGGATCTGGTGCAAGACTGCAATTTCGACTGCAATGACAGCGGCATTGCCCTGCAGGCGATGGACAACAGCCATGTTGCTCTTGTGTCCATGATGCTCAAGGCCGAGGGCTTCTCGCCATTCCGCTGTGACCGCAATATCGCTCTCGGCGTCAACCTAACGTCGCTCACTAAGGTACTACGCGCGGCGCAGAACGAAGACATCCTGACGCTCAAGGCCGAGGATGCACCCGACGTCCTCAACTTGGTCTTTGAAAGCTCCGAGACGGACAGGATCTCTGAGTACGACCTGAAGCTTATGGATATTGATCAAGAGCACCTGGGCATTCCGGACACAGACTACGCGGCAACAATCACGATGCCGGCCTCCGAGTTCAAGCGCATCACAACGGACCTGATCGCCATGTCCGAGTCCGGTATGTGGGAACCGAGCTTGTCATCCGCGGGAAAGCGCTCGCTTACACGGACTGCACAGTTACCATCGACGCAAACAAGGACGGTGTCAAGTTCTCGTGCCAGGGCGACATTGGCAACGGCTCTGTCACCCTGCGGTCACATACCAACGTGGAAAAGCCAGCCGAGTCCATCTCGATCGAGCTCAGCGAGCCCGTCTCGCTGACTTTCTCCCTCAAGTATCTGGTCAACTTCTGCAAGGCTTCAGCGCTCTCAAACTCGGTGAAGATCTGCCTCTCAAACGAGGTGCCTCTCCTCGTCGAGTACAGCTTGGCAGGCAGCAGTTATCTGCGTTTCTACCTCGCACCAAAGGTATGGGACGATCAGCCTTCTTTGAACTCGAGGCGTAGACTAACCGACACGCGAAGATTGGTGACGAGGAGTGAAAGAGGCCGTTCAACTCAGAGGTTGATGAAAATGTTGATACGACGGTCATGTAAGGGTTGGCTCTGTGCATGGATACCAACAATGGCCCCGCGGTTGATGCTGTCCGAAGAGGACGCATTGGCAGAGTCATGTCATAGAAACTTGCGGCCGACATGCCAGCGGACCTGTGATACTTTATGGTAATGAAACTAAAGTACCTTAGCCAACTTTTCCCTCGTCTGCAATCCCACACATCAACAATTATAGGTCTAAGCTTTTCTCTCAACCTCAGGAGGTTTTCATGTCGAGTCAATAAACCTCGTGCTGGTATTGCCCTCATTTTCCTCTCTTCCCCCCTGTTTCTCCTTTGCGGGCCTCCATCAGTAGTGCGGGGCTGCCTGACATACGAGATAGCGGGGTAATCCCAAGAGAGCTTCTGTCATGCAGCAGTTGAAGTTACCCGACTTATGGGTCCATACATTGACCTGTCATCTTTTGGCTGGACGCTTCCAGAAGGCAAAGCTTCGATCTCCAGCCTGGTCCGAAGTTCGGGATTGGTTCAATGACTTCGGGCGACAACGGCGCGGGTGCTATCGGCTCATAGAGTCATAACCATTAAATCTTCGTTCTGCCGAGCACTTCTCCTTCATAACATGCTACCTTTTACGAAAGGTTGCTTCCATTGTTTCCCCTGACATTTGTTACGTTTTCTCTGCCTCGATACCCCATAAATCGAATACTTCTGCGGCTAGCTACAAGCGGCATTTGCTTTATTGAAACCCTACTGTGTCCTCCGGAACTGCCTGTCCCGCACCGCTACATTGTCGACACCCAGCTATGAGTGAGAGCTCTCCGATTCCCGAAACCCGCGTGCTAGCGGTCGCCAGTCATGTAGGACGCATCGGTCAACTTCTACCTGCTGGTACTCAATGCTAATACAGTGCTCAAGGTCGTTTCCGGGTGAGTCACCGCCGAAATGGCCCTCTTGTCTCTCTTTGTACGCTGTGCGTCGCTGACGGAGAGCACTGCTTCAAGATATGTTGGCAATAAGATCGCCGTGTTTAGCATGCAGTCGCTGGGCTGTGATGTGGCGGCGCTGAACACCGTGCAATTCAGTCCGTTTCCCCGGCCTTCCCTACCTACCCGTCCTCACCGCGAAGGCGCGCTTTGCAGTTTGGTCCTAACTCGGTCCCCGGCAGGTAACCATACCGGGTACAGGCAATGGACGGGCTCGCGAGTCTCTGCGCAAGAGATCACCGACTTGTATCAGGGCCTCAAGCAGTCCTACCTTGACGACTTTGACATGATGCTCTCTGGTTACGTCCCCGGGGCGGCAGCGCTCGAAGCGGTTGGGCGGATAGCAGAGGAGCTGAAGAACAAGGCCAAGTCCAAACCGGGGAGCTTCTTCTGGGTACTGGACCCGGTGATGGGTGACAATGGCACCCTCTATGTGGCGCAAGACGTCGTGCCCGTGTACAGGAGCCTGGTACACCACGCAGATCTAGTCCTACCCAACCAGTTCGAGGCCGAGTCTGTCCTTTCCTTCCTTTGTCCCTCGCCCGTTGCACAACTCCACTAACATTCCCCCTTGTAAAAAGGCTCCTTTCGGAGGTGGAGATAACAGACATGGCCTCGATCGGGCGCGCCATCCGGGTCATGCATGAGCGCTACGGCATCCCGCACATCGTAATCACCTCGGTCTCGCTCCCGCACCCGGACCACCCCGTCTCGTCGCTGTCGGTCGTCGGTTCGACTATGACCTCTGACCGCAGGCCGCGCCCTTTCAAGATTGTCTTCCCCGCCATCGACTGCTATTTCAGCGGGACGGGCGACATGTTTGCCGCGCTGATGGTCGTGCGGATGCGCGAGGCCGTGCACAATGGCGGGACGGGGAGCGGGTTGATGCAGAGGCAGTCCTGGCTGAGCGACGACAGCGTGGATGCCCTCGACCTCCCCCTTGCCCGGGCCGCCGAGAAGGTGCTTGCGAGCATGCACGAGGTGCTGACCAAAACTGCGGAGAGGATGGAGCAGACGATGGAGAAGGCCAGAGCCGATATGGCGGCGGACGTGGACGGGGTGGGCATTGCCGGAGCAGAGGAAGCGCACAAGAAGAAGCTGCATCTGCTCAGGAGCAAGGCGGCCGAGCTGAGGCTGGTTAGGCACCTTGATAGTTTGCGGTTTCCGAAAGTCGAGTTTCGCGCGACGAGGCTGTGAGGGCACGAGGCATCTGGCTCGAGTTTTTGCATATGCATCTTGGCTTGTGGGCATCATAGAAGAGCGATAGACCGTGGCTTACATCATGTAAATGTCAAGATCTGTTTGATCTGTATCGTTTCATCCATCTCCTCGAACTCGTACCGAGAAATAAGTCTATTGGACCGTCCGATTCGCCCGGGATTCCATCCCGTGTTATGTCCATTCCGTGTAATGCAGCTTCCAAACAATCTCAACCTAAAACTCCGTCATAATTAATTCATCCCGGTGCTGCCGAACCCGCCCGCCCCTCTCACGCTCGCCTCCAGCTCCTGCACCTCGACGACCTCGGGTGTATAGATCCGCTCGACAACCAGTTGTGCGATCCGGTCGCCCTCCTTGACCTCAAAGTCGGCTTCGCCGTGGTTGAACAGCAGCACCTTGAGCGGCCCCCGGTAGTCGGCGTCAATTACGCCCGCGCCAGTGTCAATGAAGTGCTTTGCGGCGAGTCCGGAGCGGGGTGCGATACGGCCGTCTATTGGACACACGAACCCGTCGTGAGCAATCACTAATATGAAAAAAGAAACGGGAGAGGGTAACAGAAGTGAAAGTAAGCTTTGAAGTGGTCGGGAGAGCACTTACACGTCCCTGCCGGCACGGCCAAGCTGATGTCCGTATCAACCATGCCCTTGCCCCGCGCGGGAATCGTCGCGTCGCGCGCCGCGTACAGGTCGTACCCTGCGGCGAAGGCGCTGCCGCGGGTTGGGAGGCGGGCCTTGTCTGAGAGTTTCTTGATGAGCAACGGAGGGGGCTGTTGCTCTGCTGCTGCGGTGGAATGGTGGACGCCGCCGTTGGAGGAATCCATGGTTTCGCTGTCGGCGGTCGTCTTGATGCGCTTTGCGGGAGGGGAGGTGGGGACGATGGGCTCGTTCTGCGTGGCCGTGATGTTGTTGTTGTTGCTGCTGCTGCTGGCGTCAACGGTCATGTTTTTGAGACGGGCTCTGTTGTTCTTGGCTCGGTTGTCAGGTGAAGTAGGACTCAACTGAGGGTGAGTTCTCTGCTTTTGCTTGCTAAGTACGCCGCCGTTGAAATGAGACGCGTCTTGTCGACGCGTAAATTGGTCGGTGGATCCTACTGCAGGGGCTCGCGGGGCTGGGTCCACTTTGAATCACGGCGCTCTGATTGGTCAATTGGAATTCTCGGCTGTCGAATGGGCGAAACCTGTTACCGCATAATCGACAGGAAGTGGCACTTTGATGAGTGTTACTGTATTGTAATGTCTCTGTATCTAGGCGACGCCCTCGCTGTGCTTCATGCGCTTATCGTCATCCACGCCAAAGCAAACGTCATGCAGCAGCCCGTACTATGCTCATAAGACTCGGAGGTAGTCATTATTCTGGACGTTTTCCACACAGCATTCGCCAGGGGGATCGCCGGCACAGTTTGATTGTCGCCTTGATGTAACAGCGGGGGATTTACTGTTACAACACGTTGAGCCGTTGACTATGTTCCTGCTACCTTCTCGAGGCTTCTGAACCGCCTAGCCATCCAGTTCCCGCCCAAAGTCGACCAGCCGTAACCTCTGAGCATCCTTGGGGTGGAATACTGCGACCTTTGATCGGACTAGAAACCGAGCCGCGGCGGACTCGCGCGGTATTTCCACATATGCCGTAGAGGTGTCACCCCCAGATTCCATCAACTTGTTCATGAGCTGCACAATGAGATCGCGCATCTCTGTGCTGGCGGCCGATATCTCATCCCTTTCACGTTTCCTTTTGTTTGGTTGCCCCTGCTGCTCAGCAGGGCCCCATATCTCGTCGATCCGCTTCTGCCGCCTGTCCTGGTCCTGTTGGGCTTTCGCCTTCTTCAACTTCCCGTGCGCGTTGAATCCGGAGATCAGATCGTCTGGGTCGATCTCTGTCAAATCCCCTACTACCGGTCCGCCTAGCTCCTCCGCAGCTAGCATAGGCCCGAGGTGTTCGCCAATAAACCAATCCAGTTGTTTCATGAGGTCTGATGTCTCCTTGTCCCAGTGGTTCTTCTGCTGCTTCAGTTCGGTAATGCGTTCCTTGGCAATCTGCTCTTCAGTCTTCTCCTGCCTGTTTTCAAGTCCTTCGCGCAGGAGTTTGATGCGGTTTTCCAGTGCCACCTGCAAGGCTTGCTGCTCACGCAGATTTGCTCGCTCGGTATCTATCCGCCGCTCAATCTGCTCCAGCAACGCCGCCTGTTTGTCGTTGTACTCATTAGACTCCGCAATGGTCTGGTGCGCGCGCCGCATTGCTAGCAGCGCCGGCAGCACAGATTCCGGCGAAGGTAGGAGCGGCTCTGACTCTGCCACATCATGGAATGCCTTTGTCATGATCTTCATGGAGTCGTGTTCCGATATCCCGCCCTTAGAAAGGGGGTTTCGGCTGGCGGATGCCCTCAGCTGTCGAATAGCTTAGCAAGGTGGATACGGAGCGATACGTCTGAACACGAACCTGTTGCAAGGCAGCCTCGAGCTCTTTTCTTCTTCCGTCCAACTCCTGGAGGGTTCGCTGCAGCTGAGCTTCGTATACGGCATCGGGCTGGCCAGACGCGGCTTCCATTGTGGCTGACCTGGACTGTCCTTCCAACAGAATGCTTGCCGGAAAGTTGTCTATGCAGCTTCAATGACAAAAGCCACGTGTAGTCTCTCAAGCAAGAGTAAATGTCGACTCTCTAGTCTATACTGGCCGCGATGAGTGAGGGGTGCTTCCTTGCCGCATCCAACGCGCGAGTTACTGTCGTTGCTGACGCGACAGAACATTGGTCAGAGCATAAGGGTAAAGGGAAACCCAGCAACCATATTCTGTGGTCATAGAAGCCAGTGCCTCTCTTGTTGGAACCCTTGGCTTCCAGTATATTGAACGGCGTAGTACCGCAGTGCCCAGGCGGTCGCCAGTGGCAGGATGAGTTGGGAAAGTGGTAACTTACAGCACTCACAGTGTACGGCTGGGCCCCCGACGCGGTCATTTTATAGAGGATGGGATGAAGTGCAGCGGTGCAACCCAACCAGATTTGGCCCCACTCACACCAGCTCAAGTAGAAGGTGCCTTCCGGCCGATCATTCGTTGGACAGGGTCCCGTGCACCGTGCAGAGGCAGGTGAACAAGGCTGCAGCCCTCCACGCAGGTTTCAGCAGTTTCTCCTGCCAGGCGTCTCCAAACTTCTCTCGAGACAACCGTTTCCCCAGCAGTATCAAACTTCCCCTTTGCTTGGTTTCCTGCTCTTCAACGGTTTGTCGAGCAACCAAGGAGCACATTTCCTACTCCTCCTACCTTCTCTTTCTCCAAGTGGTTTTCGTTCGCCATCGGCTCGACTGCGCGATCGACCGCTAGCGATACTTTAGGCTTGCCACCGCGCGCAATTCCTGATCGCGCTGACCGAACGGCAATCCTCCATCTCGTCGTAGCGTGGCAGCAGCCTCGCAGTAGACCGGAAGACCGCAATTTCGAGCTAACGAACTGAACCGATTCGGAATATAAATCAAGCCGTGTTTGCTGGCTTGACGGGCAAAGAAAGGTTTGAGATACCTTGAGTGCTTCCACCAAGAGCTGCCTTCACTCCACGCCCTCTTACCTTTACGCAACCTTCCACCTCACCTCGTTGGAACAGCTTCTCCTACTCTTTTTCTTTCTCCCCTGCTGAGTCTATCTCTCGTCCACCGCGCGCTGTCCTCGACAAGTTACCGTCACCAATCACCAGTCGTTTGCGCGCTGCTGCACAGAACCTCGGTCGGGTTTTGGGACCTCTCCTATCACTGCACGCGCCTCAAACCACAGCCTTTCCGTCTTTCCGCCATCACTGCCCCGTTTTGCACAGCATCGCCCGAGGGCTCTCACTTCATCGACCCACTCAGAGCTTCATCTTTTCAGCTTGACGCCCGAATTGAGTACACTCAACCACTACACCTGCACGTTTTCTTTGGAAAACCCCCAAGGTGTAGATAACAGCGATACTTCAATTGAAAGAACGTCGAGCGCCACGGCAATTGGACAGAGCATTCCTTCGCGACGTGAAAGACTCCGTATCTAACCCACAATGTCCGCATCACCGCAACCGACTCAGTCCGCTAAGCGGCCCCTTGAGGAAACATCCTCTCCGTCTCGCACCGATCAGCCCGAGGCCAAGCGACTAGCTTTGGACAAGGTCATCAAAGATCAAGAGGAGACTGCGGAGCCGATTGCTGCCAGCAATGGCGACACCTCTGCCGCCCCGGCCTCAACCTCAGAGGCCAACGGAACGGCCAAGCCGAACGGAGAGAAATCGGACGTGAAAGACGTCCAGGGTGACACGATTGTTCCCGATGCCCCCGAGACCAAACGCATCACCAGCACGGCCAGTGGCAGCACATCGCAAGCCCAGTCAAATCCTCCCCCGGCAAGCCACGACGAGACCACCTGGATCCATGTTCGCGCCGTGATCTCGAGTCCCGAGGCCGCCACCATAATTGGAAAGGGTGGTGAGAATGTTTCCAAGATCCGACAGCTGTCTGGTGCCAAGTGCACTGTCAGCGACTATCAAAAAGGCGCTGTGGAACGTATTCTCACAGTCAGCGGTGTCGTCGACGCTGTTGCCAAGGTACGGCAGCATCTCCCTTTTGCAAACCTTGATGCTAATCCAGTTGCAGGCCTTCGGCTTGATTATTCGAACGCTCAACAACGAGCCCTTGAACGAGCCCTCGAATCAGCATTCCAAGACCTATCCGCTTCGTCTTCTCATTCCTCATATCCTTATCGGATCCATCATTGGCAAGGGCGGCTCCCGGATTAAAGAGATCCAGGAAGCATCGGGCGCCCGGCTTAACGCGTCCGACTCTTGCCTTCCCCTGTCTACGGAACGCTCGCTGGTTGTGATGGGCGTGGCTGATGCCGTTCATATCGCCACCTACTACGTCGGCAGCACACTCCTAGAGCAGCTCAATGAGCGCTTTGGTGGCGCTGCGGCTTCAGCCTATGCAACTCGCAGTGGTGGCCCAGCTGGCGCTGTTCCGGGCGGAATGCAGGTAATTCCTTATGCCCCTCAGCCCGCCGGCGGCAACTACGGCAATCGCGATCACTACAATCGGGGTCGTCCGGACCCCCGTGGCCATCATATGCCCCCCCAGCCGTATGCTCCGCAGTACGGCCACCCTGGCCAGCCACACCACAGCCCTGCCCCGTTGCATTATGGTGCTCAACCCGCCGGTGTCTATGGTGCGGCCCCGCACGTGCCACCCCACCATGCTGGCCATGTCGGACCCCAGCCTCATGTCGGTCCGCATGGGGCACCGGTGCCTGTCGGTGGTGTCATGCCCGGAGCCCCGCTCACTCAGCAGATCTACATTCCGAACGATATGGTTGGCGCCATCATCGGAAAAGGCGGCCAGAAGATCAACGAGATTCGGCAGATCAGTGGCAGCGTAATTAAGATTAATGAACCACAGGACAACAGCAATGAGCGCCTCGTTACGATCACTGGCACAGAGGAGTGCAACAGGATGGCGCTCTACATGCTGTACTCTCGGCTCGGTAAGCTCAGAGAGCAAAACCACAATCAATTCTTGCCTTAGCGATACTAATATGCTACAGAAAACGAGAAACATCGGATCTAGGCGCACCGAAACACGTCGATACCCTGCCGATCAGACCCGATGTCGCGGTATTCTCCCTATTCTTTCACGGTTTCGACGGCGTTTGGGGGAACGGTTCTCGGGGTGAAGCAGAAAAGCACTTTGCTGTCTCGTTGACGATTTCTGCCCCAGACAGGTTATGAGTGGTCTCTTCCCAGTTTATAGCACTCACATTTTGAGACCCCGATAATGAGTCATTTCGGTTCTGCACCTCACGTCCTGATTGTTGGATCATCTCTTGGCATTCCCCAGCCTTTCCCGTGATGCTTCACTGCCCTGCTGTGATCCAATGTCCCACCCGATGCTCACAGTCAAACTGCCCCTCCCAGACTGGATATGCATCGCTGAGCAAAGCTCCCAGACACTTACCAAGCCTTTACAGGCGATCTTCATGATTACTGCTAACTGCTAGTGCTACACCTTTAGGAACTCTTGACCGGGAGCGCATAAACGCCGGTATACAACACCCGAACGAGGATTTTCAATTCCAAAGATAACGCATAGGTATCATCAAGGCAAATTGATTGATTCAGTCAGGTGTGTAGTGGAGGCAGGCACTTGAGAGGACAGGTACAGAATACCCGAGAGCCGTCACCACAACGATAACCGTGATACGTCCTGCGCTTAGCTCCATAAAACGGATCAACCGGCGATTCCATGATGTACATACAGTGTGCATATGTGCAATCTTGAATATCTTACAAAGACAAGGACCTTTCCAACGCCTCGTGGTCGCTAACCAAAACCCAACGCCAGACAAGATAACCGACTGATAACAGACTGTTGATGACAGGTAAAACTAAGCAAACAGCTTAGGTCTTCCAGCCCTGCTCAGGGTCTGGTATTTGCCCAGGCTGCTGTCTTATTTGTTGCCGCGCACCCAGCTGAACAAAAGTAGGTGGACATGCCGCATTAGCTAGGCCTGCTCAGAACCTGATATTGAAAGATGACATACTTGTTCCACATCTGGCCGATGAAACCTGGGGGCGGCCGCTGCTCGTTCAAGCTCTGCCGCCGGGCGACAGAGGCGGGGTCGTCTTTGCGCTTCTGAGCAGTGAGGCCCTCGAAGAGGTGGCCTGAGGACTGTGTTCAGAAAAGGTGGTTTGGTCAACTTATGTCCCATAATGGATCTGAAGCGGTCCGGTGTGCGGGTAAGTGATAGAACCTACCCGGCGCCGAACGGGCGTGGAGAAGCCAGCCGCGTGGGCAGCTGTTGCACTGGGCGAGAAGGTTGCCTGGGTAGCTGCCGTACTGGCCGAGGAGGTAGAGTCGGATCGGCCGGTACGATACTCGGTACCCGAGGGGATGTTGTCGGCCATGGCTATTCTATGGAATGGGGAGTTGCTTCCTGATGGATTCAGGAGGTTTTAAAATGGCTTGTTGGGGGCTTCCGTTTCTGCCAACCAGTCCGTGTGGCAAAGAGTCGAACAGCTTGATGATCGTCCAGCACAAGACAGAAGAGGGAGGGCAGGAGCGGGGTTATAAGGAGGCGGACAAAGCGGAGGGCAAAACAACTGTTACTCAGTACTGGCTCGAGACTGGTAACGGATTACCAACGCCTCCGCCCTGCTTCTCATGTGAGCTCTCGATCTTACTGCTCGATCCTGTCGATGCTAATCTACACTGTCAAGGCGAGGGAATTGAATGGGGCATCGGTGCCATTGGACCGCCTTACAGTCAGTCATGATGACTTCACCAATGAGAAATTGCACCGTTTGTCTGGCAGTAAATGGGGTTATGGTCTGGAGCCCTCCTGCGGGGAAGGGGACGTTCTACCCCAAGTCGTGTGCCTTAAGGAGGTACAAGTAGCGGCCGGGCGGCCAACTCTGGAGCTTGCAGCAATCTAGAAGTTCCATCGTCAAGCTCAGTACTTTGATGTCTTAGCTCGACCCCGCAGCCGTGGGTTGCCGCTGTTTGGAGTACACATTGGAGAGCCTATCAGACGGGCTTGAATGTGCAGCAGATTATGCAGTACGATGGCAGTGGGCTCATGGGAGCAGCTCCTCCGTTTGAAGGGAGGGAAGGGTGGACATGACTGCGAGCATCAGACCACTGGGAGTTGTTGGTCCCCTGGAGCTTAAGCCATCATCTCTACCTCATTGATTGTTGGGGCTGAACTTCAGACAGCGAATGGTCCCTCAAGAGGTCGATGGGAGGATGGAAGCTGAGTCGACTTTTGCTATGATGTCATCGTGTAAGAAGCGGACTGGGCTTAAGCTCAAAGTTGAGGTCGATATATTTCTAAATTGGCTAGACACACTCTATACGGCCAGATCCACATAGATAATGAGGCTGTCGCAAATCCTTCTCCAAGATACAATCAGCACCGAGCTTTTGAGGTCCGGCCGTTTGCTGGAAGTGAGTGTCGCGTCGAGGTTGTTGTAGCAATCCCTAGGGTGGGGTAAGCTCATCGGCATATGCGTCTACTAGTCTACTTTAGAACTAGTGTATCGCTATACCGGTAAGCAATGTATGTATGTACAGTACTCCGTACACGGAGTACATGTACTTCCAGACCTCCACAAGCACTCTGTACATACAAGCTCAGCCCTCCTTCAGAATACTCTTTGAGAAACACCACAGTTCTTGAAGGTAGGTAATCATTCACGGTAGCCTTCCTGGCATGCTGCAGTTGAACACGGTCACAATGGATCCAGCCGTATATTTCCAGCCCTGCAGCCCACTACGGTCGAGTCGATGCTGTGCTACCTAGAGAGTAAGGAGGACATGCAGGCAGGAGCTCCTTCTTCAGGCAGAGAGACGCTTACGCGCTCATGGCAACATGAGCGAATGCAAGCTTCCAGCTCTTTAAATCGCCAGCCCGCGAACCATTACCCCCTCTCGCGGCTATTCACGAAACCTCCAAAATCCAAATTAGCTGAGTTGAAAGACTGGCTCGAGAACCTGGGAAGCTGAATATCTCGGCGTATCGTATTGCACAAGATGGCCCGAAAGCACTTTACGATGCTCGGTTAGTGCAAGGAGTTCAAGCAGTTGTCACCTTTAACTAAAGTCCACCCAACAGAAAATAACCCGGAAGTGATGAACGCCCTGGCCAAGAAGCTCGGCCTCTCCGACGACCTGGCGTTTTATGACGTTTACTCCCTAGACGAGCCCGAGCTGTCCGCACATATCCCACGGCCGGTATATGCCTTGCTCACCATCATCCCGCTCACCCCGGCCTGGAAAGAAGACCGCGAAAAAGAAGACGCGGCACTCGGTGACCCAGCTAAATACTATGACGGCAGCCCAGCCGACGCCGGCGAACAGCCCATCATCTGGTTCGAGCAGATCATCGGCGACGCGTGCGGCTCGTACGGGCTGCTGCACTGCGCCATCAATGGCGCCGCCGCCAAGTTCATCCTGCCGGGCAGCACCCTGGAGCATCTGCGCAACGACGCCATGCCGCTGGCCCGCGCCGAGCGCGCGCAGTTGCTCCACGACAGCGAAGCCTTTGAGGAAGCCCACCGGTCCGTCGCCCCGATGGGGGACACGGCCGAGCCTGTCTCTGGGACGCCCCATGCGCACAGAGGCCAACACTTTGTTGCTTATGTCAAGGCGAACGGGCATCTCTGGGAGCTTGAGGGCTGCCGCGACGGACCCCTGGACCGAGGCGAGCTTGGACCCGAGGACGATGTCCTGAGTCCGAAGGCTCTGGCGCTCGGCCTGAAGCGTATTGTCAACCTGGTGGCGGACTCTGGCGTGGAGGACCTGCGCTTCAGTTGCATCGCGCTTGCTCCGAGGCAGGGTTGAGACTCTGTGAGAAGCTCGGGGGCTTTCTGTCAGGTCCCCCTTTTCGTTAAGACGGCCAGCAGCCATCGCCTGCCACCCGGTGCTCCAGTAGAAAGAGAGCCGTGAGCTCTGGCATTCTGAGATTTTGAATATTGCCAGCTTATAGCCAAAAAGCGGGCTGTGAAATGGGGTCGTGGCCGAGGTAGCCGTTGCTCTTGCCGGGTGTATCGGCCTCACGTTCCAAGCAGCCCCTGAGTCTGCAACACCGTTCCCGGCTCCCCAAGCCCAACCCTGCCATCGTGCCCAGCCTTCTGCTGCTGTAAGAGGTTATGCATTAAGCCATTGTGGAAAGGAGTGATTCAAGTCGCTTTGTGAGGCTTGCTTCAATGGGATAGTGTGGCAAAGCCTGGAATCGCTTGTCCTTCGAACACTTGTGGATGGAAACTGGTATGAAGTGACAAGCCACAGGAAATGCAACGTATACTCGACTGGTTCTGGTTCGTACTAAATATCCCTCCCAGTCCACCTGTAGGAGTCGGGGCCATCGTCCGACAGTACTGCCTGCCCGGCTCAGCTGCGTTTGGCGAGTAGATATTTCTTGCATAAACCGCAGAGACGATAGCCGCACTCAATACATGTAAAGATGCTGCGCAACGTGTTAGTTGCTCCCCTTCATGTTACCCTCAGTCCCTCTACTTACGAGCCCCTCTCCACCTCGCCGCATATCATGCAGATTTCGTGGTACGGTTGAGAGTGCCACCCCCTGCTCCGGGTGCTCGCACTCAAGAATGGCCTTCCATCGGTACTCGAGTGAGACAACTGTCCCGCCCGGCGACCTTGTGATGTCTAGTGCTCCTCCAAGAACGCGTTCTAGTTCTGGAGCGCCGGCCGGGGCAGGGACACGTTGGCCAGGTTTTGCCACAGAGGTAGCAAAACTCGTGACCGCAGCGGCAGCTGTAGCAACAGATCGCCAGTCAACTCACTTATGTTCTGTAGTGGCGGGACAGTTGGCCCATCAAGGGCCGGGGATCACTAACATCATATGATAACAACCCTCGACACGCTCCACCACCTGCCCGCAGAAGCGGCACTTCGACCAGGCCTGCTCCTTGGCCAGTTCTTCGACTTTGTTCTTCTCTTCATCGGGCTGACTGTTAGAAATTGTCAGTCAACTTCTTGCACTCTGCAATACTAGGTAGTCCCTTTTCCCAGAATCCCAGGAGCTTCAAATAGGAGCATGCATGGGTGTACGTGACATACCAGTCGCCGGGATGCTTATCCGCCTTGCATCTCGCGCAGGTTTCGTGTCCAAAAACCGGGCAGCGAGCCGCATCCGACGCGATATGTCGCTCGGGGACGAATTTGCCGCAGCCGGAACAGTACGTCTTGTCGGGGGTTTTCCACTCCTCATACTTTGCGCGGTAGGCGTCGACCAGGTCCCGGCCAAGGATGCTAGCAACATCTTCTGCGAGGATGATCTCCATGGGCCCGTCTGGGTTCAGTGGGAACAGGGCATCTCGGTGCTTGACGCAGCACTTTGGGGGGAAGTCTGTGAAATCAACTGCCCTCACCACGTCGAAGAACCATGCGCGGAGGCAGAAGGCGCAGTAGAGTTCGCCGCAGAGCGTTGTGATAGAGTCTTGTTCCTCGACGTCTTCCCAGCACGCACCACACTCGACCCGTCTGTTGACGCCGAAAGAAATGGAGGCCATTGTAGGTGGATGATTTCGTAGGGTTGATATGAGTGCGAGGCCTCGACGCTATTTGCTGTTTGTGCGGGTATCCTGGGATCTATATATGTGCATGTGGTGCTGGGAACAGCGTGGAGCATATGAGGTACGTCTTAACGCCACGGCAATGACAGCTCGCTCCATGACTATAGACAACCACGGTTGGGACAGTTAGATTGGCGGTTTGTTGTTGAAAGACTCGCTTAACACCAAAAATATGATAGCCTGCAGATGGAAGACTTAAGTACACATTAGTTAAGTAATCCCTAATCGGAACCCAACTTGCGTGCTCACCTTTATATCTTTTTAGATACCCTGAGAACACTCCATCACCTTACTCCTTCCACCCAGTCCTCCTGGCATACCACCGGACCCCGTAGACTAACCCGAGCAGCACGGGCACCTCAATCAGCGGCCCGACAGTCGCCGCCAGAGCTTGATCCGAGTGCGGCCCGAACGAGGCCACGGCAACGGCGATGGCCAGCTCAAAGTTATTGCTGGCGGCCGTGAAGCTCTGGGTGACGGAGAAGCCGTATGGGAAACCCATTCTCTTAGTCGCAATCAGCGTTGCGAAGAATATTAGTGAGAAATAGACGACCAGCGGGGCGGCCACGCGCACGACTGACACAATCTGGTGCACGACCTGGGAACCCTGCGAAGCAAACAGGACAAGAATGGTGAAGAGCAAGCCGATCAGCGACAAAGGAGCCACGAAGCGGATGAAATGGGTTTGGTAGCGATCGGGGCCAATGAGAAGGAGTAGCCCCAGGCGGGTGACGATGGCGGCGCCAAGGGGGATTCCGAGGAAGACGCCCACGGAAGTGGCGACTGTTGAGTACGAGATGGTGATCGCGCTCTCTCCGCCGGGGTTGAAGACGCGGATGAAGAGGAGAGATATGGGGGCGAATAGCACGATTTGGAGGAGCGAGTTGGCGGCCACCAGGATGGCGCAGTAGTCACCGTTGCCGCCGGCCTTTGAGCGCACAGTTAGCATCGAGATCATGTAAGCAAAAGGGAAGGGTACATACGAGATTGTTCCAGATCAGAACCATGGCAATGCAACGCGCGATTCCCACCAAGATGAGGCCCTCACGGAGACTCTGCTGGTCCGGAAGGAAAGCCCAAGCGAGGCCAAGCTGTGCTATGTTAGCCCCTGAGGGGAGACATTGGGCGGCATATTTGCCAATTTGCTCACCATGACCAACGGCGCAACAACCCAGTTGACAATAACACTGAAGCCGAGCTGGATCCAGATCTCCCTCGTTTTGAAGACCACATGCAGCTTCTCGTACTGAACTTTGCACAGAATGGGATACATCATGACGAGCAGCCCGATGGCTTCGCCGGCATCACTATTAGCATCCTACACTTGGTTGCTTTTGCTCAGACATGGGAAGCACATACCGATGGGCACCGAAACATCAACAAAGGTGCCCCGTTGCAGCGCCGGTCCAACATCGCCAACAAAGTTGCCGAGGAGGATGCCAATCAGCATCGCCAGGAAGATCCAGACTGCTAGGAAGCGGTCGAGGAGGCCGAGCGATTTAAAGACGGAGTGCGCGGGCTGCGGCGGCTCGCAAGGGCCATTTGGGGCTGGGTTGCTCTGCTTCTCGACATCGCTTCTCGGATCCATGACATCGTTGTCTTTGCTCTTGGTGTCTGTGTCTGTCTGGTGTGGAAGACTGTCGATCGAAGCCATTGTGTGCCTAATTTTCAGGTTTCACTCGCACGGGAAGGACAGAAGGTGCACAATGGACTTGTGATCCTGATGCATTGTAGTAAGAATACAGATATCCCAAAGGAACGGAGTCACTGATATATGTTGGAGATTTTTCGCCTTGTAGACTGCTGTAGTGTAGAACTGCGGTATGTACAGTACCAGACCTTTCCATTGTCGATGTTGCAGCTGCCGAGGCAGGCTAGCCAATCACGCAGGGGCAGTGACCTCCCTCCTTCAGGGTTCGTAGTGAAATAGAGCCAATGAAAGGTGTAGAAAATGTCACTGTGGAGCAGCTTGGCATAGGGCTACGACCGCGGGCTTGGGTGTGGCAAAAGGCAACCGAAGAACATTATCAACGTCAACGTCGGTGTTAATGTTGATGTTTGCAGCGTAACTCGGAAGGTGCTTCATTACTCCGTACACCCAACGGTACCTTATTTGATGAACTTGTCGGCTCGAAGCCTGTCCGTCTAATAAAAGCGTAGGGGCCCTTATAATCAGTAGTGCGATAAAGTACAAAAGACGCTCTGAAGCAGCATCCGCGGTTGCCCGCAGCACCCTTCGGCAAGATGATAAAGTTACGCAACCTGGAAGTATATATATCATCCAGAAGAGAATGCACAATCCTCTGCGCGCCTTATGGATGTCTTCGTAGGAGTGTTCTATTCGCTACCTAATGTAAACGCCCAGCCGGGTCAGGGTTACCGCAGGCATATGCAATCCGACAACTCGATGTGGTGCTATCTGCGCCGGTAGTAACCCTAGCCCCACCCCCTGTACAATACCCCCTGGTTTGTTCGCTAGCGCCTGACTTACAGGCAAGGGTCAACCCCAAAATCCGAATTTCAACTTCAGAACAGCCACTTTTTTGCTGCAATTAGGACTGGAATCCAACGCCGGTTCAGAGTTCTACTAGAAGCTCTATTTTCTTGTGTTGACTTAGCTTTTTGCAGTGTTGAGAGAGATCTTTTTGAATTTGGGACCAGGACCCTTGTCGGGAGTTCTGCGCTAACGAACAAACCAGCATTGAACTGTATGTAGTAAGCGGGGGAATACTGGTTGTCCTGTACTGTATTGTACAGTACATACAATACTCCGTACTTGAATGGAATACTCAAATACTCGCGCCTGCGGGGGATTCCAAGTTCTTATGCAGAAAGGTCTGCGAAGGAAAGAACTGTCAGAGTCCTAGAATCGACTTGCGTATCTTCATCTGGCCATGGACGCGCGGACAGGCGCGCGGGGACTCCATGTGGCACCTGCCAGCGCATACAGCAGGCAATCATATGCATCGGATTCGTACGTGCACTGCGGTGCATGCTGCAGCTTGTAGCCCCGCCCCCGCGAGCGAGCGCGTCGCGCGTCCAATTGCTCCCCAATAAGTCTGTCCCTCAGCCTCCAATGTTGACGGACTTTTTAGCTGCTACATAGCCATTCGGGACCGATTGAGACATTGGTGCTGGCGCAGCATGCCAGCTCAAATTCTCTCGGTAGGACCAGGATCGGTATTTCCGGCCCATCGGGCAATCGTATGTAAAGTATGAAGTATTCGTAGTTAACGTTCAAAGTTATGGGATAATTGACAGGACTCAGGACGGTAGCTCCGTTGCGCGACCGTCGTGGTATAAGCCTGCCATTGTGAAAGTTGGATGTTGAGGTGAAGACGACGAGGTGAGCGGTGTCCACTGTCCGGTCTTGCATGAGGACCGTGCCCACATTGTCGGGTTCGAGATGGTGTGTGATCTGCATATTCTCAGGTCTTCGATTCCGTGTGCTAATTCTCTTAGCCATTTGCATCATCCTGCCAGCCAATGTGCCAGCCTCAAATTTTCTACCTTGAACAGCAACTGGGCTATCTACACCCTTCTTGGTACGTTGGCCAGATGTTGTAATGAGATATCCGTACTACGAGTACATACCCAGCTTATTACCGATAGGTTTTGAACGGCTTAGGATGCTGCGTAATAAGTCTGGACACTCACTCGGCTGAACCGGTGCCAATCTGCAAGATCTCCCGGAGGGCTTTTGGCGTTGCGGTCCGAACCTCTTGATAATCATAATGGGGACGAGTGACGTTAGTGTGCGTTTGTCGCTGCGTTGTTTCCGAGCCTAGGTACCTGAGCGAGCTGAACTCTTTGCGCTGATGATGGAGCGATGCAACAGCTTAGCTACAGGATGTACACTACCTAAGGTACACACATGAAATCCTAGCGTTAGTGTCGACTAGTACTTTAAATACCTAGCCCCCCCACCCCGAGCCTTCCTCGTTCGGGAAAGCAATACACAGAAACATTTCGATTGGAAGTGATTCTTCGTAAACGCTTCCGATCCAGTTCCAGATCCTAGTGTAAATTTAGTCGATGCTTCCCGTCCTTTAGGGTGTATATCTTCCCCACGTGCATGGCTTCTGCGCTCGTTGTTACAATGTTGTCTGGGACAAGAAGGAGGCGGCGGTCATGACTTGGGCCTGTGCTCTCGGCAACCTTGAAGCTGCCGTCGGCGGTCGTAGACCGGAGACCGGCAGATGGCCATGCCCGGCGAAGCTCACCCCACCGCTCACTTGCAACAGCGCGCCTCCCCAACCCCCTTGGCACATCCCTTGTCTACAGGGATACTCCCTCTTAGTTAGCCTCATCAGGTTCTTCTGGCCCTCCTCAGCGAGAACCGGAAGATTCTCGTCCTAACTTGCCAGTTCGTCTCTTGACTATTCGTATCTCAAAAGGTCCATTCTTGAGTGGAACATCTATGTCCTGACCTGACTCGGTTTTGGCAATGTCTTCAGATCAGATCAACAATTCAGAAGTGACTGATTGGCTTTAGTTCTGGTTGGCTGTACATCCGTACTATACACTAATTCGGCAAACAATTCAAAGTCCAACATTACCTCCCCTTGTCCTTAGTGTTGGAAAATATAACTCTGCTTTCAGGTTTTTGGATCGACGACGTCAATTGCTTGCGTGCATGGGTTTTGAGCCTGGGTGCCCGCACTGGTCTGTGCCCGTCCAGATTTGCATTGGTCTTTGAGCCAACTGAGAGCAAGGGACCTCTGTGGCACAGAACTCAGCTAGCACGAGTCAAGCTGAATTGCTCAGGCAGAGCCTTTTCCCCCATGTATGTACATACGGATATGGACATGCCTACATCACTCTTGGATACGTGTATTAAAGTCTCGCTTGCCGAGCCTAGGAAGTCTGCGATCCGCAGTCGATCTGAGACCCTCGCCGTCTTTTTTCGGCCTCTTTCAGCATTCTTATTTTGCACCATTTCCCAAAGTCCTTCAGGTTGTTACCCTTTTTTTTTTCCGCACTGGGCAGCGGCGTCGTCATCCTCCCGGTCCTCCAACAACCGAGACTTTTCCTAGAAGGAAATAAAAGAACCATAACCTTAACTACGGATCTAACGTTGGATGAAATATGTTTTGAAAGTGGATCAGCAGGGCCAGCGTTACAGCGTGCGAGGGGGAGTTCCCTGATTGTTGCCAACATCCGGCAGACACGGCAACATCCTGCCTAATCCCCCTTCCCTGTTCGGGTGTCCGACCTTGCTGTGCTGACAACCCCAATTACGCCGTCGCCCGCCCAACTGGGTTTCCGTTCCTTTTGTCGAGAAGTAACGTTGGGGAAACTGGACAAGTTGTTGTTGGCGAACCACTGCCAACCACGAAGGCGGACAACTGGGCGCAACAGGGCTTGGGCTATATCACCACTGCCCGTGCCATGAGATGAGTGGTCCAATCCTTACGGTGGCCTCTCAGGCCATCGACCCCAGCAGTCGTCATGGTAGCAGCGGCTACGGTAGCAGCAGCACCAGCAGCACGCCATCATTTCGCAGTTCGCTTTCTGTGTCGGACCTGGGTGTTGCCCGTGCCTCCTCCAAGCAGACCCCGCCTCTCGATATCACCCCCGTCAACGGAGCGGCCGGTTTCAAACGCCTATCCAGTCTCCCCTCTTTCGATCTACCTTCTTTCGACCTGACTAGCGAGATTGAGCGGAGCTTTGGCTTCACCAGCAGCGTCGAGGTGTCCCCCATTAGACCAGCAACCGCAAGAGAAAGGCCGCCCGAGATCGACACCAGAACCGAGACGGACAAGGGAAACCGGGCTGCACACATTGGCGAAAGTACCGGCAAACACGGCCGGAGCAGGAGTAGATCGATGATCGACCGCCCTCTCTCATGGCTTCACAGCTCAAAATCAAGTCCCGATGTTCGAACCATTCATGAATCTTGCCCAAAACGGCCGGCCGAGCAGAATCTAACGACCATGGCTGACGATGTTCCGGCGGGGCGCTCCCTGCAAAGATCCAGCACTGTCGAGTCCTTTGCCGACTTTGCGAAGCGGTCTTGGATCTCAAAGTCAAGGTCTCCGTCGCCGCCCAGCAAGCCTAAGCAACCGCGAGGCGGCCCACGTGCCTCTTCGACCGATCGTCGGTCGACATCGAAGTCGAAGCTGACCCCGGGTCCACCAACCGGCGACGATACACCCGTTATCGTCGAGCCCTCGAGCAGCAAGAACCGCGCTATGAGTCGTGCAAGTGTCTATCTGACAAGGTTAAAACAGAAACCGCAAAGCGTGTTTTCTAGAACCCCTCCCGCGCTCGCTGTAAAGCCGTCGTCTACGCAGACATCGACATCGAGCGATGCCAGTTTCGCTACCGTCTCCACTCCTTCTCGTGTCGCGGCTACCCTTCTCAAAACACAAAGCTCTGCAGCGTCCGGACACAATGATTCCTGTAACAGTCTTAGCTCCCAGAGCTCGTCCCAAAGAGACTCATCGGTGGAATCAGAGTTGGATACGGACGCAACCACCGCTAGCACCGCCTCCGAGAATACGCCCAAACCCGCGGCCGGAACGAACCTGACGATGTCGCACCCCAGCTCGCGCGATCCTCTCTGGGCAACCTTTCGAACGCTAGATGACGAGTTCGCAGGATTGGCCGCGAAGAACTCAACAGCGGCACGGATGGGCGTTGTCCGGACCATCCTGATGCCCTTTCTACGCAGCACAGCCTACCACCCGTCAAACTCAGATCGGTCCATCTTGACGCCCGAAAACGTCGACCACAGAGTAAGAATTTTGAACAAGTGGTGGAACGGCCTCTTAGCCATGCTGGTTGGCGGGAACTCGAGACTACCAGCTGGGCTCGGACCGAGCGTAGCCTCGCTAGGCATTTCCTTTCCCGTTCTCCAGCCAGTCGCGGGGGTGGACAGGCCGACGCTGCTCGAAGCAATAACAATGATCATGACGCGACCCGAGTGGAGGTCATGTACCAGCTACTTTCAGCCGCTGGTCGATCGTTGTCCCAGGGAAAGGGTCCGAACAAGGTCCGGGACGCAGTCGAGTGTTGATAGCGATATGGATGGACTCCTTGCAGAGTCGGCCGAGCACAATATTCGTACCATGTTCGTCGCAAACCTTACGACACAGATGGCGATAGTGGTCGAAAAGCTGTCAATGCGGCACGCCCCTCTCAGTCTTGTCAATTGGTGTGGGAAGGCTTGCGCATATGCCTTCTTTTTTGCGCCTGGCATTGCCGATGTGTTGGTCCGTCTCTGGAGGGTGAACGCGGACCTCTTGCGCAGGGTTGCAGACGAATTTGGGCTACCGAGGAGAAGCCGAGGCGAAAGCGATGACCTAGTGGCCCTTTTCCCGCCGCACTTGCACAAGCTTGGCTGGTCGTCTGTGAAGGGGCTTGCAGATAAGCTTCGCCTGGCCCCGAAGCCCTCTCTAATGCTTGCCGAGATCCACTGGCATGGCCCCTGGGTGTCGAGATGGCGGGGCGGCGATACGGACCTCGTCTTCATATTTTGCAAATACTTTTACATTCTCGCCGAGCAGTTCATGCCCGAGGGTCTCCCGTTAGTGGAAAAGGCGCGGGTCCCGGGGTTTGTGCTAGTCCATGCGCAGCTCTTGTCCCTTTTGGACGGTACCATCAACCGTCAGGCTTCCATAGACTCCATGCTTGGTCCACCCCTTTCTGATGTCCTTCACGGTGCCGATGCTGCGCTGACTGCGCCTCCACTTCCTGGCAATCTTTTGAGGGGAATGGACGAGAACCGTCTGATCGTCTTGCTCAAGGATATGCTCGATGAGAACCCCAACGGTGTCTCGCCACAGATCAAACATACCTTTGCCGAGGCGGTCATGGCCGTTGCGAAGGCGGCGACCAAGAAAACCCCGCGCTTTCAGCATGCAGCCTGCTTCATGCTCTGCGACTTTCTCGAGGAAGCGCTGGTGACGCTCAACGCATTTCAGAGCACGGTGAATGACGGCATCGTGACAACACCGACAGAGGGATGTTCTCCTTCGAATTACTTTGAACATGCCGGCCTATCCCGACCAGTCAACTACATTGACTGGCCGTTTTGGTTCGAAGTCGGCAAGATGATCATGGATTCGAACAACACAATGTCTGAGATTCGCATCATGTCGTTCATCTTCTCAGTCTGGGACGCTATTACGGCAGACCCTGCTCGCAAGGAGGCGCTGTGCCTGGAATGGTTGCTGACTGACCAGGTTTTTGCGAAGTTCTTTAATCACTGGAGTCCGATGGTTCGCGCCTACTACATGCGCCTGCTTTGCTGGCGGATTTGCAGGGACTCGGGCAGTGCCAACGAAGTGGATATCAAGATCTTTCTTGCGGCATCCCAGAGACTGAAGACGGTGTGGTCTCATTATCTCTGGCTAAAGCAAGACGCCGAGGCTAAAGGACGGGCGCATCCGTCAACAGCGCCTTGTTATCCTACCCCGGGCAAGCGGTTTTTGATCATCCGGACCGAGGTACAACCTCCCCAGAACCCCTTGCGATTGGGCTTCGACTCGACTTCCAGCTCACTCACCTGCTCGGATCCTGTTTCCGACTATCGTGGCGCGCTTGGCGGGAATACTGAGAGCCGGACCGATGGCAGCAAGGCTGACAGCAACTTGGCATCGTTCAAGAAAAGGCTGTCACTCTTGGGTAAAGTCCTCCCGTTTAACGCGTCGCAGGAGAGCCCGAGCTCGATCTCGAAACGAACCTGGGAAGAAGAGCTGGAACAGGCTCGCCGCGACACAGCAGCGTCACGGACGCCTGGCCGTGCGGGCCCGCCGAACGGTTTCCATCCGCCAGGACCACCCACTCCGCCTAAGCAAGCGCCCACCACGGCTGTCTCGCCGTCCTCTGAGTCGGTTTCTTCGACGGGATCTGCGCCAGTGTTCGACGCCGGAACCTTTGTCTTCCGCTTCACTCTTACCTGGCTGACCGGCCCGGGAGGCGGGCCACTGCACTGCGGCCCAACCCGTGACCGGATCCTAACTCGGCCTCGGCTCCCAGCACCGGCGCAGGCAAGGGTCAGCGCTCGCACCGCCGGCTTGAATGGCAGCAGTAGTGTTGGGGGAGTAGCAACGTTGCGCAGCGACAGCCCACCTCCTATTGCGCCCGGTCTTCCTCCAGTGACCAGAAGGTTTAGCGGGGTCTTGCAAACCGGACTGGTCAGCGAGGCGAGGAATGCTCGGCCATTGTCAATGGTGGAGGGGCCGCGCAGCCCTGTGGAGGCGGCGAAGCCACTTGACAAGCGTCTATCCCTAAGCATCAACGTCGACATTACTCCAATATCGCTTTTCGATGACGAAAAGGATAACCAACCAAGGTCGAGCGTTCAGTCTCCAATAGCGACACTGTCTGGATTCACAGGCGATGAATCAGACCGTGGCCGGTCAATCGACACTGGCTCCGGCGAGCGTGCACCTCGCCCACCACAAGCCCAAGCCCCGGCCCCGGCCCCGGCCATTCGCCCGGAGCGGCCGACGGGCGTTTATGCCCCAGGCGCCGTGTACGCTGGGCGGGCGCTGGCCGAGTGGAGCATTGTCGTCGGCGAGTGCAACAGCTTCGTGGACCGCCGACGGGAGGAGGGCGTCCTCGGGCTGAGCGATGTCGAAGTGCCGACGCTTAGCGTCGAGGGACTGGGTCTGCGAGCCCGAGGCTAGAGGTTCAGTTTTGACTCCGCGCAATCTCGGGAACATGGGACACATACGTTCAGGCGTTTACGGCTCCTTTGCCGTGCATCTGCAGGCAATATCACCGACATCATATCATTTCTTGGTTTGGTGTTCATCTCTCTTCTCTTGCATCTGGTGACGATTCTTGAGCTACCGACTATACATTTACAGCACAGTTGCATATCATGTTCAAGAGAAATCTCAGCATTTTGGAGCAATTTTGTATTTGCATTTCCGATCCTCTCTGCGCTGCTTTCACACCGCTTTCATATGATCTATCATTGGGGAAATGGTCTACATGAGCGGTCGGTTCGGTTCTTGTTCGCATACAATCACTCTGCAAATATGCTCACACTTTGTGGCGTTGGTTGGATGGCAGGTGTCAGGACCAGGCTAAAACGGCACGGTTTTATAGATGGGAAAGAGCTTAGGCTCTGCTTTGTTTTCCCTTTTCTTTGGTTTTTTTGGTCTTCTCGCAGGGGAATGGCTACCTAATATTGATAATTCTCACTGGTTTAGCTCATTTGCATTTGCAAGGCTTTTTACTGTTGTGTCTGGTTTATCATGCGAACCTCTCAGAGGGCTTTTGCTCAATTCATTCGCCTCCGGAAAAGGGGAAGGGAGGAAAGGGGCGACGAAGGGCTCTTTTCCTTGGGAGGGTATACCCTGGTCAGGTACTCGGATCTAAGGGGACCTTGCTGTGGATTGCTTTGCCAGTTGGACTGATGACATGCTTGGTTGGGGCGTACCAATGAGTATGGTTAATCGCAGTTACAATACAATGCACACAGAGCAGCAGCAGCTGGAGTGTGGCTTCTACCTGAGCCTGTATTCGTTTGTGATGTCTGGCGTGCTTGCGAAGTGTATTGTACCTACCTTACCTACCAGGCCCAGTTAGGGAGTGTGAGCTCCAAGATGTACTAGCGTCCTTGTTACCGGGACCCTAATAGTGTTGAGTGTTGAATTCGGCTTTGATTTCAGTTTTGTATCTTATTCTGGGCGTGGGTGTAATGTGACTCCGCGTCGTTGTTTGTCACATCCTTCAAGGCTTTTTGTAAGTGCGGTATGAGTTGTTTGAAGGGCGATGGTACGGTACGGTAGTCTCCTCTCAGTTGGATGTATGTACATACAGTACATAGCCGATGCCAGGCTGAGTGAGATGTGATTTACAACAGGACCTACTATGGAAATAGTAACGAGGCAGCAGAGTCTTGACCTGTGTGTTTATCTATAAATCAGGGGCTCCTACTGTAAGGTAGGAAAGCGAGTCCTAACCGGCCCCAACACATCATCACCAGGCAGCAAGGCAGCCATTCCTGCCATATCTGGAAAGTGGGGAGGAAAATGACAGGTTCCGGACCGGTCCGCTAGGTTGGTGCAACACTGGACGGCACCCGATCCCGTCGCGGGCCAGGCGTGGGTCTGGCTCCCTACAAGGTACCGTAACTTTTGTATATACGTACATAGGTACTCCTCTATCAGTGTACTAGTAGGTAGGCCAACTTGGGCATTCACGAATCTGCTTTGGGACGTGAGAGCGCCGCGCCTTCATACAGACAAGGTGCCCGGACTACCGACTAACATTCCCGAGGCGTTCGCCCACCGCTGTGCTGCCTGGGATACTGCTTGTTCGCGACAGTATTCCATTACCGTATTCGATGTTGTTTAGTTATTTCGGCCCAGTAGAAGACCAGCGAACAACGAAGGTAGGTACTAGTAATTAGTGCAATGCGTGGCAAGAGTGGTAACTTATGCTACGCTACTCTTGGAACTCCCTTGCGGCATGTAGCAACCCCATGCATCTACCGCCAGAAGACAACTAAAGGTTCTCCTCAGGATTATCTGGGTTTCGGCGCAGCACAAATGAAGATTGAGATTAAACGTACGAGCTGAATGGACCAGCTGTCCTTGCAAGCGATGCTTGAACCCCTCCACTAGTATTGAATATATCGTAACAAATCATGAATGCCGCTCTATCCTGCTAAGAAGTAAGGACCCGTATCAACAACTTTGCCCTTTATGTGCGATGCGCTCCCGAGAATTCGAATTCCGAAAAGAAACCCATACCCATGGCCCATATAAGCAGGCGCACCGTCCCGCCAACATCCAGCGAAGGCGGACAGCAATGGAAAATCCCCTTTTTTGTGGGGGTTGGTCTAACGCTCATTCAGCCCCATTAGCTCCGTTAACGCCGTTTCCCAAGTTGGCCGTCTCAGCCACCGCCCGCTCCAAGGCCTGGAGCACATCCTTTTTCAAATCCTCGGCGTCCTCCACACCGCAGCTGATGCGGACGAGATCGTCAAACACGCCCACAGCCTCTCTCTGGTCGCGCGGGATGCCGGCGTGCGTCATGCTGCTGGGGACCTCGACCAGACTCTCGACGCCGCCCAGCGACTCGGCAAGCGTGAAGATCTTGGTCAGCTGGCAGAAGCGCTCGGCCGCGGCGTGGCCCCCGCGGATGCGGAACGAGAGCATGCCCCCGCCCATGCCGTTCCGGTGCTGCTTCTTGGCGATCTTGCGATGCGGGTGGGAGTCCAGTCCCGGGTAGTTGACGGCGATGACGTGAGGGCTGGCCTCGAGCGCGTGCGCAACCGCCGTCGCGTTCGCCGTGGCCTCGCGGGCCCGCAGATGCAGCGTCTTGGCGCCGCGGTGGGCCAGCCACGAGTCAAAGGCCGAGGGGATCGCGCCAATGGCGTTCTGCAAGAACGAAAGCCGCTTGTAGAGGTCGTCGCTGTTGAAGGCGGCAACGCCCATGACGACGTCGCTGTGCCCGTTGATGTACTTGGTAACGCTATGTACGACTATATCTGCGCCGTGGTCGAGCGGGTTCTGGACGTAGGGGCTCAGGAATGTGTTGTCGACCACCACCATGATGCCGTGCTCGTGCGCCTGAGACGCCACGGCGCGGATGTCGACTAGACGGAGGGTGGGGTTGCTGGGGGTCTCAATCCACACCAGCTTGGTCGACTCGGTGATATGCTCCCGAATGTCGACCTCGATTTCGGGCGTGAATGTCACCTTAACGCCATGCGCCTTGGCAACCTGGGTGAAGTAGCGGTGGGTGCCGCCATAGACGTCCGACACGGAGATGACGTGCGAACCGGCAGCTAGCGACTGGAGGATAACAGCCGTCGTGGCGCTACCAGATGAGAAGGCAAGTGCATACTTGGCGTGCTCAAGAGCCGCCACCATGGTCTCGAAATTGTGTCTGTTGGGGTTGCTGCTGCGGCTGTACTCATAGTCGCCAACGGGCTTGCCGACAGCCGTCTGGGCAAAGGTTGTCGACAGCGAGATTGCCTCGATGACGGCGCCCGTTGAGGGATCATGCGGGGATCCCGCGTGCACGGCAAGCGTGCCGAAGCCATGCAACGGCGACGGGGCGCGGGGCGGCGTTGTGATGGGGTGGTCGCTATGTGCTGTCATTGCTCGGGTCGGGCGATCCGCCGTGGGAGACGCTTTTGTTTGGTCAATCACTGCCTTTGGGGTCCTTGTCGTTGTCGAGACGTGGGGGTAAATATTTGACAACGGTCGAAGCGTCTGACACAGAGTGTGCAGCGGCCCAAGAATTGTGTGAATTTTATCCAGGATGGCGCAATTAGGTAGGCGAGTAGCGACGGGAACGGATAAGGCGGGGAGTCTTGCCGACTTGGCCAGTGTTCAGCCGTGGCAAGCCGCAAGGTCATCCCGGCCTCTCCGATAAGGACTTTAAAAGGGGAATGAGTCGGCCACCCATAATATCACCTAACCTGATATTTGGAGTTGGAGTTCGATCTCGGTGGCGCGGTCCCGGGAGTTTGGATACTACAATGAGCACGTGTAGTTGCACGACAACCGTTCCAGTGCTTAAAATAAGGTATCTGTATAGATCAAGTTCAAGGATCATGAAAGGGCGTGCTTTCCTTGGCTACCTTTTGTAACCGACGTCTTAATCAACTTTGAGTATGAAGATGCAACGTCTGGCAAAGTCCATATTCGCACAAAGTCCCCAAGCGTCAATACATCTCACAAACTCCAGCATGGGCAAGCTAGGGCGAGGTGAGTGGTGACAGTGGTGACAGTGGTGACGACGATTGTACTGTACAGTTGTATGTACCCTTTCCGGTTCCGGTGACCCCACACGGCCGAGTGAGGGCATCTCACCATTGGCTGCTTCAAGGTGAAAGATGGCGACTAGCGCGGTATCCGGACACCGCCCCCTTTCTGCCAAAACAATCGCCAGTCCGGCCCCGCCATCATCTTGACAGTTGACACGCGTTGTTCGACGAAAACGAGGGAAAGCAACGGAAAGCAACGAATTGGCCCAGAATTGCCCTGCTGCAACTAGCATGGAAAGCGGGGGGCCGCAAGTGCCGCCAGAGGAGGCCGCACAGCAGCAATAGCGAAGCGCAACATAGCTTGTAGCCAGTTACGGCTCCAAGCAGCAAAAAGAACCTAATCGATTTCGCCAATCGAACCCTCCCTTCCCACTGCGTATTAGTATGCCGCCCCGTCGTTCCCATAGAAAGTCCAGGGCCGGCTGCCGGCGGTGCAAGTCGCGCAAGATCAAGGTCTGTATTCAAGGGCTCTCTCACTTGCCAAAGACATTCCCAAAGACAAAAAGTAAACGCCAGAAGCAGAAGCAGGTTACTGACAACCCTCCACGTGCGACAGTGCGATGAAGTTCATCCGCGATGTGGCAACTGCGTCAAGCACGGCGTTGCATGCGACTTTGAGCATCCCGAAGTTCTGACAGAGCTTCAAGCTGCCTCTGTTACCGCCACAGCCGAGAGTCCCTGTACGCCTGCCACGACGGTTCATTTCGGGTCACCCGTCCCCAGCGCCTCGGCTACCCCCTCTCGTTCTTCTCTCGCTGCCGCACCATTGTGCCGCACGCCCCAACCCCCGAGCATGTCCCCGACGACACCGCCGGGCCAACGGCTACTCGAACTGAGGTTGATGCACCATTACACGGCCATGACGTGCAAGACGTTCACTTTCACTGCCCCCCTGACCGAGGAGATTTGGAAGATCACGGTGCCGAACCTTGCCTTCTCCGGGTCCCAGCACCTAGCCGACGCCATTCTCGCAGTTGCCGCGCTGCACCTTCGAAGCATGGTGCCAAACGACAAGGAGCTGGTACGCGCCTCGCATGCATACATGGCCGCTTCGCTCGCCGAGTACAGCGCAGCCCTCACAAAGGGCATCAACCACACCAACGCCGAGTCCCTTTTCCTGACTTCGGCTTTGATTGCCTTCCAATCCACCGCAACTCGCGTCTTTATGAAGGACGAGCTCGATGTTGGCCTAGGACACGATATCGACGGAAATTCCAATAAGCAGCGGAGCCAGGGGCCCGGGTGCTACTCCATTCCCTTCTCCTGGTTCCATTCCTTCCAGGGTGTCAAAGCCATCACGGCAGCATCGTGGCAATATCTCCGGGTCAGCCCGGTGGTGACTCAAGTCATCAATTCGCAAACCGCTCTGCAGCTGGACTTTACCACTGGGCCCGATACCTTCTTTGGGCACCTCCTCGATGGCCTTGAGGAGGAGCTCGCCGCCTTAGGGACCGAACCCGCCGGCGCTCCTGGCACACCCCTAGGCGGCATCCCCTCGGCAGAGGTAGCATCACGCTCTGCCACTGACGCAGACCCAAAACCTTCCCATTCCGAACTCGTCGCCTCCACCCGGCAAGCATACCAACACGCCGTCGCCGTCCTCAATTGGGCGCACAAGATCCCCCACAAGGGCGCCCCGCTGGCCTTCCCCGCGACCGTGTCGCGGCGGTACATTGAGCTGCTCGAGGAACGGCGGCCGCGGGCGCTGGCGATCCTGGCTTGCTTCTTCGCGCTGCTCAAGTCGATGGACGGCGTGTGGTGGCTGCAGGGCATGGCGCGGCGCGAGGTGCTGGGCGTGGTGAGCCTGTTCAACAGCGACTTCTTTGGGCCCGACGCCTACCGCACCTGGTGGCCCCACCTGGAGTGGGCCATGCGCATCGCACTGTACGAGTATGAGCGCGACGATGATGGCGCCGCCGTCGCTGCCATCCCCCCGGAGATCTGGGGCGCCGACTGGTATGCCGAGGAACGCGCCCTCGCCGAGGTCCAGGAGCATGGGAGCTACTTCAAGCATATTGAAATGCTTAGCCAGATGGGCGGCTCTATGCAGAGCATACCCCCGCTTACCATGCCCGAGCGCGCGGTTATGGCTGGGCAGAGGTGAGGGCGGTGGGGAGATATGGGATTGGACAAGGAGGCAGAGAACTGAGAAACTTGCTAGACTGAACTGTCTAGAAGCATTCTAGCTACTGGGGATCTTGGGCGCCGAGGTTCAGGTTCGTTATGCCTCCTTGCGCTACTTTCTGGGGCCGCCTTAGTACTGACGCTGTACAACCCAGGCAAGCGTGATAAAGCTGAGTGGAGGAGGGATGCAGACTCAAGGACACGTGCTTAACAAAGCCGTTGACAGGTCCCTGCCAACTTGGTCTAATGCAAGCCAGGACACGTTTTAGGGGGTCAAGAGACTCGGCAGGCGAATCGCCGCCGACAGTATCTGAGCGGCGCAAAACGGCGTTTATCTGGTATATCACCCAAGAGGGGTAAATACCCCTGACGCTTGGATATGATGGTTGGACATCTGGAGGACATGGCGTCGTTGGATACAAGAAGGCGCTTGGAAGTATATGGGAGCAATAAACCTTGATTTATATTCACCCGCTAGAAGCAACCGCACCAAAATCAGGACGCCGTTTTCCGTTCCTCTGACTATTCCAATGCCTGCCTTGACGCCCGGAGATGGAACAACACAGAAATCAAACCCCCCTAAAAACCCACCACAACAATTCCCCCTACCTCTCAAGATGTCACTTTCCTCTTCCGTTTCGGCTCCTCGTCCACAACCGTCTCCTCATCGTCATCCCCCTCATCCAGCGCCTGGTCCCGCTGCCGCTTCAGACCCTTCATCTTGCGTGTCTGCAGCTGGCTCAGGTCGAGCTTGCCCATGTGGATGCGGCCAATCTTGTCGCCCATGACGTCGGTCGAGATGTTCTTCTTGGTGCGCGCCTCACCGGGGGTCTTGGCTTGTCGCATCGCCTCCTTGAGCATGGCCGCGTCCGGTTCCTGCATCCGTCCCAGTCGGAAGTCCATGCGCGGGCCGTGCTCCTCGAGCTCCACGCGCGGCAGCCGGTGGCCGGACCGCTTGGTGCGAATCGTGTAGACGCGTAGGCGCAGCACGGGTTTGGATGATGGGTCGTTGTTGTTGTTGTTGCTGTTGCTGTTTGTGTTTGTGGTCGTGGTTGATTCGGAGGTGGAGGAGGTCGGCTCGTCGGCCGTCACAACGACCACGTACCGCAGGCCTTCGACGTCGATCTTGTCGGATGTCTCGCCCCGGAAGAAGTCTAGCAGCATTGATTTGGCCATTGTGAAGGCGTTTGGCACGGGGGATTCGCTGTTGGTTGGGTGGGTGAGTTAGGGATCAGCATGGCTGGGATCTTGGAGGAAAGGGGGGTGGGCTCGTACAAAGCTGTCCCGGCAAACACCATCAGCGGCCGTGTACCCACGGGCACCTTTTCTGTCTTGAACTGGGAGATGCGTCGGAAGGTCTCGGCGTCGAGGTAGAACTCGAGCATGTCGAGGATCTTGTAGTCAAAGGTGCGCACAAAGGTGATGGTATGTGGCCGCTTCTTGCTGCTGCTGGCGAAGAGCAGCAGGCTGCAGTCGTTCTTTTCTGAGAAGAAGGCCAGAGAGCTGGCATCTTCAAAGGGGTGGACTGTGGGAAAACCGGGAAGAATCAGCCATCAAGCCTGCTCGTGGCACCCTATTGTTCATCAGGGCAGCGCATACCTGGGTTCTTCTTGTGGAAGCGCTTGGCGTGTACTTGTCTCAAGGAGTAGAGATCTGCCAGAGCATCTTGAGCCTGCACAGTTCAGTTTCAGTATTTCCCGTCCGTTACTCATAGCAGGTTTGGGGGTAGCGCAATGTTACGAACAATTTGGCTGCAGGTAGTGCCTCGCAGGAACAGCGCAGTCTTGGGGTTCTCGACGGCCTTTGGCGCCCTCTTCTCCAAGGCCCTTTTTGAGCGGGCAGTGCGGGGTTTTCTGAGAGCCAGAAAGTCAATTCTCGAAGTTCATTCTGGAGTATTCGGAGATATCCTGCTTACATTTGGCGCAGCATCTTTGCGATAGAATGTAAAGACACGGAAATCAGCAAATGAGGCTGCTCACGATGGAAGGCCGTTAAGAGGAAGAAAATCGCAAATGCGCCTTATCGATAAGAGCATCTGCGGTGGAGCAGAGAATGCTAGACGACCCTAACCCTTCCCCTGTCATTGCTCTTTCCGACCTGGAATCAGCACACCACAGATGGACCTAGGTAGGTAGGTGCCTTGCCTAGTTGTACAGTACTAGTATGCGCGACACCGTCAAGTGTTTCTCATGAGCGTTCCCACAGGTCACAGCGGGAATCTGTGATTCGATATACCGTCAAGCTTGGCCAGGATGCCCAGGTCAGACGGAGACTATGACTTGCGCCTGAGTATATTGGTAGTACTGTACCCCTTCCCACATCTTGGACACATAGGTCTCCGCCGCTGACTCATGGGCTCCATGGCAAGGTGATACTCGCACTCAGAGCCCTAGACTCGGAGGACATGTAACTACTCCGTACAGCATTCGGATGGGACTCATGCTCGCGATCGACCCCTCAGCGTTCCAACTATCCCACACCATCAGCCTCGGACTATGCAATCGTTCTAACATTTCATCTGACCCATTGATGGTGCATAATCCCGGACAATGTGCTTGGAAGGTTAGAGCGGGCCTTCCGAGATGGCCGGACGGCACGCTCCTCTATAGTGCATACATCGCGCAACTTTATAAGCGCGGGATTTCCGAGGACAACGAGGAGTTGGACTCACTGAATAACCCCTTCTTGGTAGTGATCTTCCCCTACGGGCCGTTTCGGTGAAATGTGGTGCTACGACGCGAATGAGAAGAGCCTCTGGATGAACACCATATCTTGCCTGTAACGAATACCCCGACGAAGCCGGCCGCACCAGAGGTGTGCCTCGTGGAGAGGGCTTCTAACAGTTCGGCAGAGGTATGAGAGAAGCCGGAAGTTCGGCCACGTCGCCGTACATGCTCAGGGATGCAAGATCAGAGATTCTGCTGAGCATGTACTTATACCGTCCTTAACTTGCCATCTCGGCCATACGGCACAAACTCCGCGGTGACCGGCGTAGCATTTTGAGGCACCAGACCATGACCACTTGCCCGTTAGCGCTCCCAATCTCGTTGGTCAGGGAACATGTCAACAGAGTACAGCAATCTCATAACCTGAGAGTAGACGCAGGGACAATGTACTCAGCACCTAGCGCCTCAGGCGCAAGAGCGAAAAGCGGGCAACGGCGGAGCGACACAGAGGCTATTATACAAGTGCCCATCTCTTCCTAGTTGGCTCTGACGAAATCGGGTTGTGTGAGAATGGAGCCCCAGCTAATACCCGGGAGCTGCTGTTGACTTCTGAAGTTTGGGCTTAGAAACGCCTTCAGCTGCGCACCCAGGAACTTGGATTGGTTCAAATATGCTCAGGAGCGAGGAGCGTCTTGCTCTTGCTGTCCTACGACCTGATGCCCACAAAAGAGCAAGTCCAACCCAGCCTTTACTGTTTCACGCAAGTATAAACCCCCCCCCCCCCCTCTTCCCCGACTCCCAACACCCTCCTCCCTCCCGCCGCGCAATTCTCAAACCTCCATGCCCGCGCTCGGTATGTACCAAGCTGAATCTTCCTTTCCACTAAACCTTAGCCTGTGAATGCCACTAGAGGTAGGTTATCATGTCAATGACTCTGAGACCGGCCAAAGGTTCGTGGCGAACACTTTGCATTTGGCTGTGAAGGATCTATTCACGAACTTGCCCTGCCCAGAATGCATCATTAACGGATATCAAGCATTTGAAGGCAGCCTTTCGGAAGCCTGTGATATGTATCTAGCGCCGTCCCGTGTTTTTCATGACCAGATGAATTTTCTTGAACTAGAACGCCGTTACACCGACCCATATGCAAACCCTATGAGACCCTGCCTGCCTACCTGCCATGCGCTAACCCACGAGCCGTCATACCTAGGCTTATAATGCATCATTAAAGAATGAAAAAGACGAAAAATGTCCTTAATGCCCACCAACCTGCCCTTTGGGAAGCGGCGGAATCCAGCTCAACCCCAAGCAAACCACCAAATTGACCACGCCAATGACCCAGAACCCCTTAGCATAGTTGGTACCACCATCCATGAAGCGAAAAATGACCGAAAACACCACGCCGCCAAAGTTTCCCCCGGCACCCGTCAGCCCGGACAGAATCCCATTGGCAAACGGGTGGACATGGGGCACGAGGCTAAAGTTCGCACCGTTGCCCGCCTGCAAAAAGACCCCCGCGACGGCGACCAGGCCGAACATGGCGCCCTCGCCGTGCGGGTCCAGTCGGCCCGTCACGATCAAAAACACGCCCGCCAGCACGCCGCACGACACGATCCACAGCTTCTTGAGCCACAGCGACCGGCCGCAGTAGTTGTACAGCAGGTCCGACACGACGCCGCCCAGGGGCCGCGTGACAAAGTTTTGGAACCCGAACAGCGCGGCAAAGGTGGCTGCTGAAGTTTGGCTGAGCGAGGGGAAGTTTTTCACGTAGTAGGAGGAAATGATCATGTTGATGGCTAGTTCGGACCCGAAGGAGCACATGTAGGTGAGCAAGTGGAAGATGGCTTGCGGGGAGAAGGCCACGCGGATGGCTTGTGATAGTGTGGGTTTCTGGACGACTTCGGACTTGGTGGTGTTGGCTGCCGTCGCCAGGGTGATGATGGGCAGCTGGGATTCCGGGTCTAGCATGGGTTTGTGGTTCGCAAGATGGGAGTTTTTCTCGGAGGGTTTCTGTCTGCCGCTTTCTGGATCCTGTCGAGAGGACAGGCTGAGACTTGGGGCGGTTGGGGAAGGGAGCTTGTCGGTGATGCGACCCGGCACGTCGATAACGCTGCAATTCGCGGGGGTCATGTTGTGGGACGGGCTGCCGTCGTCGGGGGTGCTGTTGGCCAGGTGCCGCTCGCTCCACTTGCCCGTCGGAGTGTCTGGGCAGAGCACAATGAGCGCCGTGCCCGTGGTGATGACCACGGCCAGGGGCACGATGAAGGCCAGGCGCCAGGCTTCGCCGGCCGTGTGGCCGTAGGACACGAAGGCGTCATAGACGGCCGGCATAACGAAGTAGGTGATGCCGCCGCCGGCCGTGCCGAAGCCACCCGCGAGAGCGTTGGCTGTGCCGACGATATTTTTGTCGAAGAAGCCAGTCGACCAGACTTGGCAGGGGACAAAGGCGCCCCCGAGGATCCCGATGAAAAAGCGGCTGACGTACAGGCCAGCGGCATTATGTACAAGGGGCGCGAGGCCAAGGGGGATGGAGCCCACAAGGAGCAGGCCTCCGAAGACTATCCGAGGGCCGAATTGGTCGCATAGGGGTCCGGCAACGAGTCGGACGAGAAGTCTTATGGTCGGTCAGTGGATTGTCCCTCAGTTGTTGGGCATATGGTGTGAGACTTACGCAGCACATGGGGATATGATGTTTGAATTGGCGACCTCAGCAGGCGTTAAGCCAAGCTCCTTCTGGATGACTTTGGTCAACTGTACAGACTGTTTGTCAACACCACTGCTAATTACACCGCCCTGGCAGGTATCAGGGATGCCCTACCAGCGGGGGGAATGCTGCCCATGCCCAGAAAGCGACCATGAAGCCGAACCATGAGAAGAAGAAGACACGGCCATAGATGTCGACCGGGTTGAAGAATGGGATCGACCGGGCTTTGAGGCTGGCTGGGTTGACCTCGGGAGAGGCATAGAGGTGGTGAAATTTCAAGCCCATGATGCCGGCTGTCGCATTCAGGGCTGGGTCGATTGTGTTGACTGACTTGACAAGCCCTTGGCAATCCGAGAGATCAAGATATATAGCCTTGGAGAACAACGCGGTCTCACCTCTCCGATCTCAGGGGATTTTCATCATTGTTATACCTAGATGGGCCCTACCCGTTCCGGGAAAAGCGGGATCGGTCGGGAGAGGAAGCCGGCGGATGGTGATCCGAAATCTCACAAGGGGCGAGCCGTATCTCTAGATTTCATTCCTCACAATCTGGTTGACCGGATGGAATGACGTCCCCGTCCCCACTCGCGTGGACTCGCGATAGACCCGGTGTTAGGAAAGGTACCATGGCTATCTTTGACAAAGGCGGACAGGAAACGGGGAACAAGGTGGGCGGCTGAACCCGAAAGCCCAAGGCACAGTGGCTTGATAATGGAGGCTGGCGCTGATCCCCGATAAGAGCTTAGTGGCCTTCCAGGTTCCACGATATCAGCGCCAAAACGATAAACGGGCGGATATGCATGATGGACTAGCGCGGCCCGTGGCCTCGGAGATGCACGAATACCGGGTGGTGAGATCAGACAAGGTAGAGTGGTATATGATATGTATATTGATGGGATGGAAGGTAGTATCTAGATGGATGCCGGACAGATCAGAGGCAAAAAAATATCGGATACCGGATCCCGTGAATGCGCCGTCATGCAATTCCGATGTTTTGCGAGGGAATGCGAGTGCTGTCATGTATGTAGTTATCGTGTCCTGTATTTGTCGCCCTGGCTGAGCAAGCAGCAGGTCACAACTGAGCAAGTCAGCGAATTTGGCCGTCAGCAGAAGAGTCGCTCCTCCCGAGAGCAAAAGGGAGGAAAGGTATGAGCAGAAGCTATTATATACTCCTATCTGGCGGGCTTTCGCAGGGCAGAGATAACGTTGAAGCCAGCCCCCTTATCTTGGCTGCCCCGATGTTCAGCCCTGTCTGCCCATGTCCGGGTATCGCTGTTTGGGTTATCTGGTCCTCCACAATTCCGTATCTGGGGGCGATAAGGCATATCGGACTGTTGACTGCGACTTTGATGAGCGTTGAAAGCTGATCTCCGCGGAACAAAGAGGCTCAAGTTAGCGTGGAACAAAAACCGGCGTCGATGCAACGCGCCTGGCGATTCGGTGAGTGGTGGCTTCCATGTTGAAGGTCGTCCCCTTTCAGCAGCTCGAACCCCCACACCCCCAACTTTCCCTGCCCTTCGCCCCTTCCTCAAGGGACACAGGGTTACGGATAGGTATGTGGCTACACCATTTCAACTGCCGTCAGATTCCTTGATCGGAGATGCTCAGGTTCAGTGAGGATGTCACGGTCCTTTCCTTCCTCAATTTTTGCACGGATGCCAATTGGCGAGCTCTGGGAAGTCAGACATTCCACTCAGAGGACGAATCTTACCTACTGACAGGTTTTTCGACAGCGCCGCTCCCCGTCAAACAAGGGGGATACCTCGATACTAATAAATGTTGACGTTAAGCTAAGGTAAGGTACGGATAGCGTGCCTGGTTCCAGACTTCCAGACTTCCAATGAGGCTGCAACCGTTCCAAGCCAAGCTTTTGAACAGCAATCCCCCATCCATTCAAACTTTTCAAGATATTAAAGAAACAGAGTCTTGGATGCTGGCGCAAGTCTGGGCATTGCCAGCATCGCGGATCATTAATCGAAAGCTTCATCCTGTGTTGCTTTCTCGTCCTTGGCACAACCATGCAGAGTATCTGCATGAGAGCTTGGTTGCCCGCTTGCCACTCTCCGCTGCCTTCCCGTGAGGTTGCGCGCGGGCCGAAATGGTCTGCATAGAGTGCATCTACACCTGGACCAATCGGATGGCCAAGGGTTTTATGACCATTCAACAGTATCGGGACACTGATGAAATGGAGGAACACCTCCCAACCCACAACCCACATACAGCAACAACAATACCACCAGGGGGGAGTACCTCCGTAAACAGAAATGGGCAGGTGGCCAGGCCCCATGAGCCATACTGATACATCACTACGAAGTAAGCAACGCCCAATGAGCTGCCCTTAGCTATGCTAACAAACAGACTAATGTGCTGTTAGATGGCATGCGGTCGATGCAGACATGCAGAACCCAGCACTCAGATGCCAGTAAGCTCAGGCGGATGCTGAGGCATCTCGCAGAAAACTGGCACCTGAGATTGCCCGTCAGGGGCCCTTCGTCCTCACCTCGTCCAGGTTAGCCCACAGGCGAGGATGGGGAATGGGATCTCTGAACGAAATTTTGCCGCTGGATGTGCGTCTCGCAATGCTATGCCTATGGGTAAGCCATTCGGAAGCGGTCAAAGCTGCTTCTGGCAGAGCTGGCAAACGTGAATACCGGCGACAAGGAGCAAGTCAAGCACATAAGGATAATGGATTACCTACCTTGCTGGGCTGGTCATCCAGAATTGTCTGAATTTTAGAAGGCACGCGACATCGATAAGGTAGGCTCGGAGAGCGCTTTGCCAGTGGGATGAGTAGAGCGAAGTCCCTACAGCTCTCCTAGCTGTCAGTACGGATATTGTACCTCTAGCTGCTCCCCAATGATATTCTTCTAATCATCTAAGTACAACTCAAAAGGAGCTCAGCGAACGACACTTTAGCTTTGAGACCCAGGCGCTTGATACAGCTGGTGCAATGCTAGTGGCGAGGGTTTTGAGGCGCTCTGGACTTCTTCTGGCACTGCTGAGTCCTTAGTGTACGCACCACTCCCCTAATGAGAAGCCGATGTCCATTTCGAGATCGCATTGAACAGAGTCATCGAACACACGAATCAATCCTGCAACGCTAGAATTGTGTTACGGCACTGGCTTGGCCCGTGCTTGTCTTCGGCTGTCGGCGGCTATCGGCCAAATCCCGCAGAGCCAATGGGAGTCGACACTGGCCGAGTACCTGTAGGTCAAACTGCCGATTGAGTGCTGGCCTGAGCTCCTGCAAGCAACCCTTTAGGTGTGTAAGCTCACATACATCATCCATCTAGTGGGCTGAGCTTGAGGAAAACATCCATGTTTTTTGGTTGACGAATTCGACCATCCGACACGTTAGTTCCTTCGAGGCTGGACTGCCAAGGCCGGGTGGGCCCCCGAGTGCCGGCCCATCGCGCCCCACAGAGTCCCACTTTTGCCGGTCGTGCCGCCGTACCTCCGACTTCGAGCCGTCCCGTACCCGAAGCAGCGATGTCATAGGACCCTCCATACACCAAACATTTCACTGCATAGGTCCCTGGCCAGGCTCATGCAGCGGTGGAAGCTTGGCAGCTCCTTTGCTGCCAGTCCCTAGCCAGCACCAGGGGAATAAAACCCTTTCTCACCGTTCACTGCGCAACGGGATTGGGTCCGTTCCATATCCGACCGCCAAACATGTGTAGCACCGGCTACTGCTCGGATGCCATTCGCGCGTCTGATCTCGAATGCGACAAATCCAAATCTTTTGTTGCCCACGGTGATGAAAAAGTTGCTGAGCCGCCCTGAGCTACGCTCGCGACAGCAGCCAGTGCTTGGCAATGTTGTTGCTCATATCTCACAAACTACTTGTTGACCCGGGAATGAAACGCCGGATGTCGGCGTGGGTCCGACCACACCGCTAAGGCCGGACCATCGCCGGTTCCTGACCAGACAAAGCTGCGTAGGATCGCGGCCATGTGTCACAAATACAAATGCAGCCGACGTCTTGGTCTTTTGATATATATTTTCTTGTTGTCTGCTTCTCGCTTCCTTGCATTCACTTCATTGAAACGACTTGTTTAATATCACGTCAATCTTTCATTCAGAGCTACTCTGCCACTTATACCCATATTTTAGCCAGGATCTTTTACTGTGTTATTGTCATACTTATTTCGAACAACATCCGAGTCGATCGAGCTTCTTCGTCATCGCCGCTGACCAGTCCTCCATGCCGGCCTCGGAAAAGGGGAGTGGGCGTTCCTCCAACGGAGGACGAAGGCCTGACGCTCAACCACAGAGCTCATCGAGCACAATTCAGACACTACTGGTAACATCATGGCTATCAACAGTATGGCAATATCTCAACCGGAACGTCTGCCCCACCGGCCTCGCCGAGCTTGAACTGGTTCTCCTCACGTTCTGCATCGGTGTCCAAGGTACTACCCACTTCACCAGTGACACTTCCCGTTTCCGAGACGCTCAATCCACATCAGCAACCTGAGCAAGCACTCCTTTTACCACTTCTGCTTAGTCCCGTGCTAACAAAACCCAAAAAAGACGCCGTCTCCTTCCCCGACTTCCACTGCTTCGCCTCCAACCAGACAGGCAACACCGTCTTTTTGATGCTCGCCGTGGTACTTCCCGAGATGAACGGCGACATGTTCGTGACGGCCAACATTGGCATCGCGCTAGGCTTCTTTCTCGCCGCCGCCTGGCTGACGGGCCAGCTGGGGCATATCGTCGGCCCTCGCCGGCGCCTGTGGCTGCTCTTTTGCAATCTAGTCCAGACCTGTCTCGTCTTTGCCGCCGCCGCCGTCCAGTACGCTGCCCCCGGGGGCACGGGCGGAATAGTGGAGCATGTGGGAGGCGAGGGAGGGGGAAAACTCACGTCCAACACGGCCACGCTCATCGCCATCGGCCTGCTCGCCAGCGCGGCCGGCAGCCAGGTCGTCCAGTCCCGCTCGCTGCGCCTGACCGAGATCAGCACGGCCATGGCCACGGCGGCCTGGGTCGATCTGGTGATTGACCGGGATTTGTTTGTGCTGCGCAACAACCGGCCGAGAAACCGCAGGGCCATGTTCCTGGCGGCCTTGGTTGTGGGGAGCTTGGCCGGTGCGTTTATTTACAAGAGGCTGGGGTCGCCGGCTGCGTTGGTCGTTTCTGGTGCGGGAAAGGCGCTGGTGACGGCGCTGTTCTTGTTCAACCGGGCGGATTCGGGTGAGAGGGAGAAGGTGGATACTGCGGAGGATGACTCGGTTTGATGGGCTGCGGGAACGGGCTGTAAATGGATGGTGTTTCAGTTGTGTCAGTACCTTAGCGTACCCTACGGCGTTGGAGGTGTCCTGAGTAAATAGACAAAATGTACGGGCAGCAATGAACGCAATGTGAATCCTTCAGGTCGAAGCCAAGTGTGCCGCTAAAGGCCACCACACTTTGGATGTACTAAAAACCGTCAAAACAGTGAAAGGAACTGGCAGTATTTTGTGTGGTTGGAAGTGGGCTTAAGGTTGAAGTTGGAGTGCCCAATCGGAGCCACAATGATACCTACAGGATTGCATGCAGTGGCTCCTTCCACTCTCCAGGTCCTGGCACGCAAGCAACTTCTTATGATGCCACGACCTTACGCAGGCATCTGCGACCATGATGGACCCCCGGAGAGGAAGCCCTTTTCTTTTCATGTTCATGTATCATACTTATGTGAAGATCTTTTCCCCCTTTACCAAAGTGCCGAAGTTTGATCATCAGTCATACCGGACTACTAAGTGACTTCACCTATACTTCATACTTCTTACATTTACATCCACCTCCTCCCGCCAGTGGTACTAGTACTCCAGTCGTCTTTGCTTTGGCAGCCGGCACTGCGACAAGGCAAAAGGAGGGGCTATCCGTCTCATAGATCGCAGCTACAGTTGCGACCTGGTATTGTCGTCCTGTTGTCGGATTCCGAAACGTGGCCTCGACATCAAACTTCTTGTTACCAGCATGAGCCCGACGATATACGACAGACCGACTTCCCTGCGCAGACAGTTTGTCATATAAGCTTCTCTCGTGGTACGAGCCACCGCTGAGTGAAAATAAATCGCGACCTCTCTGACACACCCTCTCCAACTAGAGGCTGGGATGTTTGGAGACGGCTTGAAGGCCATTGAAGGGGACGTGTCCGTTTTTGCCCTTCTCTCGTCACAAAGAGCGACTATGTCAATTCGTGAGGCTGGGGCCACCTGTGAGTGCTGTGAGTGTCGTAGAGTTCTGGAGCTTGATACGGGGGGGTACCGGCAGTGGTTTTTGCCATTGGAAAAGGCATGGTTGGTGAGACCAAAATCCGCAAAAGCTTGGAACTGCTAGTATGCTTGCTGTGGGCGGCGGCTCAGGTACCGTTATCTCCATGTACTAAAAGATACCCTCAATATATGCCACCGCCATCCTCGTCTACATGCACTAACCCAGAGCTGGAGGGACTACTGTGGACTCGGATCGTGAGGGTATCCCCCAAAATTTCCGAGTAGTCGCTCAAGGAGGCGTAAAAATATTGCCATTGCAAAGCGTGAACAGACATCTCTGCTGCGAGGTACCTCCCCGACGCCGTAAGTGCCCTACCTACCTTAGGCTCTCTTCTCATCCTAACTTACCTACTGAGGTTCTGTCTTCCCCAGTGCAAGTGACTATCGTCTGAAGGTCCAGTTTCTATACTCCATCAGTATTGATTCCTGAAGTGCTAAATCACAGCTCCTTCCCCATCACCGAGACATGACCTTTCCTTCTTCAACACAACCTGGTTGGGACTCACCAACTCTTATTCAATACAGTGCTCAACTTACATGATCTTTTCTTCAAAACCACTCGATTGAGACTTACCCTCTCTTACTGAACTGAATGCTCATTTGAGTCTCTTCTACACAACTCTGAGTGGGATCTACCAAACCTTACTCGATATAATTCTTGTATGACCTTTTCTTTCATCAACACATCATGAACCTGGCCACTCAGGACTTGACCAATCCTACCTGATGAAGTACCCTGTGTATATATGACCTTCGATTCAACACAGGCCCGTTCGGTTTTACCAACTCTTACTCGATTCATAACTGATCTGTCCTTTCCTTCTTCAACACACAACCTGATCAGGACTTGCTCGACCCAACCCGATCTGATAGAGGACCCTGCTTGACATGACTTTCCCTTCTTCAAGAGAAACCGATTGAGACTTACCAACTCTTACTCAACTCAGAACTAACTTGTCCGTTACTTCTTCAACACACAGCCTGACGAGGACTCGACCGGCCGCATTGCAGTTAAGGATAGAGATTTCCATCCTTACCTTATCCAAATTCCAAAGCGAGGCCTCTTTTGCCTCGAATCTACTAACTTGCTCCTCATTAGGTTGCGCAAAAGGTCTGTCAATATTTCTCTTATTTTTGTCTCAGTGCTTTCATATTTCTCCTCATTTGCCGCTCAAATGCCTCTCTTGGTCTCTTTTCCAGAGCTCCCTGGCATCATCTGGGATTCTGGGTGGTTCGGTGGTGTTGTATTGGTATTGGAGGTCTTCAGGGCTCCACTGTTGCCTGCTGCAGACTGCAGTGAATACAGCGGGGCCCAGGGAGCTTTGGCCACACACCGCACCGCGCACCTGACGTGGATACATAGCACCTGACGGCGCGTCGTATCAGACGCGTCCACCACGCTTCTATGCACGACCAGTGACAGCTTTCCCCACTCAAGCAAAGCCATTCCCATTCTCTGCGCGTTGCTCTTACTGGGGAGCGCACACCCATTGATGAATTGCTCGCGTCTTCAATGAGCCTGGTTGTGGTCTGGGACAGTAGTTCCGTCTCGGCTTCATGACCCGCCACAATCTCGGCGAGCATCTGCCCTGGCTGCTGAGCTCCTTTGCGCGATTCCCGCCCTCGGGACCGCAACTGCCTGCCGCCTCCGCCTCTGACGAGCCGGACAATGCTTCGTCTTCGATCTTTTCTCTCAACTCCCATTCTGTGCCTCTTCCCACAACCCGGCCAATTTCCCTTTCCCAACCACCCACCGCCAATGAAGGCCAATTCCCACCCAGACATCCAGAAGCTGCTGCTAACGAGGTAGTCATGATGGAAGAGGGGACAACCAAATTCTCTCTTGACAACCTTGTCTCCAAACCGCCGTCCTTGGCTACCAAGCAGTTGCCACTACCGACCCCGACGTCTACAACTGCTACCACCCCAATTGGTCCACTCCAGCGCGCATACTCGGCGTCGCTCGCCCGCGACTCTAATTTTGCTACACCTCACCCAAGCAAGAAAAAAGTCACCCCACTGCCGTCTCGTCCCGACACCTGGGCCCCTTCCTCCCCAGCTCGGCCCCCCGAACTTCAATTGGACAACCTTAGAGAACTGTGTTCCGACCCGCTCGACTTAACAGAGGCTGACACCCACGACGGGTCAAGCTCGGTACTGGCCTTTGGGGAGGATCGGAGGTTGTGGCACGAGGATTTTGCCGAACGACCAGAGCCTGTATCGAGTCGAAGAAGCAAACCGAGGAGTGAGGCAAGCTACGAGAGACTTGGTGTGCTCAAAGGGAAGACTGAAGGCGAGGTTGGCACCGACCGTGACGAATTTCCAGACATTGACGACCTTATTCTTCCCTCGTCGGCTCACAAGTGGACTGCCAGCCATCACTCGCTGGCATCCTCTATGAACCATAGTCACAAGGCAATTGGCCTTGCACGCGCTATCACTACTCCGGCTGCCCATTCCGATATTTCGTCATCGCATCGCAAACGCAAGACATCACCGCCACCCAGCTTCCAAGACGCCGATAGCGTGCAAATCGAACCACCTGCCGTGGAGTCCAAAACCATTTCAAGGACCAAGAGGGTGAGGCGGTCTGACGTGGTTTCGGATTCCGAGGACGAATTCATGAGTCCACTCACACATCAATCAGTCTTGGAAGCTGAAGTAAGCCCGAGTCCCAGCTCACGCGTGAGGCATCAGGCGCCTAATCAGGACGACGGTATGGATGTCGAAATGCCGTGCCCTCCGCTTGAGATGCCGCCACCCAAAAGTGCGGCGGCAGCTCACTCAGGGGATCCTCCGCTATCATCTGAAAGCAAAGATCGGACCTTTTTCTCTTGTGCTAATAGCACTAACGGGGCGCCTTCAGACCAAGCACAGCCCTCACAGGAAACCAATCCCCAAAAAAACTTGCACCCCTCATCGGGCTCTGAACCTGCGCGGGACCAGCATCTTCTGACCTTGTTCCTCAAACGCCCATCGGTATTGGATAACAAGTTACTCCTTGTTGATGACCAGTTGCGCAGAAACAAGGACGAATTCAAAAAATGTCTCGATGAGAATGCACCAAAGGAGGAGCGCGAGCGGGTAAAGAACGCCCGGGGACCTTTGCTAAAGACGCAGAAAGCTCTGAAAACCTGTATGGCCGAATACCACAGCTATAAAGAGCTAAGCGACAAACGAGAGGCCCTTGTGGCCTCCCTCACAGATGCGTTCGATAACGGCCTCGACACAGCCGAGGATGAAGCCCGGCTAGATCAGTTAGCTGAGCAGATCAAGACCAAGGAGGCAGAGCTCATTGGCCATCTTGCTGCCGCTGGGGTTGACGACTTGGATTTCCTCAAGGATCCAAACGACTCTATCGCGGCCCCTGATTCCCCAGCAGCACCAGTTGTGTTCGCTACACAACCATCTCTCAAGGCTCTATCCAAAGAAAAGGCCAACACCATCCCGGAATACCATTCACAATCACAGGTTATCGCCCAAACACAGCTTCCACCCGCCGAATCCCATACCAGCACGGTGAGCACTCCCACAGTTAGATCTGTAACGTTCCATACAGTATCCGGCGTTCCTCGGCCCATCGCCTCAGAGACCCTGCGCAGAGTACGCCCAGACATTGCAGCAGGTAACTCATATAGAGAGACATCCGAAGATAGCCTGTTTATCGATAACAACAGCTATGCCCCGGTGACATTGGACGACTCTCTTGCTCTTTCCCAATCGAAAACACCAATGTCACGATCGAAAGGCCCAGCCAAAGCGGGAGGCATTCGTGACTATTTCGAGGACATCAGCGATGATGATGAGGCGATGCTCGCTGCTGTGAACCATCTTGAACAGCGGACGTCCACGGCCGCTCTGAGCCGTGACGGACATCGGGTGCGGTCAGCTTTGTCCGAGGCGTCTGGTAATGCCGGACCCCCTCGGAGAACTAGACCTGCGGCAAAGAATGTTCCGTCGTTGCAGCCCAAGGCCTCGTGGCCTGCCGATCAAATGAAGTATCCTTGGTCTCCAGATGTCCGCCGGGCACTGAAAGATCGTTTCAGGATGACGGAGTTCCGGCCTAACCAGCTCGAAGCCATCAACGCTACCCTAGCCGGCAAGGATGCGTTTGTGCTGATGCCTACCGGAGGCGGCAAGTCTCTGTGCTATCAACTCCCGGCCGTGATAAACACTGGCAGGACGCGCGGCATCACTATTGTCATCTCACCTCTTCTCAGTCTCATGAATGACCAAGTTGAGCACTTGGAGAAGCTCAACATACGCGCAGCGTCCTTCAACTCTCAATCGAACGTACCTGCTCGCAATGCGGTACTAGAGGCTTTCAACGAAGACAATCCGGAGTTTTTTCTCCAACTGCTCTACGTGACGCCCGAAATGGTTGTCAAGAGCGTGCCTTTCCAGGAAGGCCTCAAGAAGCTGCACCGGAAAAAGAAACTTGCCCGCATTGTGATTGACGAGGCCCATTGTGTGAGCCATTGGGGTCATGATTTTCGCCCGGACTACCAGCAAATCGGCAAGCTCAGACAAAGATTCCCCGGCGTGCCCGTGATGGCGCTAACGGCTACGGCCACCGGGAACGTGATTGCCGACGTTAAGCACAATCTCGACATGGACGATTGCGAGGTGTTTTCACAGAGCTTCGATCGGCCCAACCTGTACTATGAAGTCGTCAAGAGGCCCGCGACATTTGTTGCGGGCATGGCGGAGCTGATCAAGACCAAGTATCCCGGACAAAGCGGGATTATCTACACGCTCTCACGGAAATCCGCAGAAGCCACTGCAGAGTCGCTCGTAAAAAAACACGACATCAAAGCCTGCCACTACCATGCACAGGTCGATGTGGAAACCAGAGCGAAGGTTCAGAGGCAGTGGCAGCGTGGCGAGATCCAGGTCGTCGTTGCCACAATTGCCTTTGGCATGGGAATCGATAAGCCAAATGTGCGTTTTGTCATTCACCAGCACATGCCCAAAAACTTGGAGGGCTACTATCAGGAAACTGGACGGGCAGGCCGGGACGGAGAGCCTGCAGGCTGCTACCTCTATTACGCCTACACCGATCTCTCGAGCTTGAGGCGAATGATCAACGAGGATCGTGAATACGCCAAGGTCCCGGAACAGAAGGAACGGCTCCATGCTCTCCTCAACCAAATGGTGTCATATTGCGAACGGCGAGAATGCCGCCGAGTACAGCTCCTCCGATACTTTGGTGAAAATATTGATGCATCGCAGTGCAACAAAAACTGTGACAATTGCAAGAACGGTGAAAGGAATTCCGAGGTCGAAGTGCAAGATTTCACCGACACCGCCAAGGCTATCCTCATAGCGGTCAGGTCAACACAACCGGTTACACTTGGGAAGTTGGTGGAGATCCTGACCGGTAGAAACCGTTCCAAATACGAAGGTGCTGAAGGGTTTGGACTTTGTAAGGGCATGAAGAACTATGAAATTCAGCGCATTGCTATGGCCTTGCATGGAGAGGGGGCCCTTCGAGATCAATACGTGGTGGACAAAGGCAAAGTGCCTCTTACAGAATTCTGGGTAAGCTGATTTCTCTTGATCATTTGAAACCAGTAAGGCCATCCTAGGCTAACGATGTTCATTTCAGACCGGTCCACTGGCCAGACAGTACCTTGAAGGAAGGCGCCGACTGCGGTTAGAGGTGCCAAAGGGTGGTCGGGCGCCGAACCAGGTCAAGAACAATGGCCGACTCGCCGCCACGGATGACGAGGGTTCGGACTCCTACTCAGCACCAAGTCGGAAGGCCCCCCCGTCCACAAATGTCTCGTCCCCAGTCGCTGCTCTGTCCAAAAAGCGGAAACACAAATCTGCACACTCGACATTTGTGGACGAGGATGATGAAGACGCCGACCATGGTTCTGACCGTGAGCTGCATGGAAACGGCTATGAGAAGGACGACTTTGTGGTGTCCGACGAAGAGGAGAAGGAGGAGGAGGATGCGTTCGAGCCAGCCCCATCTCACCGTCGCCCGCAACCATCTCGCCAGCGTCAACAGACGCTGGATGAACTCGGTCCCCCGATTTCCCGTGACAATCGCCTAGACGAAGCCGGTTTAGATGAAGTCCATCAAGATATCGTCCGGGCATTTGTCGAGGAGGCCACTGAACTTGGAGAAGCGGTGCGTAACCGGTATAATCTGCGCCGGGCGCTATTTACCGAGCAGCAGTACCGCGAGATGGCGATCCGCTGGACGACGAGCGTTCCTAAAATGTACACCATCCGCGGCATCGACAGGACCAAGGTCGATCTTTACGGCGCCGAGTTTGCTTCACTGGTTCGGAGATTCAACTCCCAGTACCTCGAAATGATGGGAAAGATCGACTACTCCGCGGCAGTGATGGTGACGAACAAGAAGCGTGAGGTCATCGACCTCACTAGCGATGATGAAGACGAGCTGCCAAGAAACCGTGGCCGACGTGGTACGGAAGGGTTGAGGGCTGCGCAGGACGAGGGGGAGGAAGAGGATGAGGATATGGAAGAAGACGAGGAAGAGGAGGAAGAAGAACTCGAGTTCTCCAGGTACTTTGGCGACGAGACGACTAAAGCGCCTTCTCCGACCGAGTCCGAAGCCAGCCATGTGCGGGAGTGGCACAGGCGATACAAGGAACTTAGCAGGCCGTCTCCCAGAAAATCGGCGGCATCCTCGCGAGCTGCACAGACCGCTAAGACCAAGGCTATGCCGAAATATTCCGGTTGGAAAGGCAGCAAAAAGTCAAATTATAGCAAAGCCAAGGGTGCCGGAAGTGGTGCTGCGCGAGGCGGTTCATCCTTTGGACGCGGAGGCTCTTCAGCTGGCGTCTCCAAGCGCTCCGGGTCCTTTGGCAGTCGGCAGAATGGGGGTAGCACTTCAGCGCCCAGCAGACCGCGGAGCAAGACTGGCTCGAAGAGACATTCTTCGGGCAGTGGCATCCCTCTGATGCCTCATTGAGGCTTCCTGCTTGTGCCGCGCCCTCTCATATCTCTTTACTAGAGATGACGGCATTTCTCTTTTTTTTCCCCGTTCAGTGTCGCGATCTGATGTTTGCCTCCTTGTCCCATTCATGGACCTGGTTCCTTCTCCTTGGGCGCCCGATCCGATGATGCTTGCGTTATCTGATGCCTCGAACTTGCGCTATCTGATCGACCGCCGGCCGATCTGATAATCCTCAAGCGATCTGAAGTCTCAAACCTTGCGCGATCTGATCATTGACTCACGATCTTATCAGTTATTGCGGTCTGATGAGTTGCGTGCGCGATCTGAACTCTGAAGCATGGACACCACACACGCACTTTACATCTGGCTCGCTCACTGAAGGCGGGAATGCATAATAAACCTTAGACTTGCACACAGCATGGCGTTGGCGAATACCCCACTGCACAACCAAGCATGGGCGGAGTTTCTTCGTTTTTCTGGGGGGTTACGGTGATTTTGTTTGCTTTCTTCTGGCATTTTATGGAAGCTTTGGGCATGGGTGGCTGGCCGTTCTGATACCTTTCTGGTGGGCTTTGATGGGTGAATGGATGGATGGATTGACGGATCTTGACAGAGGGGATGACGCAAAGGGAGGTTCAATCAAGAAGAGTCTTGAGTTATACACTCTTAATGCTCCGTCTAGATGGCGCAAAGGGAAATCAAGAATAGGGGGTTTGCAAAGCGACCATGAAGAGATGGCATTCGAGCAAGCGAGCATATATGCATTCGCATTAGAGAGACAGATAAAGATAAATCCAGCTGAAAGAGTTACACTCTCTATCTCTACTCGCTCCCTTGATTTTGTGGCGGTTCATGATATGATTGAGCGCCTGATGTTCAGGGCTGCAGTTGATTGATCTGCTCTGCTCTCTGTTGATATGGTTTTCACACCCTGCATTCTCTCCCCCGACTTCGTCTCTCTATTCTGTGCTACCCAATTCCTCCCCTCCCAAAACAAGATTATCTAAAACGAGAAAACCATTACGCCTTTATCCGTGGTGGTTATGCTGGGGTATATATATGGATCTGTATGGTATGATGGTGGATTGGTAAATGCGTATGAGGGACAGCCACATAGGTGGGCTAGCGGGTGGGTAAGGTGTTATACCAACGTAGGTAGGGGATATAACAATCCCGTCTGTTTGGGGATGGGGGCAGAGGAATGGATTGTAAGAAGAAAGGTGAAAGTAAAGGCCCCCTATCATGCTGCTGCTGCTGCTGCTGCTGCCACCATCATCGAACTGTAGAGTGAGCACGTATCGGGGGTGGAGCCGCAGCAGACCTGGAGGAACGAAGAGGTCAAGATAAATAAGTTGGAAAAAAGGGCGAAAGGGTTTGAAGAGAACATAAAATGGAATGAAGTTGGGTTAGTAAAGAAAAGGAAGGCCAGGAACACCCGCCCAACTGTCCATTATCTCCATCCCTAGGAAGTTGGTATAGTACTGAAGGATATGGGAAAGGGAGAAGGATTGAACGTAATCGATCGAATCAATCGAATCAGAAAAGCGGGAAGTAAGCAAGGGTGAAGCGGCCAGGCCGTCTGTATGAAAGTCATAACATCTTTCAGTCATTCATATCCACCGCCCTTGGTCCCGTTGTTTGCCGTCTTCCTGTCTTGTTGTCCCAGTCTGTTTGGACCTTTGTTTGAAACTCCATATTAATTCCGCGGCGGTGAATGGAAGTTTGGTATCGATGAGAGGACCTCTCAATCCTGTTCCGGCTCCTGCAGCTCGGTCACAATTTCCTGGCGCACCTTGCGGCACCACTGGAGCACGGCGTCCTCAAACTCGACCCAGAGCTCCGGCCTTGTATTGTACTGCAGGCCGAGAGGGTCCGCCTTTAGCAGCACTTCCCATCGCAGCTCGGCAGCCTTAAGCCAGTAGCGCAGGTTATCCGCGGCGCGGTACGGCTTCTGCGTGTCGGCATAGAAAGTCGGGATGGCACCAAAGCGCCTGCGTGACTTGTTGACGGCGCAGTTGTGCAGCTGGACGAGCCGCTGGCCGTTTGACAATGCCGCGAGGAAGGGAGTGGGCAGAGACTGCGCGTCTAAAGGTCGGCTCCGGTCGATGGGCGTCCATTTCGGCAGGAAGGGCATATTTGCGATCGGATCTGGCCCCTTCAGCATGGAACGCATGAAGGCCTCTTCTCGCTCGAATTCGCGACCCTCCCAGCCTTCGGGGTGCATCCACGTCCACGTCTTGCGCTCGGCAATTTCTGCCGCCTCGAGGCGGTCTTCTGCGGCCAGCATAGCGCGTACCCCGTCGATCCAGGATTCCATGGTGCGGAACTCCTCTTCGCGCATACCGCCAGTGAAGAGACGGGTTGCCATGCGTTTGAGAATGTCCATGACGGACAGCAGCTCGCCACGCAACTGCTTCTCGGACTTGATGGCGTCGAGACGGTCGGGTCGGTCATGGGATGTGTAGTAGATCTTGGCGGCCCGGATGGCCAGAGTCATGACATCAAGAACGCTCATCCCTTGAATCTCGTACCAACCGGCATCGGCGTCAGGCTGGAAGATGGAGGGCCGCCGCCGCTCTTCGGGCACAGGTGGCGCATCTGGGGGTTGACTCGCGGACTCGACATGAATTGTGACGGTTTCTGCGGGCGGTCTGGCGGCCCTAGCCTCCTTCAACGTCTGCGCGGCCACGCCAAGCGAGCGTGTCAGTTCGGACCGTAACTCGGCCATGGTCGGCGGCTTGGGGAGCGGCTTCTCGCGGTGGTTGTAGGTGCTTGTTGTGGGCGGCAGCATATGCTCGTCGAACTCGTCTTCGAAGAATTCCTCATCTTGCTGTTCTGCGCCAGCGTGGTCCTCAACGGGCGATTCGACGAGGGACCCCGTGCCCAAGGTGGTGTTGGTGAAGCCGCTCTGGATGGTCAAGTCTGGGCTGCTTCCCATGGAGGCATAGCTCGAATCGTGGTCGCTTCCTAAAGTCTTGGGTGAGAGGAAGGCGCTCGGGTCCAGGGCAGAGAGGTCCAGTGTCTGTGGCCGATTCTCCCGTTTCCGCATCAACCGCCCCCCTTTGCCATCGAGCAGGCCGGTTCGTGCAAAGTAGTACTGCAAATGTGCGATGCTCCCCAAGCTGAGAACACTCTCGCGGGCACGGGCACTGGCGGCAAAGTCGGTCCCCTGCGGACGCATGTAACCTCGTCGTCTGCTCGTGCTCCTCCTCCCATTCACCTGAGTGTCGGCAGCGGCGCCAGTGTCGGTGCGGCCCAGGGGAGGATAGCTCCCTGTGGAATGGCGCGAGGATGCCGAGGCATTGCTGCCATAAGATTCCCGCAAATGGGAGGCTTCGCTACTCGTTGCGGATCCGTGCGATATGGCCGACCCGGTCGAGAAACATCGGGCCATGACTTGGGGGGCTCGACGGCCCACGGCAGGCCGGGAATCGGGCGCAGGCGAGCCGGAGCGGGGGCTGGGGGGGTCTTCACACACAGCAGCCATGATTTGCGTCGTCGGTTTGCTGATGATGTCTGTCCTCGGCAGCACTTGTTCCCATGAAACTCTCAACAGGGAGAATTGGAAGGAAAGTAAACAAACGGGCAGCGCCGAGACACGGCAACGGCGCACAAGGCGGAGAAGGTCGACACGGCCGAACAGGAACAACTAGGTACGATACAATACACACTCAAGCAGCGGTCTCTGCCACGACACACTATCGACCGAGGGACCGGGTGCTGTACAGGCCGGCGGTTGTTTTCCCTTTTCGCGTTTGCTGCTGCGGATCGAGAGGTAAGGTCGTGTGCAGTGTGCAACGACAGAAATGAGAGGGAGCTTCAGGCGGAAGAATTGTCTGAGACGGATCTGGGGTGTTTGAGAGTTTGATACATCCAAGACTCCAGAGTGGACTCGGCCCAGACCAGGGGTGTCCTGAGGTGGGTTCGCCAATTACGCAAATGCCCGACGCGATGGTCCCGTCCGCATGTGGGGAGAACACGGATCGCGTCGAAGCACCTGTTTGGCGAGATGGCGGGTTCTTCCCATGTACTCTCGCCAAAGGCTGCCTCTGGATGGGACTTTCCTTACGGACATTTGGTGAACTATCTAGACTCCATCAATGACAGGTATCAGAGACACGGGAAGGTGCTTTCTAATGGATGTTAACCCCAACCATCCCCAGCTCAACCAGAGGGGCTATGGAACCTGACGGAATTTTGTCCTGATTCCGATACCTGGGCAACAGAACAAAATATCTCTGCAGCCCAGGTCCTGTCGATTGGGGTTCAAGAGCATTTGGCCACCTGATCTGAGGTGATTGGCCAGGGAACCAGCCCCCGTAGCCACAAGATCTCCTCCCCTGAAGGACGGGACTTTCCACTGCAGTTCACAACTTCCAGTGAGCACTGTACTGTCCCCCGGGCCAACGGTACGGAGGACGGTATGCACGTTTTGCTCCCGTCGACGTTACACTTGTAGAACAACGTTGAAGATCCATCCTCCTATGTTGACTTGGTTGAATTGGTTCGCCGTCGACCAGTACGGCATTCACCAAACTGCTGGCACGCCGTCACTAAGTAATAGTGCAACGCTTTTGACGGCCGAGTCAACCTAGGAACATCCCTCTCGACAGAGACCACAAACCTGACGCATCCATATCCCGAGCAGTCTTCTTGCCAGGATAAACAGGTAGGTACGAATAGACTAGTAAGGTCCATTGCTTGTTGGCCACCTCCGTCTCAGGTAGTTGGCCAAAAGTGCCGAAAGGAAAGACATGGCCAGAGCGCCCGTTCCTGCCCAAAATCATAGTGCTCCGCTGTGCCGCCCTGACGGGAGGGAAGGGGTATTGTATCCCGTGAGATTGGTTTGCCTCTTTTATTTGCCAATCTGAAGGGGGACGGAACTAACCGGCCATGGACCACCAACTCGTACTTTGGGACTTGGGTAGTCGGGGGTAGTGTAGATGCTAATATCCCATTTCCCGCTGAGATTGCTTCTTAGAACTCGCCCCATCCTGCGTTTGTTTCGAGTCTTTTGTTGACTGTTGCAGTAATTGCTTGAGTTATGGGCAGAGAAGACCGCACCAATCCTCTCGCGTCAGTTGCATCGAGCAGTTTCTCGGCTGCGAACGCTCTTTAGGATTGCCGGCTGCTGTTAGCCTGTCGTTTGCGCGCCTGCCTGTCAGCCCGCCCACTGCTGCGAACCACCGCAAATCCTCGCCCTTTCAGAAGTCAGAAGCCGACTGCCAGCCAGCCAGCCATCCGGCACCCGAGGAGTGTCCAGCAAAATACCCCCTTTACCACATGCTGTTTTGACCAGTAATTCGCGCATTGCCTTCAACTATTCACTGCGCCTGCGAATTCAAGGGGGCGACATACCTCGCTGTCCATTCCGACAGCAACTTTGGCCCACCTCAGTTCCAGTTGAGGTAACCCCGTTTTTCGACGCAGAGCACTGCTGTGCGCTGAGCCAGGCAGCCTAACGTTCCTACGTTGGCTTCCAGAAGCCGGCCAGTCGGACACGCAGCCAAGCTTAACCCTGCCACTTTTATGGGGAAAGGCGTTGCTGGCTGTGACGGAATCTGCAGCTGGCAAGCTGCTGGTGCAGGCGGCCCACTGGAAACAACCAGTGCCGTGCCGCATACCACCGCCAGGGCTCTGGGGCCCAAGCATTTCGGCGAGTTCACGCACTGCAGCCAGAAATCCTAAATGAACACTTTAGCTGCTGCTGCCCCCGGCAGTGGCGATAACAATGTTGTCAATAGAACGGATGTAGCCGCTCAAAATGTCGACCGAACCGATCCTCGCAACCTGAGTGCTGCTCCCGAGCTGACCTTTGACGGCGTCCCCATTGAGCTCCTTCAGCTCCGTACCCTCGCCGCCGATCAATCCCAACCACAGCAACAACAACAACAACATCAACTGCAGCTGCAGCACATCGAGCAAGACTGCAGCACCGCCAAGCGTGACATCGGTGGCCCGCTCAAAACCTTAAACTTAGAACAGGAGCCACAAAAACAACAACAACATCAACGTCAACCACCGCAGCAGCAGCAGAAAACGCTCTCAACAAATGACAACCCGGCCACTACTAGTCCCACCTCAGCACCGCCGACCCATCGCGCTCGAAAGCCGTCGCCTGGTCTTGCAGCGCGATTAAAAGCTCTAGGCTTTGGTACGACCCGAAGATCATCGCCGCCCCCTTCCCACCACCACGAACCTGTTGGCCGTCTCCCAGAAGAGCAACTTCGGAAGCTTGACCAGGGCCACTTGACAAGCTCGTCAAACACCGTTGTCGAGCGGCGGGGCCGCCCCTGGAAGGGCGTCATCGTCCGCATCCCCTCGGTGTCGAGCTTGAAGTCGGACAAGTCGCACGGCAAGCCCGAAGCCGACGAGCCGGCTCCCGCTCCCGCTGTTAGCGCGGGACCCGACTTTCTCCCGGAAATCGCCACCTCACAACCAATGGAAATGGACACTAACAAGTACCGGCTTCCGGAACATACAAACGGAAACGGCGTTAAGGCCCAGATCGACCGAAAGGAAGAGCACATCGCGAGAGACACTAGACCACCCCAGACGCCCGACGAGATCCCCCCTCCGCCCCTACCAAAGGACACTCCACCCTTAGTACAGCACAGGCCGAATCCGGCTGTCCCCGTTGCTAACGACGTCTTCAACCCCGACTCCATCACATTCAATCCACTAGGCCTCCAAAGGCCGGGGTCCATCTATACGCTATCACGCGCCTCGTTTGCAAATCAGCTCGCCCAGCTCACGTCTATACAGCTTCCCGATGCCGACTCTCTGTCTAGCAAGGTCTCTGCGATCCCAACAGCCCAGGCTGCAGCCAAGGCATTGATAGGCGCTGCCGACCAAATTCGCGGCTGGATTAATAAGGCTTCCGAAGTGATAGGCGGTTTGGAGAGCGACGATGATGTCGAATGGGCGGCCGCCGGGGGGCGCGAGGGTGTCGAAGAAGTGGAAAATGCCATCCTTCGGTTCGAGGAGCTAATCAAGGTCTATGTCAGCGCCATCGAAAAACTAAATGCTCGCGACGACATTGGTGAGGTTTCACCAAATGATCTCCGCCGCGCCCTCGCCCAGGTAGAGGCCATCCTGGAGGAGTGGGCAAGAATACGCAAGACGCTGCATTCTGTCAAAGCGCAGGTCGAGATTGCCATGGAATGGGAGGAATTGTGGAACGTGGTGCTCGGTGATATTCAGAGCGAGATGGACGATCTGTGCAGACTTGTCTTCGAGATGGAGGAACGGAGGCACAAGTCGATCCTCGCCGTCACAGCTGGGGATGGCGTGGACATTGGTGATTTGGAGACCATAGTAGAGGAGACGCCCCAAGCATCGCGACTGCAGGCCGCCGGCAACCGCTTCAGTCTCCCCGCGTTCCCAGTCAGCCCTACCTCGCCATCCCCAAGTGCGTCAGCTACCTCCCTGGACGACTCGAGCCTGCTGGCACTCTTCGCCAGGATGCAGCCCCTCAGGGCCTCATTGGACTTTTTGCCCATGAGGCTCTCAGTTTTCGAGGCGAGGGCAGAGGCCATTTTCCCCACAGCGTGCGAAGAGCTGGAGATGCGACGGGAAGACCTGGATGCAGCTTACAAGAAGCTCGAAAAGGACGCTGAATCCCTGCGGAAGGAGCTCGGCGAGGATCGGTGGGTCCTCGTGTTCCGCGGCGCTGGCCGGCAGGCCCAGAAAATGTACGAGTCAGTCGAAAGGAGCGTGGCAAGGCTCCGCGAAGCAATCGACTCCGGAATGCATCTGACCAATCAGCCGACGATGAGCAAGAAGCTGGAGAGTTACGAGGCGAAGAAGACGCACTACGGCCCGGCTATCGAGCGGGTGCTCTCCATCATCGACAGAGGAGTCAAGGACCGGTTGACGGTCAACGGCGAGATTCTGCGCTTGCACGCGGAGATGCAAGCCAGGTGGGAGGAATTGAAAGAGTCCATGGAGGAGCTCGACGCATCTATCGAAGAGCTCCAAGCAGACAAGAGAGGGCAGCAGCTGCGGGATTCCGTCTCCAGCATGCTATCGAACGATATAGCATCCACCATCGGAAGCACAGTCGAGACACCCCAAAGCTCGCCTCCGTCTTCCGTCATTATGTCCAGCTTGGGAATAAACAGTTCTACGAATCTTAAACCCTCAAAGCAACGCTCAACAAGCGCCGCAGGTCATCTGCCCACGCCTGCGAATCGCAGACAGTCGTCTCTGCCGACTCCGACGAGCAAGATTGCCCGCAAGCCCGTGACGGCCAGGATGTCAACGCTCTCCGTTCCTTCACGAGAGGACTCGGCCACCCCAACCGCCAATCGGATCTCCCGTCCCCCTTCGACAGCAGGCAGCCGGCCGCCATCGACTCTAGCGAACCGGCCAAAGTGGAACAGTTCAACCAACACATCCGACGTAGACACCGGCCACAACTTCAAACCTCTCACCCTCACCACACCGAGCCCGTATGCCAAGAAACCGCCCGCCCCCGTCCGCTCCACTTCTTCCTTGACACCGTCATCCGTATCCAAACTGCCCAAGCTTCGCAGTCCACTCTCACGCGCGGCCTCCGCGTCTCCCATCCCCGAAGATACCCCACCCAGATCCTCCTCCACCAACCTCTCATTCCGAGAACGCCTCGCGAGCCAAGGAGCACCGGTTTCCAGGCCTCGCCTCGTCTCGCAAACGTCCGCCCCGGCGGCGACGACGGGCGCGAGACGTGCGTCGCTACAACCCCCGAAACTTGTCGAGTCCTCGCCGGACACCACCCCGAGACCGGCTAGTTCGCTCGCCGCTTCCAGGCGCACCAGCCTCCTACCCCAGCCCAGGACCAGACCGCCGTTGTCGTCCTCCGCTTCGGCGTCAACTAGCAGCGTTACGGGCCGGGAAAGCCCCCAGGCCGTGGCCGGCGCGAGGTTTGCTATGCGCAAGGGCAGCTCGTCATCCACATCGGCTGCTGCTGCAGACGGGAAGGGAAAAGATGCGCGACCTAGGTGGAGGGGTTGAAATTTGATTTGCTTCTGTGAGGCTTGCCTACCTGGCCTGTTCTGGGTTCGGTTTGATTCAGTGAGGAACTCTGAGAAAGGATATGTCTCAGGGGCTTGATTTGTGATCTATTCGTATTATTCCCCCATTCTATTTCGCTGCGTCCTTTTGTGTTGGTTGCATTTCTCTCTCACTGACTGACTAGCTGACTGAGGCGTCATTGGTGGGCGGTGGGAAATAAATTACCATGGAGTTTTGAGGGTGTTTTAATTGCTTTTCTTCTCGGAATCTGCGTTATAAAGGCGACTCAGGGAATACGGGCACATGGATGGTTCAGGGAGGAGTGTATTACATTCTCATGGGGGATTTTATGCTGTGTCTCTTGTCTTTCGTCCCCATATCGAGGGGCTGACAGGTCGAGCAGCCTCGCAGGCAAGCATGACGGACGGACAAGTGGTGGGAAGACGAGCAGAAGGGATGATACCCAAGCCCGACCAAACAGGGACATATGTTGGGTCGTGCATTCTGGTCTGTCGGGATGGAGTTTAGATATTGCCTTTTTATCTTTTGAAGGGGTTTATCCTTTCGTTTAGGGGTGGACCAAATACTCAATTCCCGTCTCTTGTTGTCTTTCTCTCTTTTGCATTCTGGTTCCATCCATGTTGTCTACTCTCTTCCTGTGAAAAGATTCCGTTCTCAGTTTGATTCTCCGCATCTGCCGTTTCTGCTTTGGCTGTCGTTTCGACTTTATACCCCACATCGTACCCCTCGCAAGGTGTTTGCTGTTTGTCATTTCAGTTTTTGAAGAGAAACCCTGTCGTTTCTATCGCTTTTGCTTTTCACTTGCTGTTAGGTCCAATACCTACTGATTACTGTGCTCAGCTGTGGATGCACGGGACTTCTTGTAAGATATTTACGTTGGCATCCGTATTTCCTGAGGGGGTCGGATTGCTGAAGGAGCTGGGAACAGTTTTCAGGGGCTTGGTTCAGTTTGATTTTGACCCATCCTGGCATTAGGGGGCTGAGGGGTGGTAGGCCGTGCTATTGTAGATGAAGCAATTTGATGGCTGTCATTCAAGCTTGAATAATACCATGTTCATAATGGTGTGTTTGCTTGGTTGTGTATTCGCTTCGGTGTCTCAATGAGCGTGCGAGGATGGAGTTACCATCCATAAGGTCATGGACCCAGACTCAGGGGCGTGCGTTACACATCACGCAGGCTCGGTTAAGCACAAACATTGACCTTGACACTATATTATTCCTACACCGACTTGCCGGTAGGCCTGCGGTGCTTATCTGGAGATGGATCAAGCCAGCATCCGGTCAGACTAACTGTAGCATACCAGCTAGTCATTGAGACTTCTGGTTGGGCAAAGCCCTGCGCAACATTTTCCCATTTCCGCCACATTCAGTTCGGTCTAGTTATGACTCCTTCCGCAACAATCGCAGAGGTGGTCGGCATCACTGTCATCGGAGGAGTCTGGCGCCGCCTCTACGTTGTCATCGTCGCTTTTCTTCTTGGGGAAAGTCCAAGCATCCCGACGTGAATGCCATCGCTCGGAGATCACGTCGGTCCCCCGGTGTCTAGGCCTTTGGAACAGGACCTTGCCCTTGTCCACACTCAGATCCTTGCTGTCGCCGGCATTACCGTTCTGGATATCTTCGCTTGACACGCTGTCGGTATCTCTCTCGGTCTTCTTACCCAGACTGAACCGGTAGCGCGTCCTCATGTATTGTTCGCCCAACCGGGCTGCGACAAAATTGGCGGAGTGGAGGCTGACTAGTGTTCGCTTCGGCTGTTCGACCTGGGCCATGAACTCAGCGCACAAACGCCAGTTGTTGGCAACGTTCGTCTTGCTCTCGTGCTCCCTAGCTTGGTCGCAGGATGGTTTCTTGACGAAATCGCTCGGCGACTTGGACACTAGCGTAGAGACAGAAACATCGGGTTCGTATGGAGCCCAATAATATCTCGGACTTTCGGGGAAGAAACGGTCGGAGAGGAAGCGGTCGTGCGCAACCTCAGCAGGTGTGCGGCCAACGGCATTCTCGCAGAACAACAGACTGGGGTCGAAGCTCACAACAGCACGAACGAGCCCAACGGAGGCGCGTTTAGCCAGGAGTGAATGGAGCGGCGTATCACCAGTGCCGTCAGGCATTCTCAATGCCTGCTTGGCGGCGTCATGAGAGATATCGACTAAGAGCTTGAACACTCGCACGGCAGCCGCGGTCGTATACCCATTACCGGTAGCAACGCCGTCCAGCCATTGGTGCAAGGGCGTACGGCCAGAATCTTCAAGTCTATTCCGCTCTTTCAGCGCTGTGGCGAGTAAACCACTGTCGAGGAGGTTCAGTAGAGCCTTCAGTTTCTTGGCGCTTGGCTTCCAGTCGAGTGCCGCGTGCAACAATGTGTTTCGACCAAAATCCTTGGTTGTCTGATCCGCTCCAGCCTCGAGCAGAATCTTGACGATATCAATGCGGCCTAGTCGGCATGCTAGAAAGAGCGGCGTTGCGCCGTACGCCGTCTTGGCATCAAGCAGGGATGGGTAGGTCTTGACGAGGTGCGACACCAGCTCAGTTGCCCGAGCGGTTGGAGGAGCGGAGATAGCGGCATGAAGAACGAGATCGCCTGGAATATGTCAGCAACCCCCCGGAATACCCTGCTACAGTGTAAAGCTAGCTTACTTTGGTCATTAAGCCACCTGGAGATTGCGCCATCAAATCCACCAGGCGCTTGGGCTAGGTGCTTCAACCTCACGTCGTCACGAGCTCCTTTGGATTTCGCGAAGGCGAGATAATGCCTGAGTGGGATATCACTGAGGAACCACTCCACCGCCTCGATTCGGCCAGCCAGAGCTGCGAGCAGTAGAGGCGAGGTCTTCGTGCCGCTTGGTTTGCTAGCCATTGTGCGGCCTGCGGTTGCCCAATCCTTTCTACACGTCCCAGGTTAGTCAATATACCAAGCAAGCCTACAAGAGTACAAGCCGTGGGTAGTGGCGAAACGTACCTCTTCTTCCCGTAGACTGTTAGGCCCTGGTAGTAACGAGGCCGCTCTTGCAACTCCAAGCCTGTGCCTTCGACCAGATGCTCCAGTGGTAAACCTGCCCCGGTGCGTTTGATGATCTCTCCGAGGAGCTCCACACGGCCGAGCCCGACTGCCAACCTGAATGCCTCGTCCGGGAACGAATAGAAGCCAGAGACTTCATCATCAGGTTCAAGCCTTTCGGCGCTCCACCGTTCGCCGATATCGAGCAGTAGCTTTAGTCTCTGCATGTCGTTCCTCCGGATGACATCTGTTTGGACTAGTCAGCACGTTTCAGGCTCCAGGTTAGAAACGCTGTCCGGAAACAAGCAGCCAGGCGCCCGTTTGAAATGACAGCGGCATGCACGTCACGTACCAAGGAGCGGCGACGCCCAATCCACAAGCGTGTGTGGTTTGGTATGGCTCTTAACCTTCATTGACACCTGGCCAACGTTCTCAATAGTGAACTGGTCGTCAATGATTTGGGCGTAGATCCTTGGCGAATCATCATCGGCGACAGATTCGTCTTCGGAGTCCTCCGAAGAATCGTGGTCCGCCAGGTACTGAGTCTTTGGTTTCTCTTTGGGCACATATTGCGCCCGGGCAATCTCAAGCACGGCTTTAGCGACCTCAAAATGGCCGCGGGAAAACGCGAGCGAGAATGGGTTATTGTTGTTGCCGTCATAGACAGCAATCTTGAGCGGAGCTTCTTCACTGGTATCACCCCAGGCAGCCAATGTGAGCGCCTTGGTTGTCTCAAGATCGCCCTTGAAGGCAGCGTTGAACCTTCACGATGTCAGTCACTGTAACAATATCGGGGAGAAAGAAGAAGGCTTACAGTCTCAGATAGGCTTTCTTCCTCGCTTCTGTCACGTCGTTTACGTTCTTGACACAGAAGTTGAATTTGTACGGCTCCGGACTCTTCTCCACTCTCCCAAATGAGTTCTCGTTTCGATGATTGGGGATCTCCAGACGGTGTAGGTACTCAGGATAGAGTTCCGCAAACCGCTTGGCTCCCATGGCAACCATCGTTTCCTTGATTTCCACCATCGTTTTGGTGGCTTCCTCAATCATGGCGGCTTTCTCCTGAAGACCGGGAATGCTGTTCGGGGACGAGACATCTTTCTCGTACTTCTCCAGTGCTCTGCGGTGGGTCTCGCGAAGCTTGTCAATCTCTTTGGAGACAACCCATTGTTGGTAGGAACCTTCCTCAAAGTGGTTCAGGTAGATATCGATTCCCTCTGGCAGGGTTGGGCGAGATGGCACCTGCTCCTCCCCTTTGTATTGTTGGAGCACATTGAGGTGCCTGTATACGATATCCAGGGCTGACTCGCCGGTGAAACGAGGCTGCCAGGTATAGTTCATGTACTGATGTGAGAGGGAGGTGATAACGTTAGGGTCAGCGCCACGCTCCAGGAGTTCGAGAGCTATTTCTGGGGTCTGGGATTTCAGGGCACAAATCAGCGGTTGTTCCGTCATCTGATTGTAACGCTTCTGATTCTCCTCGAGCGTACTCAGTTGGCGTTCCATATTGACAGCTTGCTTCGCAGACTTGAGCCTACCGTTATCCGTCAGTTATTGGTTGGGGTTCCCACAAGCTGGAAGCACAAGCAGGCGCCATTGGAAATACATGGAGAGCAGGAAAGACGGTACGCACCAGGATTCAAAGTCGACATGGGGCACAGCGCCATGATCAAGGAGCTTCAGGACCATGGCCAAATTTCCCTGCTGAATAGCGGCATTCAGCGGAGTATCCGACTTCGGGGGGGAATAGCGGAAAGCTGTGTGGTTAATGACCGTCTTGGTCCCCACCGCGTCCGATTCCCAAAGCGCCTCAAGCAGTGATTCGGCGTTCTCCTCGACATAGCGGTGGAAAGCAGTGACGCCGAACATGTCTCCCTGGGCCGAGGTCGCCCCGAGGCTAATGAGGGTCTTAGCCATCTCCTTCGCCTTCTCGACGGGGAGAGCCAGGGCAAGCACAAGGGTCAGCAATGCACTGGAGGGTTTCTTATTGTAATCGAGAAGCTTGACAGGCAAGAGGACATCGGCGCCATATTCCTGGAACGGAAATCATTAGCTATTGTGTTTGGGCGCCGGGAGCGAGCCGGAAGTTAGATACCTGAACAACGGTTTTCACCACCTCCACATGCCCTTCGATAATTGCGAAGTGCAGGGCTGAGCATGGGGTGTCCCAAGCTAGCACGTTGATATCGTAGAAGTCTGGTTCCTCCTCGTCATCTTCGAGGGCTTCGTTTTCAGAGGGAACAGCCCCCTGCCGCCGAACCTTGACGAATGATCCGGTTGCCATGCTGTGTACTTCATCTTCGGACTCGTCTCGTTCAACAAGCTCGGCATCGGACTCGCTGTCCTTGCCGATGTCCTGACTCTTGATCTCGCCATCTTCGCCGCTCGTCATACCTTTCTCTCGCCGACGCTGGTCCTGCTTGTCTTCGTACTCCGCTTCATTAGCAAGACTTTTTTCAAGAAGGATCTTGACAATCTCCACGTTCCCTCGGGCAGCTGCAAGGTGTAGGGCTGTTTTTCCGTCCGCTAGACGTGCAACAAGACGAACTCCAGCGTTGACCAGTGCGCGGACAACCTCGGGTGTAGAGCTCATGACAGCAAGATGGAGCGGTGTTCTTCCTGTGTGGTCCCGGGCGTTGGGATCAGCGCCTTCTTGCGAGAGCCAGTCCATGACATGCTCAATGTCTCCATCCACGATGGCCTGGCAAAGCCGCGCAGTATTGCCGATATAGGCCATCTCCGTCCAGTCGTCGTCAGTGAGAGGATTAAAGGAGCCGATTTCCTGGGCCGGCATGTCAGCTGCGACGATCCTGTTGCTCGAGGGTCGGGCCAGGTGATTGGGCTTACCTGTCTGCCAGGATCGTCTTTGATGAACGAAATAGTGCCAGACACATATATTTTCTCTTCCTCTTCCGCAATCTTCTTCTCGTCTTCTGTTTTCGGAACAGGACAATATCCACAGCAGTCGTTTATCACATCTTCGAACCGACCGAACTGAGAAGTATCAGCACAAGGACAAAACATAAGATTCGCCAGGCAGATCTCACGAAGGCGGGATGCCGGTGTAAGTAGACTTCTCTGTCGTCGGGTTGGTTCCACTCGGCGTTGAGAACTGCAAACTTTCCGTCAGGATGCGCTGAGTAGGGAACACGGGGACGTGTCACCTACGAAGATCCCTGGTATAGCAGAGCTTCTCGATCCGTTTGGCATTGAACTTTGGACCGTAGGGAATGGTAAACGTGTGATAGTTGGAAACCTCCTCCTCCGTGACCCAATCCGCCACTTCATCCTCGTGCTCTTCCTTGATGTTGCCAGCAAGAGACCGACGGCTGCGGTGATAGCGGTTGATTGCAGGACGACCTCTTTCCTCACGACGTTTGTCCATATACGCGGACCTAGCGGATGAAGTGGGAAGCCGCTCCAAGACTAGAAGTCGTGCTAGTCCAAGGGTCCGCTGGAAGCTCCGCTCAAAGATGGTCGGGTCGATACGGGAGCGGTCAAGGTCTGGCCAGTACACTTCGAAGCCTCTATGACTGTATTTCGAGAGGCGATTCTCATACGACGGGCTCCGGCGCGACAAGTCGATGTGGTTGATCTGGGTTATGAATGACTGAAGGGCACGGGGGGTACAGTAGACCTGCTTGCCATCGTAGGCAGCACCCGAGCAATCCACGTCGAAGCCAGTCAAGATCTCCGAAACGGATTTGTAAATACGGAGAACAATCTGCGAAGAATGAGCGGAGGTCACCGGGTAGTGGACGGGGAATTGCTAGCTGCGAGATTACCTGGACATGACGAGTCGGGTACTGGCTACCTGAAGAAGGGCGTTAGTAATGAGATGTCTGACTGCGTAGAGAAAAGCGCTGGACTGCTTACAGATAGTGACAGCATGCTTGGTTCTAACAGTGGTGGTTTCCGTGAGAAGGGCATCCCGAATTCGTGCCTCGATATCTCTGATCTTCTCAACCGCTTGCTCTTCCGTAAGTCCGTACAGGAACAGGTCAACATCAGATGCGGGACTGAACTTCTCATGGTAAAACTCCCGAAGGCCACGCTTGGACTTGTTGTACTCATCTGGGACTGGAAGGAGACTGTTGACAACGGAGGATCCAGCCGCAACTACATTGCTCCTGAGGAAGAAAGTTAGCGGGCCGGTGGGTGTTTACAGGAGAGGTGCCATAAATCCATACCAGTCGAGTTCAATAAGTGAGGATTCGGAGAAGACATTGAAGTTGCGCTGGAAGTCCTTGAGGGACTGGACGATGGCAGGCGAGTTGTGCGGACGCCGCACCTCCTTAGACAGGGGCATGATGTACTTTGATCGTTCTTCTTCTGACTCGCTCGCCAGGTTGCGTGCCCTGATCTTGATGTTGGGCGTGTCCTCAGTGAAGAGAGGCAAGACGTTGACGTGGGGATCCTTGAGCAGCTCGTTGCCCGGGTCTTGAGCGAACGCCTGGCGAAGATGGCCTTCATACTTGCGGAAAGGCTCCATCAATTCCACCATTGGGGTCTCAGGATGTTTGGCAACATAGTTGACGAGGCCCTCCAGGGGCACCGGCAAGGTAGGGAGAGTGTCAGATGCCATCTCGGAAGGCAAGGACCCAAAGTAGAGCTTGACAAGATGACGAGCGGGAGTCTATGAGATTCGAAGGTGCAGTGATTGCAAGAGGACGATGTCGTGCGAGTTTCGTGCCACGGTTCAGAGACATCAGCTCCCCTTTATAACATTGGATGCTCCCCGAGGTTGTAGAATGGGCCCTGGCTCTAACGAGAGTTTTTTTGAAGCTATGGTGCGAATTGAGACTGCCGACGCGCCTGGGCATCCGCATCCATGTATTGGGCGCCGATAGCGCGATTCTGCCTAGAACTGCCTAACATGAACAGGGTCTCAAAACGCGATGGAGACGCAAGATCCCGTGACCAAGTCAAAAATTAGGCACAGAAACCAATGCAGGATAATCGAGGTGAAGCTGGAAGGAGGTGAGGATTGATCAGTGTTAGAGTGATCAGGCAGCGAATGGAGTAAAATGGCTGCCAAGCCTCCAGTCGTGGTGGTGACTGTCTTCAGCTGGGAGTCACCTACATAGATGCCTGGCCAATCCGGGAAACGACGCCATATCCTTCATTTGTCTTTCTCTTCGGGAGAGAGCTGGACAGTTGAACCGAGAGAAGAGACGTTCAGAAAGGCAGGACCAGAAAGCGATTATCCAAGGTCCACTGCTCGTTTCTGAAGATTAAATTGGCAGCAGAAATTCCGCTGGTACAGCACAAGCCAGTCCCTCCGGCCTGGTAAACATAACTCCCTGGAAACAAGGAGTAGAAGCGGCAGCTGCCTTTAAATTATGCGAGCTACGCCATCGATCCCATACGCAAAACGAACTCAACTTGATGCGCCATGCCTGCCACAGCTCGGTCCGGTGGCCGAACAACGCCCTTTGAATGAAACCTAAACGCCGTATCCAGTAATTCCAAAGTCCCGGTCATGCTCTTATAACGCGATGGCGCCTCTTCGATTTTCCCGTAGATGCAATAGGCCCTGAAGGCCGCAGAAGACGAGGAATCCCTAACAATAACCAACGTCAGCCCCGTGTAAAGTACGGTTTGGGCAGGGAATGCATGGAAGTGACGATGGGGGATGCATACAGCATAGATGATGACGGCCGTGAAAACAGTGCCGGCCACTGCAGGCCCGTTCTCGGGATCCTCGTCGCCGCCAACCAGTTCGGGATGGTTATTGTTAAAAAGGAGACCGAGGACAGATAGGATGACGATGGCAAAAAGCGAGATCACGACGCTGTCGGATCGTCAGTACCGTTCCGATCTGGACTCATGGAACGATCTGCTTACCAAGACCATGCTTGCACCGCACTCACAATGGGCTTCATCGTCCCGGCGGGCAAGGAAGAGGGATCTTCGAGGGTGTGTAAATACAATCTCCAAAGAGGCGCGTACCAGTACTGTAGCAGAACTTCTGGGCTCGCCCACGAGCACGAGGCAGCTGTTGATGAGCTTATTGTACAATCGAGGAATGCAGTTCGGTGTTGAAACAGCCGATCCTCAGCAGGAGCTCGTGCAGGGCTGCGGGCATCACTGCCCCACCTGTTGGCTAAGTGATGCCTAAGTTTCAAGGCAGAAATATAAGGTGCCTCATCCGAAGAGTTGCCAAAGGGACCAGTTGACTTTGCTGTCCTGACTCCGTACTCCGTACTCACGGAGCTTCGTACTTCTCCCAGTACGGCTTCGACATCACCCATATTCTTGTTGGGTGGAAGTCTTCTTCACGGATGCCAACGACGGCATCCCTCTAGGAAGGTCGGCCAGTCTCTCGGGCCCGCCCAGACTCGTTTCTGGAAAAGTCCCCACCAGATGTGGCTGTTAAGTGCAGGCAAGATTTCGCACCCAAAAATCGGCCTCTCGACTACCCCTCTTAACAGATTGAGGCAGTGGTACATACATGACAGCCTAGATAACAGAGGCGCCCTCATCCAGGTGACCCGAGGTATTGATACGTACAGTCGGGTACCTTATGCAAAATTTCTGTCAAGAAACAGAGTCCTTGCTCATCAACCCTGATTCTTGCTTATCAAGCACTAAGACCTGGCTCTGTCAAACTTTCCAGGTGCGTATAAGACTTGTGAGCGGATTGCGGCCTGAAGGCATGCAGCGTCTACCTATCGTCAGAAGGATCAATCCTAACCACGTACCTATATCACAAGGGGCCATCTCTGAGGTAGGCATCTGCTTCCGCGCGAGCAGAGGTTTCTACTCATAGCGGTCAAGAAGAGGTCGATAATCGACATGTTTGATCCAATCCATCCCGGTGACCCACCTGTATCCGGCTGTCCGGTCAAGGCCTCCGATGTTTGGGTGCCAAGTGCCACGGCCTTCACAGACCCTGAGAATCTGGGGCAACGAAACGCCAAGACGAGCCTCAACTTGAAACGAGCATTCTATGTTTGTGGAACTGCTACGCCCGTCGCCGACAATTCCAGCACTGGCCATATCGCAACCTCCAACTTCCCGGGTGAAGTCCGAGGTGGTGGTGAGCAAGCATGCTTGTCTCGCGGCACCAGCGATTAGGGGTACAATAAGAGGAGCCTGTGCCCCAACATCCAGGAGATTGTCAACCACATTGATGAACGGCGCATTGTGGGAAACTCCACGCTGATCTCCGTGTTGGCGACAGTCTCATTGTAACACAGCATCAGCACAGCAAAAGCTAACTTTAAGTATACGAGTTGCTCAACCTCCGGTTGGTAAAATCAGAAACTCAGAATTCCGATGCATAGGCATTACTACAAACTTCCTGCCTTTGAATGCCTGCATATCCATATCCGGGTCTTCAACACGAAGATGCCGAGTATTGATGCCACATGAGGAGGGCCGTCACTTGGACTGCAATGCTAACATGTCGACAAGAGCACTAGGTTGAACGGGAGATCGGTCTCCGAATGTTGTCATCATTCATACTTGTTCCAAGGACAAGAGGCGATAATCTCTCCAAATTAGGATTCCACATTAGCCGCGTTAAGTTGCCAAAGCGACGATGCCCATTTTCTCAGAGCGGCATTGGATACCAAAGGATCTCACTTGGCAGATCCCGTCGCTTCCAGCCTCCGCATCCAGGTGTGGAGTAGTTGGTTCAAGGCATCGGGTAGCCGCTGAAGGATGTTTGCCTGTACCAATCGGCGACCCATGATGCTCTAAATTCGGGTGGGCTGTGCCGCTCCGGGATCTTTGGCGTCCACTGTTGACGGGGCAGCTGCACAGCAACGTCAGACAACATGGACAGTGTTCGTTTGACCATTTCCAATTGTGCGACCGCACTGGCAGAGATGTGTAAGTTATGTACGGAAATATCGAGACCGTGCCTCAAGTGTTTGACAAGTTGACTGAAATGTTGGTGCAGTGATTGTTCCCTTTGTCGCCCAACCGACCGGCCGTTGTGCCGGCGTGGCGGAACGTTTGACGGGACGGGATGAATACCTTAGCTTCGGATCAACGCCTGCCCAGGATGCTCTAGATTGCGAGTCATTTCCAGCAATCTATTTGCAGGCAAATGTGGTATGCTGCAAGGTACGTGGACCGTCACGCCAACAAGTGAGCGTAGGTCCAGATGGATGCACAAAGATTTTCGTTGCATCATCGCTCGCGTACCTTGTACGCGCTTACCTGCATTTAGCTTGTTGTTTGGGAGTGAGTGGATGGCCGATGCCGTGCCTCTTCACCGCAAGCTCCTTCCTAAGCCCCCGGACCTGACATCTTCCGACCACTGTCCGAAGTCCCAAGGACACGGCCCGGTAACCATTAGTAGTAGCACATAGGTACAAGTGTTTATATATCACCCGCCACATTCTCCCAATCTTCCATCCAGTCTTTCCTTGGCCGCAACCTTGGAAAGCCAGTTCTAGTGTCACCCAGTCGCGTATAAGAAGCAGTTCCCGTCCCCAAGGTGTGCATTGGCAAATCACAAACCACGGACTGCACCCCGGCCCAACCAACGGCAACTCGCAGGTGACGCTTCCACAGCCTTGCTTGATCCACAAGGATCCCAACCGGCTTCACCTCGTCAAAAACAACAGCAACAGCAGTAGCAACATTAGCCAACATTAGAGTTCATCAACAAGCATCACAATCAGAATGCGCGTTTCGGAGAGCTTGTCGCTTCTGCTGGCCACGGCCGGCACCCAAATCGCCGCCCAAAGCTTGACGACAACGAGCGCGGCCCCGACCAGCACAGCCACGCCAGAGAGTCCAGAGACGGGCGTAGGTGACGTCCGGAAGCCGCAGAATCTCCCGGGCATCATGCTAACTGTAAATACCAGCAACTCGGAGACGCCACAGTAGTCAACAACAACCCTGTTGGTGTTGTGTACAAGGCTACTCTACCCGAGTCTGCCTTCTTCAAACCCGCCTACCCCGACGGCGGTAACATCGAGGGCGAGATCACGGCAGTGGCCAACCCTGACGGAAGGGGTGTGCTCTTCACCCTGAAACTCAGCAACCTGCCCAAGATTGGCGAACCCCTCCGTAAGTCAACCTGCCGCAAGGGGAAAGGGGGAAATGGGGGTTGTCTCGACGGAGAATTCGCTAACATCTCGCCCTTTTCAGCCTACCACCTTCACGTGGCCCCTGTGCCGGAGAACGGCAACTGCACGGCGACTCTTGCGCATCTCGACCCCTTCATCCGCGGCGAGGCGACGCCCTGCGATGCCGACCACCCCGAGACGTGCCAGGTGGGCGACCTGAGCGGCAAGTACGGCGCCATCTCGACCGATGAGGACACGTGGGAGGACTCGTACGTCGATCTGTACGCGTCGACGCTCGAGGGCATCGGAGCCTTCTTTGGCAACCGCAGCATTGTCATCCACTACCCCAACAAGACGAGAATCACCTGCGCCAACTTTGAGAAGGTGGAAGGTGATGAGAGCGGCACCACCACCACCAGCACCGTGGTGCTACCGACATTCACCTCGGCCAACGTCACTGTCGCCCCGACCGGCGGCAGCCCCATTCCGCCTACTACCCCGCCCGCGCCGACAACGACTGCGCCGGTCATTGGCGCCGCGGCGGGCTTGAAGGTCGGAATTGCGGGCGCTGTCGCCTTTGGCGCGGCGATGGTGTTCATGCTGTGATTGATGATGGATTAATTAATTGGAAAAGAGCGGGTGGCGTTCTAGGGCGTTAGCAAACGGGTAATTATCCCCCCTGGCTTGCCTTTGTCATGCAGCGAGGGGTTTCTGCCAGTATTTACTTAATAGCCGGCTTGGGTCGGAAAAGGAAGACGTTCTCCATGAACCTTATAAGCGAATGTATTAGTTAGTGGCTAAGCGCCGCGTCATTGTCTTAGACGATGAAGTCGTGGTAATCGTGGACTTGGAGTTTGAGTGCGGTTCGGGTCGGTTATTGAGAATCCAAGTGTTCCCCATCTCCCCGTCTCTGCTCCCTCCGTCTTGGTAGTGGTCAGACCAAGGGCTGGTACTGGTTTGCGAAATCGAGCCCGCATAATTCCCCGCGTGCGAAAACGCTTAACGTTAAAGATACCAAGACCGTCGTCCTGACGCTTGATATCGTTAGATGCGGCTGTGTCCTCGATGCTTTCAGATCACAATGTGGAGTGTCGGGGTGGAACGGTGCGCCTGTCAGGAGGAGAATCACGCACTGTGCAAGTACGTAGCTGCTGTTAGTGCAGAGCAATTTTCTCACGTTAAAATTTTGTCTGTCGACTACCCCTCTTAGCAATGCCAGCTATACACTGTAGCTTGCCGTACTGTGTGTGGCCAGGGCATGGTTTCAAATTGCCTGGGGGGCGCTAAGCAGGACTTGCCAGACAGCCTCGGGACAGCTTTAGGTACTGTACCACACGAGCCACAGTACGCAACCACTGCAGCATCGCAACTCACCAAGGGCATTTTCCTGATTATTACGGAGTACAGTAGCCACGATGAAGGCCTGCAAACGCTGTGGGTCCTCTGAGCCTGCCGTTCTTTGCGCGGCGATGGTTATTGGTGCAGTGTTTGGGCGGCGGGATGGACCCACTGATCATTGCGTGCTGCAGCCTCCCGTTGCGGGCCTGGTATTTTGCCAGGGCCAGGGTCGTGGGTTTTGACAGCTGAGGATGCAAATGGTTTCTTTGCGCGAGCCCTGCTCACAGCTGATCATAACGCAGCCTGATGTGACGGTTACCACCCTCTCGAGCCTCTCCATCTCACGATCACCTCGAGCGAGCCCCTGTCAACCTGACAGAGCGAAGCATCCGCACAAAAAGCGCCAGTCGGGATGATCACACCAACTACACTACGTGATGAACCGATATCTTTCTCGCAGTTTTCGTAATGGCGGCCAATTAGAAAAGGGAGATGTTGGCTTGGCCGGAGATAGCCCGTGGCGATCTGCGACTCAATCTCACCTGGCAGCTGCTGTGGTTCTGTGGGGTTGCAAGCGGGCCAGTCTGTCGTCTGAAGTTGACCCAAAGCTAACCTTAGACACATCTGTATGGTCCTCTGGGAAAGGGGAACGGGAAGACACCTGCAGTGGCGTTCAGGTGGGGGACAATTTGGGCTGCCGTGCATCGGCTGTGATCTGTGGTGCACCTGGTTGAGGAGGTACAGTACCTTACATACTGGTTCCATACGTCACCTGCCTTGTAGCTGACATTGATCCCAGCCCTTAGCTAGGCTGATTTCGTTGATGATGCCTAGTAATGACAGACTATCGGTCGAGCATCCGCATCAAGGTGAAGATTATCTGGTCTGGTTTCCTCTCCAATCTGACTGAGGTACCAAGATGCCATTAGTAAACCCAGGCTCAAGGGATCAGCTTGGCGATATTCATGCAGTTGGTTGAGGGATACCAGGGCGAAGTAGTTGTCGAGATGTACATGTAAGAGACGGTTGTGAGGTTTCTTCCTTCCTTCCTCTCATCAGCCTCGGCTTGGCCAACGCCTGCCTGAACCCCCCCTCAACTTCCCAACTTGAATTGTGAACATGGACGCCCAGGACGGGATCAAGTTCAATTCATCCCAACCTGAGGAGCTAATAATGTTAACACCTACACCCTTTCATGTCGCCCGCTTTACTAATGGTGTGTTTTCTAGCATTGCAATATATCGTGATCCGATGTGGCACCCTGGCGCTGGAGGTTGCACCTTGCAAGGTTACAGTCGATCTACGCCATGACCGTTCCGAGGGTCGCTCAAAGTCACATTCCACCTGCCGCTGCTGATGTGGGTTCATGCCCCATGCCCGGTGCTACCGTTAGATGCAGTGATTTACCTGGCTTGCAGATCGACAGAGAAAAAGCAAAGATTCATCAGTCGAGCCAGTGTGGTCCGCCTTTCACTCACCCACGCCGGGCAACCCGAAGAGTCGAGCTGTTGCGTCCGAGGAGCCGGTCGAGGATCTTGGTGCCTCTGACTCGCAGCCGCCAACGCAGCCTTAACGTCACCCACACTTCCCAAATCAGGGGAAGAGAGGCAGCCAACAAATCATATTCGCCCCTCTGAGTTCGAAATCGGCGACGTTGTTGGCTTCGGGGAACTACTGGGGCCGCCTCACAGCCCAAAATGGAAATAATTGAAGCGGACCAGCCCCAGGCTGGCAGCCCCTCTGCTTCCTTCACCTTGCAGTCATTGCCACGGGCACCCAAGACCAGCTGCAACGGCCCCAGTTAGCACCGCAGCTGCAACAGACGACGCGGTAGGGCTAGCCGACGTCGGCCAATTGCCTAACAGACTGGTATAGGATGGCTTCATAGCCCCTGGCAGCTAGCTGCATAGACCTGAAGCGCACGTCTGAATATCGATAACGCCGCATACACGATACATATCCAACCTGCCAGTCCGTCTGGTGACAGCCAACTTCACCTGGGCAGTGTTGGCGTCGGATACCGGATTCTCGGGACCACGCCCGGTCCGCTCCTGTCGGACCCTCGGATCCTCGACCCAGCTAGAGCCGCCCAAGACGACTGTCTCCCCTTTCCCCCGCTTCTCAGGAAGGGGAAGAGGGGGAAGGAAGAGAGGGGGAAGGAAGAGAGGGGGAAGGAAACTAATTTGATGTCTTAGGTGATCACAAACATTCGGTTAAGGTCACCGAGCAGGTTGGAAACCAACATACATGGCAAAACCTGTATATCGATCTTCTAGGTGTGCTGATGCGGGGAATTTGTCAGGGGGTAGAAGGACTAGCCATGTGAGTGAAGGGTCGGCAATCGTCAGCAATGGATGGCTTTAGCGGCTTGTAAGGTTGCCGTACAGACGAGGCGATTGAAGCTGGAAGCAACCCGTCACCTTCGCCCTCCTGGGTGGGGGGGACCGGCACGTTGCTCTCTTCTGACTATCCAGTGCCGTCGAACTAAACCTGGACCTAGCATCCCGTATCGGATGGGTGGCGTCTCTGTCAGCATCTTGCGCTATCATGACAGGGCCCGCTCCGAGGCTATCTCACAACCGAGCTCCCAGCTCAACTCTCGCCAAGACCGCGGGTGACGGCGGCCACGGTGAGCCCGGACACAATCTGGTTGGAGAGGCATGGCTTCGGATTGGTTCCGCGGCTAGAGATGGATCGATCACTCACAGGAGAGGGCACCAGGCTCCTGGAGACGGCCCTATCTCCACCCCATCCATCGCGAAGGTGGGCAATGGCTTACGGCGACTGGCCCAATGGATATCTGTGTCTTTCCTTCTGAGGCACCCGGTTCGCTTGCCTATTCGATGGGTGCTGACTAGACGTTGGTGCTGAGCCTTCCGGAATCACCGGCCTATTAGGGCCGGCAGATCTAACAGATAGAGTTCTGTATGGCACACCTTCCCTAGCGTGGATGTATGTCTCTCCTGCAGACCCTTGCTGTTCGGAGGGGTGGTTGACGGGAAGTTGCTCCAGAATACTTATACCTGTGACTCTCCAGTCCGGACACTTGTCTCAGGGGTTCTATCTTCATGCTTGCCAGCTTCTCTCCATCATGGCTCGACCTAATCTGCTTGTTCGTCTGTCAGGCCGGAAACAGGATGGCCCTGTTGCCGTCTCTAACGGCAATGTGAAGCCATCGAGACAAGGAACCCTATGGCGGCACAGGTCGCTCGCTTCACTCGGACGTAGGATCAGCCCAGATCCACCACCTGTGTTGTTTCCCCCGGCAGGCGACTTAGGCGTTCCCTGCGCTATTTTCGACGAAGGCGACAGTGTCCCTTTCAACGCTTATGAAAGAGAGGTGGAGCGCATCCGCCATGAGGAATATCCCCATATGAACCATGGTTAGTCAATCAATAGCTCGCTCTAGCAAGAGAGTTTGGATTAACCGCCTGGTAGGAACTTACCTCGACCACAGCGGTACCACTATCTATGCTCGCTCCACCGTGGACAGGTTCGCCCAAAAGATGCTGTCGAGTCTTTACGGGAACCCTGTGAGTAGGATATTGGCCTCTCTATCTGCCCCTTTATGCTGTCTTAAATGCCAGTGTGCCCCTAAAACCAGACGGCGGTTTCCCTTCTCTGCTCCCCCCTTCCTCCCACCCCCCAGAACCACCCTCGGTAGTATTGTTGTGGCTGACAATGCTGGTAGCACTCGGCCAACAAGCCGGCCAAGATGTCTGGCGATATGGTCGACTCGATCCGGGAAAAGGCGCTGCGCTTTCTCGGTGCCGATCCTCGCCACTTTGACCTCATCTTCACCGCCAATGCCACAGCCGCTATCAAGCTCGTAGCCGACGCCTTCCGGGATCTAGCCGAACAGACACGCTCCGGTTCCTTCTGGTACGGCTACCATCGCGACGCCCACACCAGCATAGTCGGCGTCCGGGAGCTCAGCAACGGCGACCATCACGTCTTTGAGGACGATGCCGAAGTCGAGGAATGGTTGGGTGGCGGCGGCGGCGGCTCCTCGGCCGTTGGTACACCGCAGCAGCGCTTCTCCAGCCTCGGCCTGTTCGCATACCCGGGCCAGTCCAACCTCACCGGCCGGCGGCTGCCGCTCGAGTGGGCCCGCAGGCTCCGGCAGCAGCAGCGGCAGCGGCAGCACCACCACCTACAGGACACGTACAGCCTGCTCGACGCAGCTGCGCTCGCCATGACCAGCCCCATGGCGCGCGTCTTTGCCGACCCGGACGCGGCGCCCGACTTTGTCTGCGTCTCCTTCTACAAGATCTTTGGCTTTCCCGACCTGGGCGGCCTGGTCGTCCGCCGCGAGTCGGGCCACATCCTGACGCTCCGGAAGTACTTTGGCGGCGGCACAGTGTCCATGGTCAGCGCCGTCGGGGGCGCCTGGCACATCTCCAAGGGCTTGGAGAGCACCCGTTCAGCGGCAGCGGGGGGGCATCATGTTGCTTTTCCACCTGTTGCTGCTAGCAACACCACTACCGCGGCTGGGGCTGGGGCTGCGGCGCTACACGAAGGCCTCGAGGACGGCACGTTACCGTTCCACAGCATCCTGGCCCTCGGCGAGGCGATCGACGTGCACGCCGAGCTGTACGGCTCCATGGAGAACATCTCGAAGCACACCACGGCCCTGGTGAGGAGGATGTACCGCGGCATGAGCTCACTGAGGTATGCCAATGGCCAGCCCCTGTGCAAGGTTTACGAGAGCGAGCAAGACGGCGGCGCGGCGTATGGGGACCCCATCAGGCAGGGCGCCACTGTCGCGTTCAATGTCTTTAGGGCCGATGGCGGCTACGAGTCGTATTCGACGGTCGAGAGGCTGGCTAATGAGAATGGGGTTTATGTGAGGTCTGGAGGTAGGTTTTAACTTATTCTGCCATGTCAAGGGGGGTGGAGAGGAAAGCATGAGTTCTCTATCCGTGGTTCGGCTAACACATAACCTAGGGATTTGCAACCCTGGTGGATTGTTTACTGCGCTGCAGTATGAACCGTGGCAGTTGAACCGCGCAAGATCCGCGGGACATCACTGCGGTAGGCTATCTTCATCTGCTTGGTACCACTGGTAACTGACCATGGTTACAGGTTCCGATGGGTTGAGCTTGATCAACGAGTTACCCACTGGGTAAGTCATAGAACCCCCTTTCCCTTGTGTTGTGGCCTTGCATTGCCCCTGGTGCTGACGGCTTATCCCGCAGCGTCGTGCGAGCAAGCCTCGGCGCCATGAGCACCGTCCAGGACGTTGACAATTTCCTGACCTTCCTGCGCAAGACGTTCCTCGAAAAGGGGGTTCGAGCCCGCACTAGCGGTTCTACCGTGGCGGATCAGCTTGAGGGGGAGCTTGCTGTCAAAGAGCGCCAACATGCCCCTGAAGCTGCGGTGTGCTACTCTGTGTGACTGTCTCTTCGTTGAGGTAGCTTTCGCGCCAGGGGTATTCTTTACGGCAATAGTGCCATGCTCCTATTCTTGCATGGTCGTCGGTCCGTTTGATACCGTCTGTCTCTTCCGGTCATGGGTGTTCTTGTGGGTACATACAAAGGGGTCTTGTTGGCGCGTGTTGGCGTCTGGTTTTCAATACATGTCGTTACAGTTGTTGCGTCTTGCTACTTAGGGGGATCACTTTTATGGTGAACTATACCTATCACATCCTGTTTGATTGCTCCGCTGAGTCTCCCACATAGGAAAATGGAACTTAAGCTCCGGTAAGCTTGCTTGCCCTCTGTGAGTGTAATCCTAGTCGGTCCCTTCATGCCTGCTGGCGAACCCCTTGAACGCTCCTGGGTCAATATGATCTCCCTCACCTATCCATCGACCCCATGATATTGATGATACAGCACCGCAAATGGTGCTCATCCATCCACTGCAACCGGACTTCCCCACCATAGGACAGCAGCCATTTGTCTCCCTGAGCAAGTGCTAGTTTGTTTGACACCTGTATGTCGACTGGAAGCTCAAAGACGCCACGCCACGCGGCCCGACAACCAGATCAAGGTCAGCAACATTGCCAGGAAGACCGGGCCGGTCCAAGCACTGTCATGTATTGAGCACAATCTCGAGCGGAAGCGACGAGAAGGGTGTAGCACGGAGGTGTATCGGGCCGTTATAGCATCCCACAGTTCAAGGACAGCAAAATACATAGTAATGAAGAGTAAACACCAGGAGAGCTCTTCTGATGTGAACATGCGATAGAGAGTTTAGGATACTCAAACGAGAAATACACAGTGTCCGAGACAGGTAGTCAATCACTAGCATTCCTTCCTGAGACAGAATGCCGAAGCCGCCTGCGTCAATCCCCGACGCGGCTTGAAACTAAGCCCTACGACTGGAGCGCCACAGACCCGGGCCCAATCTGAGGAATCTGAGAACGCACAGAGTTCTGTCTGAACTGTAATACTGTATGGACATAGAGTGCGCTGGTTGGGACGTGTATTGAATTGTTCAAGAATGTACAATACTCCGTATGGACAATACACACGCCTCGTGGAAGGGAGATCGTTGAGATCTTGTACTGTGTAGTGTAGTTGTGTATACCAATTCGCCGTTCAAGGAGAGCGCGGAATGCACAATGAAGGAGAAAAAGGATAAGCGAAGGTGATGGCTTCATGCGCAAGGAGTATTGGAATGGCAAAGGCACAAACCCTTTGCCCCCCTTTTTTGGTGGAACGCTGCACCGGCAGAGAACAAGGTTCGGGAATGTCCGCGTGGCAAACGGCCCGTCTAAGCAGATGGCGCCGATACCAACGGCCCGTTTCCTCCCCTATCCCAGATTGCCGCGTGTGGGGGAAATTGTCGCGCTGTCAGCGCGTTGGGATAGTAGGATGGACACATTGTCGGATGAAAGCTCACCTGTTCCGGAAAATCGGAGTAAGACCCTACTTGGTTTCGCGTATGAGGTATCAGAAGGGACAGAAACGTGGCTCTAGCTTAATTAATTCGCGTGATGGTAGTCGGGGAGACAGAGGTGAGAATCCGGGGTTTGGAGGTCGTTTGCGCTTGTCATGGCCGAGCCCGCCTCCCCTCGCACACCATCGTTCGCAATCATATTGTAGTTCCTGCAGCGCGGTCGGGCATATAGGTACAGTTTGCGGTGAGCTTGGACCACGGTTTGGCCTGCAATCCAGCGTTCCATCAACAGACCCGAAAGCTGCGATGGCCCGCCGCGATGTAACTGCTGGTAGACGGGTTGATATGTGCAAGTGGGCGGGATTTCCGCTGGAGGCTCTTCGCCTATCCCAAATCCCGTGAATCGGTGCTGCCGCTCCTAAATTGAGGAAGAGATATGCGCTAGAGACAAGCGCAGATGTCGATGGCAACGACTGAGACTCACGACGCCGCATCCATAGCACCAGGCCATACGGTCATGATACAAGCCTGTGTGACCAACAGATGCCAAATATAACTGCCGGCGACACGCATCATGATATGGCAATGCCATCTCGCTCGGCTCTGGGATGCATCGCAGCGGAGTTGGGTTGTGCTACTTTAGCAAACTCGAAGTGGGTAATCATCCAATATGTGTGAAGGGTGAAGTTCTGATCCTCACACCATCGGCGATTTTTTTTTTGCGCCACATGCGGCTGCGGGGTCGATGTTTCGATATCTTGTGCGACTCGACATGCGGCAGGTCATTGTCTGCTTGCGCTCGTCCAGATGAACTCGAGATGCAGTCAGTTGGCCAGGCTTCAGGCCATAACGGGCCGATCACCTATTTTGCCAGAATTCCCAATCCGGCGAAAAACGCTTAGCGAAAGCGATTAGACATACCTGTCGTGATACTCTGGCTAAAGGGAGATCAAACACTTATTAGAAAGACGTTGCTCTCCAGTCGGCCCACATGTTATTATTCATTGTGGGACCATGGGCGTCGAGAACGGCCATAGGTATTTTTGTTCTGGCACACCAGTGGACACTGGCGCCTATGTCTTGCTTCGGTTTTCCAGTTTGCCGAGTTGGACGCAGAGTGGTATGGAAGGCTGCGGTGCACGAAATTTGAGCTGGGATGATTTATCGCTGTGTAACAAGCCTCAGTTGCATTGCAGTGACGCATTGCTCGAAACAAACCCAACTGACAGCGGTAAGAGAGAGGGATGTCGGTTCCGCTTACCCTAGAGTACCAACCTTTGGAGCTGGAAGTTGATCCGAAGAGCCGAAACCGGGGTGGGTAGTTATTCCACGCTTGCTTTTTCAAGGACATGCAGAGAATGCAGTCATATAATTATGTACTGTGGTAGGTATGTAGACTGTTGGAGGGTTTGATAGGTGGGATGGCAAGCTGCTTCAAGTTAGTTTTTGGCCAGTGTTTCTGGAAGCGAACCGGGTGCAACTCTGCAAAGACCTTGAAGCAACGGCTCCCTTGTTCCGCCACGAAATATTTCACTGCGTAATCACAGATTAGATGACTTTCATCAGCCTATCGCGTGTTGTCATCTTCTACGGAGTACTCCTTTTCCTTTCGGTCTTTTCTTCGCTATCCTCTTGTCCTCCCTGTCAGACATTCCGTGATATATTGTAGGAGCTGTCCCAGGGTACAGTACGAAATCTCAGAGTATGGTTGAAATCGAGAAGTTTGACGACGACTTCTGGATACGGTTCATCCGTAATCTATCCAAGACCGACCTGAGAACAGCCATGATGGGCTAGAATGAAAGGCTACTTGGGGCTTGCCAAAATGCCCTAGTTCAGCCTAGGTACCTCTAATAACCGGGCTGACACTCGGGAAGACTGTTGCACGGTTGCACCATCTTTTGCCTCGACCAGATCGTACGCTCATGTGGTAAGGATGAAGGCCAAGCTGATTGACGGACTGTGGAGGTCAAAGCAGAGAGATTTTTCGTTTACTGTACAGTACGTATGTATTACACATGGGTACCTACCTTTCAGTTGATATGTAGTGCCTTTGTTAAAGTTTGTTTAGACCCTTCGACCTGTATAGATTACTAGTAGGGCGGAAGGGAATTCAAAAACCCCTACGGAGGTATTGTACTCCGTACCATACACACTTCAAGTGTAACGCTAAGCGTTACCGTATCGACTGTAGTATGTACTGTACTGTATACATACAGTAGTTGGCAGCCACCTCACACATCGTGCCAGCCCTCCATCTGTCAGTAAAAACAAAAAGACAGAGCGGCCATTCCTAAGAAGAAAGAGGAGGACATCCTCAATCTACAGCATGTTTTTTAGGTTCTTGCCTTTGCTGAGATACTGTTAACTTTACACTTGCATTCCAGTCGGTGTTTGATCACCCAATGCCTGGCGGTCTTGAAAGGGGAGAATCATGACACTGTGTGATGTAAGAACCCCACGGTGCCCGGCATGGACTGGAATCCTTGGGCAGATCAGTCTCTGATCGACCGGATCCTTCCTCGCAAGGCGAACGCGCATTGTGCACTAGGAACCAGGTCATTCCATGTTAGCGTGATTTCCGCCTCTTCATCAGGTTGCACCTCGAGCATGGCGATCCTGGGGATCTCTAGAATGACAGATCCCTTCGTCAGATGTGGGCATGGCCCGGGCTGGGGTTTTGCTGCCGCATCGGACCGCCCTTCGGCTGGTCCAGTGCACTGGGCGAGTTTGAGCCCACGTGGGAACTCTGGATCTCAACGGCTGCTCAACGGAACACTGCCGCGATGCCTGCCTATCTAACCTATCTTACCTTCAAAGACCAGCATTCATACCGGTATGTACCGTTACGGCGTCCTTTGTCCCGGAATATGGCTGACCGGCCCTTACCGGTATTTTCTGCAGTCAATGTAGGTTCATACGATGCAACTCAGGGCAATTTCCCGGGAAAAGAAGCCCCAAGACTAACAAGTCCAATTAAGCATAGTACCTAATGAGGATCGAGGGCGAGGGCAGTGGACATGCATGCATGATCGCGGAGCGGGGATCGGGTGGCTTGAAGCACGACATTTTGAAGTCCAGCCGGCATTTTCCCAGGCTGCTGGTTTATTGCTGAGAAATGGCGGGCATTTCACGCTGCATGCCAAATAGCCAATATCAAACATGCATCCATGATACCTACAGTGTGGTGAACCACTGCAGCTAGGACAATGGACTGAGGAAATGAAGGGGTCAGTACCGAGCCAATGCCCGGATTTCTTGCTCACTACGAAGTAGATGCGACCATGATCAGCTTCTCATCCGGCGTTTCTTACCTTTTAGTCTGTATACAAGTTGACCTCCCAGGGTCGAGTCTATGCAAGGTACCCGACACTAGCACACGTCGGAGCAACCTGGTTTGGTGGCCGGAGGATTGCTCGCTGGGAGTAAATGCGTGACAGCGCTGACACCGCATTGGCAGTTACACCTCCTTCCTGCTTCCATGCTCGGCTTCAACTGCCCAGCTTGATGTCAGATTCGTTCTCGAAGCTCTCAGCCGCAGCCCTTGAACCTACTTTGGCTTCGAGCCCTTTCTTGGCGGGAGAATGAGGGGGGTGCCGGAATCTCCCCGGATGTCTTCGTATCACAATTGGACATCTTGTGGTAAGTTACACTATGTAGTAAGTAACTGTGGGAACGAAGCCGACACTCCAAAAGGCAACACCTACAAAAGACAAATTCCAGAGCAGTGATTGGTAAATTGACCAAGCGCTTGACCATAAATTGCTAATATTTGCATTATGGAATCGCTACCGTCAGGTAATTACCTCAGTAATGCTTAGGGGTTGCACCCCATTTCTATAAGCCAGTATTATTCGGGTGGGGAAAATCTCAAAAGTTTGCCGCAGCTCTCACAAGTGGCTTGTATCGTGAACTGTTTTGTTGCTAGGAAGCCGCAAACCTGGCGAGCGGTTGACCCACCTCATCGGCACTACAACCGCGTTGCAATTGCCTTCTAGATGGCTTAAGCTAGGCAAGCGATTGCCCTTTCCATACGATTCGACTTTTTCCAGCCGTTGAGCATTTTCAAGCCGCTTACTGCTCGCTGCCGCGGTCAAGCTGAACAAAGCCGCTTATCTAGTATGCGGTAAACTTTCCGCAGATAGGAATGGGCTTGCACCGCTAAGTGTACTGTACTTGGCACCTTCGTACATTCATACAGTATGTAGGATTCGTAAGTTACTGTACTGTTTTTACCTGCTCAAGGTATTTGTACTCCCACAAGTCCTGTACTGTACCTTACGTATCATACATTAGTACCTTAATTCTTGACAGGTTACATTTATTACACATTTCGGCCATGATTAGCGAAGATGCCCAAACGCCGCAACCAATATCTGTCGTCAGCAACGCAACGCTACCTGACGCAAGGCGGCGGAGTTGCTGATGCCTGTCTGGTACCAAATTCTATGGGCTACCTTGAGAAGGCAAGATGGGCCCGGTGGATATCATTGTTGCGCTTATCCATCCTTGCGACGCGGGTTGCTGTCCATGCCTTTTACAGTACACGTGTACGAAGTAATCCGAGGCTTCTTGATCGCCCTCCATCCGCATTCCTCAGAGGTCCCCAAGATCGGATCTTGCTCATGGGGTCGTTCCCGTCCGGATACCACCCCGCTGCGCATGAACGGCTGCCAACCCTGGACGAGGATACTACCCACATTCTTTGGGCCCCTGCCTGGCATCGAAGCAACAAAGAAGTTTAACTCCAAGGGGACCAGGCAGCGTCAGTCAAGCCAACGCGCTACCGTGGTATGGATGTATGCTGACAACATTTTCCCAGCCTGGATTTGACCAAGTATAGCCGGCCAAAATCCCACGCAACGCAGTATGGCGTGTCTTCCTGACTAGCCAGCAACCGTCAAACCTCAGGTACCTCAGGTAGGCCTAGAGGTACGATTGGATACACTAACGTTACCCTGCTGCCCCGGCTGTTGTTGGGGGCTTTGCCGAGGACTTTTCATGGAAGAATGGGTCATTCTCACAGAGCTATGAAAGGGTGAATAGGCAAGCGCCTGCCTATTGCCACAAAATTCCTGATCGTTTAATCGTCAGGGCCAGTCTCGTCAGGATCTTCTTCGTGGAAGCCGTGAGAGTAGATCCTCTCTTCTTTCCGAAGAGGCAAATGCTGGAAACGGTGTTTCAGCCTTCAAAGGATAAATTTACCCCTTGCCTCCTTGACAGTTAACAGCCATTTTTCCAAGTTAGCCTCGGGGTTCTGGCCTCGCATGGAAGTAGCTCGATACGAAGCCGATTAAGCCTTGACTCGAACAAAAGTTTTATTCTCCGTTTTTGCTATCTATGAAAGACAACAGGCGCCTAATCATATCAGTGGCTGTCCTAGGTGTACCATACCTTCCATGTCCGGCTGTCAGTCATTGTGTCTCCGGCCGTTGCTTCCTAGGAGCCGAATAAAGGGCGAACCAGAGGAAAGCGCAGCCTTTAATTTAATATGTTTGGCCCTGAAGTTTTCCCTTAATTGATGCGACCGTCATTGTCTTTGCATGGTCTTGCCACCCCTGCACTCGATCGAGTTGTCGCGCTGTCAGTATAAGCGACATCATTCTTGTATGACTATTCCAGATTCTCATCACCTTTGCTGTCTCGCCGCTCTGCGGACTCGCTGCCACATAACCGTCGACAAAGAGAGACATCATCGTCCTGCATGCATTCAGCATCTGGGACCCGTGTTTGACACCAGACGGTTTCCTGCCCAACCAACCGCATCCTCGGGCCCTCAACCCAGCGCCAACCATCCGTCGCATTGCGAAAAGGCCCAGCCAGCCAGTGGAGAGAGGAGAAGAAAAAAAGAAAGGGCCTCGGGGTTAACGAAAAGGCAATACTGTACATACCTCTTGCGTGGTCTTATCCTCCGTCCAATTTTCATGGACAGAGCATAGCATCCAGGAGAAGTGTGCCTGTCACTCATAGCACGTCAAAGCCCGAGACTCATTCGAGGTGACACCGTCGCCACGCCGCTCGTTAATCCAGTTTTGTACCGATATCTTACAAGGTCGACAACGAGAAAAACACGGAGAGTCTATCAGCTGAATGGCCGGTGTCTCTTCGTCGTTCTCTTAATCGTCGCATGTGCCGAAGCACTCCTTGAGCTCATCGATGCCGACTCATCTCATCTCGCGCGCTCTGCCTGGGAGAGAACTCTGATGCAGCCTACCGAGTCTGAGCAGACTTCCTTTAATTAGATAAGGGTGAGCGCTCACCAGCGCGGCTCCTAGGCGCTGCTAGCGAGCCGTCTTTTAATCCCGCCCAACCAAGCCGTGGGTGACACACACCCCCTTTACTGCCTCTGGGGACGTCCTGCACCGGCCATACCTCGCTACAAGCTCGAGCAGGTTAGCAAGCTCTTCACACGCACGACTTCTCGCTCCCGTCGGGTCCGATCTCGAAGTTGTCAACAGCGTTGAACGCACCTCAAAGGCTAAGACTGCCGGAAGGTCGCATAGGGACTTCCAAAAACAGTAACTGCGGGAGTTCCCTGCCTGGTCGCCTTCAACTCGAGCAATTCTCAGGTTCCAAAAAACTGGGGTGCAAGCCGCCTCTTCACCGCGGCTGCAAACTCCGTCCGGTACCATTCCAGCCAGCTCTTGGTTCGTTTTGTTCGTGCGCTGCAGGAATCTCTCCACACTGCACTGGAACACTGCTCGATCAGCCTGCTTAGCACCCCTCCTCGCCCTCAGACGCCCACTCACAGATTATACGCACGCGTGCACTCGCCCCATGTCCCTCTGAAGTGCACACACAGCTATAGCTATACTCGGCGTTGCATATAGCCCGAGCTCCTGCTGCCGTGCCAGCCCTTGCAGACAGCTGCCGTTGCCGCTGGTGTTGCCTGCCAGGTCCAGTCGGTCCAGTCAGAACCGAAAGGGGTGTGTGTATTTAGTCGCCAGTCACATTGCTTGGATTCCCCTTGCCCCAGGTGCCGCGAACCGCAAGGTCACCATCGCCATTGGCTCGCCCGCCGCTCGCTACCTGTCCACTGACCCGTCTCTCTGTCGCCTCGAAGGCTCCGCCTTGCCCTTTGGTTAGCACCATATCTGACCAAGGCGCCCGCAAGCTCTCCCTCTTTGGGTCTCTGGCCGCAAGCTAGTTTGCAGCAGATCGGTCCCATCTCCAGCTCGAGGAATGCCGACGCTAAACCTTAATCTATGCCATAAGAGCCCCTGGTCCATCATCGGCATCGAATGTTGTGAGAATAACTCTTCATAATCGCATACCTGGGACATTGTCAAGCAGAGATCCCGGACCCGCAGTAATAGTCCCATTACCCGCTTGCCACCACTCGCTTCAGTCCGCGGCGCCCAGCTCGTGCCCCGGTACCATCTTGTTCCTCTCGGGTCGGCAGCCAGATAGTCCTCTTACATGGCAGTTGTTGCCCCGCCACCCCCGAAATCGACTCTGGACCCTTGGAAATCTGGCGGCTCGGCTATATATCCTGCTGCATCACGAACAGAGCTCATGACAGACATAATGTCATACCAATATCCCCCGCCGCCTCAAAACGGCGCCGAGATGGACATGCCGCCCTCGGGTTACTTGCCTAGCTATTCTGTCCCGTCGCACGCGTCAGGAATGGATTCGAGCATCCCGTCGAGGGAGCGTTCAGACTCGTTCTCGAGGTCGATGAAGTTGAAACCCTCCATATCGACGACAGCTGGTGGCGCGCACTCCCAGACCCAAGCACCACAGCCCCCAACACCGCAACAATCGATAGCGTCCGGGCAGGATCCCGCTGGAGAGAGAAGAAGAAACAAGTTGGGTTACCACCGGACGTCGGTTGCATGCGGTAAGCATCCACTCACAGCTTGACACGACTCGGTTCTCCGGGGCTGTCCTTTGGTGCTGACTTGTCAAAGGCCACTGCCGTCGTCGAAAGATTAGGTGTGTTCCATCGCAAAACGACGTCCAGGGACGCTGCATAAACTGTATCCGCCTCAAAAAAGAGTGCAGCTTCTATCCCGTAGATCAACAACCGCCAATGGACACCAGGCAGAAGTCAGCCTCGAGGTCCTCTGTCGGCCCAAAGATCGCCTCCGCTTCTTCGTCGCCGGCCATGCAGACTGGAATCCCATCAGACATTCATGGGCAGCAGCCCTATCCTCAACTAACGATGCCATCCATCCAGAACATGCCCCCGCCGATGAAGCCCTCAGGGACTGAAAGCTATCCTCCTGACTCCAAACGTAAGTGCGATCTTCCCGCCGAGAGAGAGAGGTACGTCTGCTGAGCATTCCAAAGTGCCTTCGAGTGCGCCCAGCTCTCGTGCCTACGAATATGGACACCATGGGTTGCCGAATTGGATGTCGGCGGACGCCAGCCCGAGCTCTTCCAAGCCGAGCGACCTGAACGCAAGTTGGCGGTCGTATCCGACCGATTCTCCAATCACTCCCGCCTTCTCCCCCTACACACCGCACGCGCCGCCGCCCTCGGCTACCTGGTCGGCTTCGGTGGGTTCCGAGTCATCATCGCGGGATGAAATTGCTTGGTCCTCATACCCAGCGCCCCCTGCTCGATCCTTGTCGTTCGGGGCCGAGAGCATGACGAGTCAGCAGCAATATCCTTCAATGTCGCAGGTCAGCAGCCACTCGAGCCGCGCCTATGATCGCAAGTCGAGCTCCGTGTCGGACATGTATCCGCCGCCGGTCGCGACGACAATTCCCGGCATTGAAACTGTGCCCGGCACCACTCTTGAGCAGAACGTCTCTCTTTCGGCGGGAGCGGTCCCTCCTTCTAGCTATGCACCTTGGCAGCAATCGTATTCGTACTCGAAACCCGCAGAAAGTTCCGGAGGATGGTATGGAGACACAGGAACCCACCAGCACCTTGGCTCAGGGGATCAGCACTCGTATGGACATACACATTCTGGGTATTATGGGCGATAATCGAATAGGGCACCTGTCGTGCGTCCAGCGCATCCATACATCAGCTCAATGTCGATTTGCAAGCAGCGTACTCAGAGCCGGGTAATTTGATTGCAACGGTTGGATTTTCGATGGCCGTCTAGACCTAAGGGAGCGGTGCGAGTTCAGAGGCCGTGGGTATCGATCGCCCTATTTTCGACTTATAGGCAGAGCCGATCCCCAAGCAATGCCCGTCTTTGCGTTGTTGCGCAGGAAGCTCAAACCGCCGGCGTGATCAGCGAGAAATGTACGACGCAAGGTTGCCAATTGGGAAGGCGAGCCTGAGCGCAGCGTCGCCCGTGTGCCGAAACTGGCAATTTGCGACACAAGGCGCAACAGTTGAGACCGACCTCGGTAGCACCCTTGTATACGGCTAACTGCAGCTTAGCGAGTGAGGACGAGTACCCCGACAGAAAATGCTTGTTCCTACCTCATAAAATAAGCAGACAACCGGAAGATTCCACAACGCCTCAGAAAAATTGTCAGCGACGGCAAGGTCTGAAATGTGATGTCGACGGCGAAAGCCAAGATTGGACCCGTTAACGTCATTGGCGGCGACGCAGGAATACAGGCGGGTTGAGGAAATTTAAGCGACGACATTGACTACTGGCCGAGCTTCCGCTCTGTTTAAGAGGACGGATGATGGAACAGACTAAATATTTGGCGGGCGGGGTGATGGGCTGCAGTTGTGCTCACAACACGGCAAAGCTAAGGTTAGCCGGGTGACGGCATGAAAAGTTTAATGACCTTCCCTCATTCTTTCATTTATTTTATCATCCTGTTCCCGCTCCACACTCTCGGCTTCTTCTTACTTTTGTCAGTTTGAGATTCAGGGCTTGGCTTGGACATCTAAATCGGTTATTACAATTGCATCGGGGCTTTGATGAGGTTTAAACTAGACGGACGGGGACGGGCCGGTACGGTACGGCGCGGCACGGCACGGCACCGGGAGACCGACAGGGTATCCACAATTCGGAAGACCGATGGGGTATCCACCTTTCACGCCGGCAGACGGTGCTAGGTTGCTATCGACCAGGGTAATTTGCGGCTTACGGGAGAACAATCATATAATGGCGATCAGCAACACTGGCACCAGCGATCGATCGAGCTTACTGCCTACCTTGACTAAGGCCTAGTTGGTAAAGTTGCCCGAGTTCGGATTCTTGGAGACACAGGACGGACAGGTTGTATACGGACCTGGCGGGATAGAATGCGAAACAGGCTTACGGATTTGGGGGCGGTAAAATGAATACATTGGCGGCATTTTCTGTTATCTCCTCGCTGCTCTCTTCATACTGCTTCTTTCTTCCCGTTTCTTGCCTTTGGTGCTTTTCGGCAGGTTAAGGTTGATGTCATCTTGGGTGGGGGGAATCATGGCGGGAGAAAAAATGCGTTTGATATTGGGTTTTAATTTTGCTATCTCATCTCGCCTTCTCTCATGGCATCTGTTGTGTATTGGCTTGTACTATCACCTGCATTCACACGTCTAGTGTTTATCAATCTCAGTGGATCGTAGGATATATAGCTGGCAGTGTAAAGGTAGAAAGCGTGGGGGAGGAAGGGAGGCTTGTACTGCGTACACACCATTACAATGTATTCTGCTTAGGATTGTCGAGTATCATACTGCCGCGAGCTAAAGTCCCCTCCTATGAACGCTTTCTCGTGGCTTCTGAATATCAGTTACTTTCTGGCCGAGAGTGTATTGCACGCCGAGGCTGACTAGATGCGCGCACCACTCGCTGGCCATACTAGTGATACCGCAACCTAGTGAGATGACTACGTCGGGAGCGGTCTGAGATGACCGTGGCAAGTCCTATGGTATTGTGGAAACACTAATCCGAACGAAACGAAGAGAATCCAGGTGGCTATACAATCAGATATGTGAATCGGATCCGGCACCGAGACTGCTGAGTGCCCTCGTCAACGGTACCTACCTGATCTATCTTATGGTCCACGAAATTGATGTTGATGCTATGAAATTGTCAGAGCATCGTGTCACAAACAGGGCAAGCCTTACGCTGGACGAACCACATTTAGCTGCCCCGCATGACGATGATCCCGTCTTCTGGTAGTGTGCACTATATATGCACCCCAGACTGCGCCTGATACATCAGAACCACGTTCCCGTCCTCGGTAACTCCCATCGTTCTTGTATGTAGGTGATGATGTACACCAAGTTAAGGTAGTGTAAGTGCCAGTGAAACGGTAACCCCCACATCACATTCTCCGCATAATCCATCAGCATCACCATCTCCGCCCCGTTCTCCGCATGCATGTATGCAACTGCTGGTGTAAGCTGGTGTAAGTGTACATGTATTTGCCGCACCACACACACGACGCCTCTATACACTTAAGGCTACCATGTACTGGCATGGAACTCAATAAGTGCTGACGTATCAAACATATAGATACCATCCCCAACTAAGTCCGTGCCCAGCCAGCTGACCCAACCCCCGAGCCGTCCCTGCATAGTGCAGACGATACTTATTTGAGGTTTGACGTTGCTGTCAGCACATCCCACTAATATGCAATATTCGCGTGGACTGCAGTGATACCCCAAGGGTCTTGAAACAGAGTACTAGATATATACCTGATGAGCCTTATAGTTGTCTTCCTTGCCTAGCTTCCGAACAAGAAGCGCCGGCCTCTCGGCGAACCGTTATCACTAGTTGGTACTACTACTGTAGGGTATGTAATTACGTGCGTAGCGAGCGAGCGTGCGCTGCCACTGACCGGCAGCGGTTCATGCCGGCAAGCAA